GTATTATTATATATAATTATATACTCGTATACGAAGTATGCAAATCAGGACATTACAGTACATCCGTCTAAACCCATGTCTCAGATTCCTCAAGATTTCTCTTTTTTTCCCAAGCTTTTTGTGGTTCTCTTGCGAATTACTTCTGGCTATCGCATTTGTATGGTACGAAGCACGCATTATCAGATTGAGAAAATACTGCGTTTTACATAAGTTCTTTTTGTGGCGTAGCCTGGACCAGTGTACGGATACGCGTGCTGTTAGCATGGTGAGCTCTCTAACAGTTTTGTGGGCGAAAACGTAGCTTTTTACCCTGAGGATACTTGGTTTCGTTGTACCTTGCATTTAGGCATACGTTTTCGTTGTGTCAAGTTTCGCACAGAGACTTTGGCGCTTCTCCGTGACCTCATTGTCACGACATGTGAATAAGCAATTCGTAATTATGGCATGGCCCAGTATATATGTTTCTTTAGTCTTAACTATGTATATGAATAACATAAATTTAGTTTCGTGCGATATCTGTTAGATGCGTCGGTTTTTACATCAGTAATCATACAAAATAATCCACGTGGTAACTTCTTTATAAGACTTTGTGAGTATTCGATACTTTAAAATATAATTATTATGTTCGGAATTGGGGAGATATCCAAAATGATTCTAGCTTCTCCCAATTTTATCTGTTATTAATGAGCGTTGTGTTTATGTTTGATTCGGTGATTTCTGAAATTATATCAATTTATCCCCCGAGCATTCCATGATATCATGGAGATGCAAAATAAGGAAGTTACGTTGTGCTGTACAACTGGACAGTTTCCGCTCGTTTTGGCAGCCTAATGCACCGCATCTTCGAACGACCTTTTTACCGTGAACAGCATCACGGCGAGCCCATCCCTGTATGGCCACCAGCGCACGAGCGAGAATTCATGAAGAAGCTCACGCGGGAGTCCCACGAACTGTCCATCGACAAACTACAGATCCGCATTTCACGACTCCTTCTCAAGTGCAGCGACGGTAAACTGCACATGGCCAGCCGCTTCATGTGCGCCCTCAACGACAACTTCCCGCCGGTCACCGAGGAGATGTTAGCAAAGGTCACGGCTGTGCATGCGCGCTGGGTGCGCACTGGCGTATCCGGACGAGTGGTCAGCCATTCGCAACTTCCTCCGAATGTAAGGCTTAGTGTACAGTACCTTGGTTTGCAAGTTTGCAGCTCGTAATTTTTGGTTCGCTACAAGTTTTCAAAGGAGAGGTAATGTATTAGTGAAAACCGTACAAGGAAACAGAAACATGGAAAGAAAAACTTTCAACGAAAAAACGAAAAACAGGCGCAAAAGGAAAGGAGACAGGGGCCACTTCCACTGGCGCATGTAACTGGCGCTGACATATTATTATGCGTACTTCGAATGCTGCCTTATATGGGCTCCCCTTATATTACTCTCCCTTATCTGGGCTCCCGGCTAGTTAGCAATACCCGTCAAATTAAATTTATCGGATTATAGCAGAACCCTTTTCTACTTCTTTCAATCGGATTTACAAGTGAGCCCACAAAAAAATTCCGAAATTTCACATCCGAATTATATTTATATATATATTATCTATATAATAATATTTTTCAATAATTTCAACCGGATTTGCCAATGTACAAACTGAAAAATGCCGAAATTTCATATCACATTATTTTTTACGCACGCACTTTACAGCCGACAAAATCGCACCTTCACGGTCCATTTGACAAAGTCACAAATATAAATTTTAGAAAGATTTTGAATCTGTCGTTGATGCAACCTGAGCACTTTGAAACAAACTAAATGCTACAAATGTAGTGGCAAAATAAGTATTTTAAATAAATCAAAATTTTCAGTCAGGCATAACACTGATAACAGCTGCGAAAGTGTAAGTAATAACGTAACCGCCCATGCAGAGGGTTGCTCATATTGCTCGGGAGCCCAGATAAGGGAGAGTAATATAAGGGGAGCCCATATAAGGCAGCATTCGAAGTACAAATATAGCAAGCGGTCAAATTCAATTCATCGTCATTTAAAGATGTTTTGATAGACGAATTAAACAGCAACATCATTACGTGCTTTTCAGGTTTTTTATAAGGCTTTTCCATTTTTTAGGCTTAATTTGTTTGGTTTTCTTCAAGTGCGCAGCTTTTATCAAGTTATTCCATAAAATGAAAGTACTAGCGAACTTTAACGATAACGTCGGCACTGTCCACAAGGTTCGAAGCATTTTGTCGTAGACTGCTCTTGTCCACACAGATTGAAAAGAGCCGCTTCGCGAAGTCAATTTTCTGCAGTTTTGTTATGGAATAATTTTGCAGTATGTATATATCGAATCTTTATGGGGTCTCTGCCTTCGTCAGGGAAAATCTCGTCCATCAAATGATGGCTGTAGCGTATCAAATTTGAAATACTCTTACCCAGTCTTACGCAATATTCTGGAGACAGTCAGGTCATTTTTATCTGCAACGCGACAGCTAAAATTCTTCCAAGCATGACCTTTGCCGTATATTGCGTAGGTTCAGCGGATTTCAGCCAGACGGAAGCCCACAAATGTGGAATGATGTGGACTTACGGCTGCTGGATACATCCAAACTGAGTAAAATGGCTGTGTATGGAATCGACGACCTGTTCCGCGTGTGAAGCGCCTCCAGACTGCTATGAAGCCGGCACCACTGTCCAGCACTAGTGGTCGTAGCCCAGCATAATGGACATTCGATCTTCACTGGATAAAACACATTCGTGACAATTCCTCCGTAGAGGAATTGAATACGTAGGCGGTGGTTATATCATTATTACATAATAAAAATATGCAGTGAAAATTTGAAAAAAAAGCTAAGTCTCACCGAATGTTCTTTTGCACGACTGCAGTATTTTACAAGGAATTCTAAATAGATCGAAAAAGTGCACCCATACCACCGGACCATCGCTTCCAGTGTTCCTTTCATTATGGCTACACCGGTGACATGGGTGTAGTTTTTCGATCTATTTGGGCCTTTGTAAAACACTGCAGTCGTGCAAAGAAAGTCGGTGTGATACTGGATACTGAAGAGGAAAATACACATTTCACTGATGCCAGTTAAATCGGAACCATGCGTTCATCTGCGTATGAGTTGTCTAGTTCCAACGTGGATTTTCTAGGGTAGAATTTCGGAATGCCTGAACTATTCTGGTGTATAGCAATACGTTATTTTGACATGCATTGTTCATCCTGGACACAGCATTCTTGTCCTGGGAAACAAGCAATTAAGTGTTCCAGTTCAATAATTTTTTCTGAGCGCAGATAGACTGGAGAGTGAGGTGAGTCATCCGCTAATACTGTCGCAGGACAATAAGAATGCAAGCCTGCTGCCCTACCTGTATGATTGTTGTTGGAATACCGACCGTCTAGCTTTGCGATACATGTACTGAGTGCGATATATGTACTGATGTTCAGCATCTCTATGTACAGCGATACATGTACTGATGTACAGCATCTTCACTACTCAAATGGGAATCCGACAGAGAATCGGCAGCTGAACAGACAGGATTGAGGCTAACCTTTAGTGTCCTTTACTTTCCATCTTTCCCCGTTAGAGGATAGACAGACGCAAAAGCTCAGAACAGACAGAATCATTCTGACCTTTCACTTAGATGGTTCTGACCTTTCAGTTACACGCTGGATCCTATACTAATATAATATATAGACAGACTACGTCTGCCATATGTTATATTAGGCTTGCCCGTTTCAACCGTGCAGCGCCTACGTAAAAATGTGCAAGAGTGCCTGTGTACATGTTTGGCTGCTCACTCAGGCAATCAATCAACAAATGTGGAAACGGTCGAATAAAAACTCGCCCTCGTAGACCGTAGAGCGCATGTCTTCGCTGATCAGTTAGTTAAAAGCAGAAACTGCGCCACTGCGGGGTGGTGACAGAAGTTCCGATTGACAGCATTGTCGCTTTTATTACAGTGCATCCGGTCTACAGTAGTTTATGGCTTAGCTGCAGTAAAACACCATAAAAAAGCTTAGCTGCAGTAAAACACTTTACACGTGCTACTTGTAATTATGATTTAATGACTGTAACAGTCATTAAATCATAATTACAAGTAGCACGTAAAGTGGTAATAGTACAAGTACATTAGTAGTATGTATATATCGAATATTTGTATATTATATCTATATAGATAGAAGTATACTTATATGTACTGTATATAGGCAGCAGAATTACATGTATAAACGTGTACCACCGTTTGCGGTTACCAGTGCTGCTGATGTCAGCCAGGTGGCAGCTGCTTGGTGCTAAGTGGTTTATTTACGTACATTACGTACATAAGAAATTCGAAATACTGTAAACATGTACGGTACATGCTTACAGTATTTCGAATTTCTAATCCTTTGACCACTTCGAATCGTGATTGAAGAAGAGAAGTGGTGTGCATATTAGGAAAATAAAAGTAAGTACAAGTACCTTCTAACCGTTTTTCCTAGCCCAGAATTATAGCAATTTACAGCTTCGGTTAGAATTCAGCACATCAGTCAGACCCGGCCGGCCTTCGGGCTCCGTATCATTAATTCCCGTTTAGTAACTTTAGTTGTTCTATGGGGAATACTTTTTTGCTACGTATTGGCAATTTGCAGCGACACAAAAAGTGAAAATTATTTTAATCATGCCATTTAATCGTGAAATTGAAAATAATGCGTTGTGAAGATCGTAAATTTAACTGGCCATGTAATTAAACGGAAATTTATATTAAAGCAAATACCAGCATCAGCATACTGTATAAATTATACAGTATCAAAGTAATAAATGTTAACGTAGGTTAGCAGAACTTAAACAATAAAAGTTATCCCGGATATGACTCACCGCCGAGTCGCCGACGACTGCCTCATTCACCAGATGACTAGGCAATGACACGAGTCGAGTCACGGTGTGATTGCAGCCTCTGTCTTGCTGACCGCCGCTGATGCGGGCTGTCTGTACAATCGAACGTTGCTTTCTTTTGGCCCAGGCATTTGAAAATTTTGAAAATGAAAAGACCGACAGATTCTCAATAGATTTCTCACGTTGCAGAATAATAGCCTTCGCAATAAATCACACTGCATCCAATTTCGGAATATTTCTCCCAAAAGTCATGCCGTAAGCCGTTGTTGCTGCAACATCTTCCGAATCTTGCCAATTGGAAATTTCCCATCTCCATGTGATTTTTTAATCCTATTAATTTTATTCTTTGCTGCTACTGCCTGCTAAAAATCTTACCAGCGTAGCGCATCTGCGCGTTTCCCTGTGGGGACTGCGGCCTGCCAAAGCACCTTCATACGGTACGTAACGGGAAACGCTAAACATCCGCCGTAAACTATTTATTACCCCATTAATTTCCGATTTATTTTTGAACATTCGCTCTCTAAACTGTTTCTTGTCCATTTTATTATTGATTTAACCATTAAAATGTATCATCTGTCCAGTTAGTTTCGAGAGGGTAGTAAATCTGTTAAATGGCAGACTGGAGAGAAACACGAAGAAGATGGTGATGGTGGTTATCAGTACACACAGTGACACAAGTAAACAGTCTGGTTAAATTTAGGTCAAACTGCACGATTCGCTGTCGACACACACTGCACAGTCTGCCAGATTGGGGTTGTTTATTATGATGGTGGTGCGCTGTGTGCTGGATTATATTTTGCCATGAGAATCTGTCGTGTTTGATTATGAGTGGCTAATAGCACTATGTCTTCCACAACAATGTCTCCTCCGCGACGTTTATCATCCCATCACATGCAGCATCCGCAGCATGCCAGACGGAATTCGGTCCTCACGGTCTGCTCACCCGATTTCCACTTTTCCACACTGCCGAAAGCCACACTGAAATCCACCATGTCGGTGCATATGGCCCGCAAACGGTGAGGCTGACTTTTACGCAAATTGAATTTGGTCTTAGAATCTTAATGACTTAATCCCCGTTTTCACGTGCCTGACACCATTCTCATGGAATTTGTCTGTCGTCGTTTCGTTAAATTCCTGACTTTCCCGTAAACATTTTTCCGCTGTGTGTGCTAATACAGCAGCGGGAACAGGAAAGCAACGATTTTATTTTTTTTATTTTTTATTGCGTCAATAAATTATTAGTATTTACAGCCTGTTTTCTGGTTATCGGTAGAGTCCTTCAATATTTCAGTAAATAAATTTAATTCAGGTTCGTTTTTTTTCGCTTTCTCGGCCGCACGGCTGCACTGCTGGTCGCTGTGCATCTTCTGCAATATTTTTTCTGATTTATGTGTGATTTTTTTTAAATATTGCAGCATTTATTTTTTGCAAAATCGTATTAATTTTTTACAATTTTTCGGCATTTTTAAGATGATTTTATCTTAATGGATTATTGGGAACTGGGATGAGATTAATTTTTAATGTTCTTACCGCTTACAATCTTACCGCTTACAATCTTACGTAGCCTGTTTAATTCGCGATCAGTTCCGTACGCGTATTTATTTTATTTTCTCCATTATTTCGCAATTTTTTCTTACTTTGGTTCTATTTCAATTACTGTTCAAACTTTTGTAATTTGCAGTTGCAGTAGCGCTATTTATTCAAATTAATTTTAGCCGTAAGGGCTACAATTTTGGCCGTTAATTGGCAATTTGGCATTATAAAATCCTGTGCGATTTGGAGCAGCAGCTGCACATAAAATTGCACCAGATTGTGCAATTATTTCTGCTCCATATTTATGATCGATCCTTCCGCTGAAATAGATCGATGCTGGTGGACGAGCAGCCTGACATGTCCCCCCCGGGCTCCCCGCCCCCCGCCGCGCGGCCCCCTTCCGGCAGTCCCGTGGAGAGGGCCGAGGGGGTCCTGCGTTGGAAGGTGGAGGAGCTGGCGTCGGAGCTGACGCTGATCGCGCACGGCCTCTTCCAGCATCTGCAGGCGTGCGACCTGAAAGCCCTGACCTGGTACAATCCCCGCCTGAAGCACACCGCGCAGGCGCAGCGCGTCAACGAGATCACCCGCCGCTTCAATTACGACGGCCAGTGGACGGTGCAGGAAATACTCCGCTGTGAGGTAACGTGTTTATCCTTATTATTTCGCCTGAATTTGAATCCTTCTACTTATTAAAATAATTGGAATTCTTCTTACATTTAAATCACAATTTAATTCACTGAAATAAAGATATAGTATTTAAAATCATTTTAAATTAAGGCGTGCAGTTAGTGTGTAACTGTGCGTTCATCGGAATTCGCTTTCTCTCTTGATTTCAAATAATTTAATTTTAATTTAGAATTTATTTCGTTTAACTTTTCTGGCCGAAATTTTTTCAGTTAAATTTTTCAGTACGTTTAAAGCGCCGTAATTAAAATTATTTGATTTGAATTGCATTTGATCGAAAATTCGTGACTGTGTACTTTGTTCGTGTCATTTAAATGATGCAGAATAATTTCGAGTTACGTCTTTATTAATTTTAGTCTAAAATAATTCCATATTAAATTTTCTTTTTATTATGTACTTGATTTTAAAAAGGGGGTTATTGAAAATTAATTATTTTAATTAAATGGCATTTCTATCGCCAGCCCACCAACGCTTTACTGTATGTGTATGATTTAGAAAATTTTATATTTAAATCATTTAATTTGTATTTAATTTATTTTTAGAATTCACTGTATGCGTGTCATATAAACGATTTAAAATAATTCATATTTAAATCACTGAATTTTGTTTATTTTATTTTGAAGTATGACAGTTTAAATGAAATGCCGTTTTTTATGGAAAATGCACGAGTGGTGTGTCTAAAGTGGCAGCGATTATCGGTTGTTGATTTTGTGTACAGTACACGGAGCACTTTGCATGCATAATACTGCACTATCCGGTGCATATCAGGCGGTTTGAGGATGGGCACTTTGGAGTTTGGACCGCACTGTGGCGGACAGCTTTATCGGGGGGATGAATTTTCTAGTAAATATTTTGTTGGGTTGGGTATTCGGTGGAACGTGATAGTGATGGCTATTCGAGATTACTCGGGTTAGATTTCATTGAAATTTACATGATGGCCAGCGTTTCCGGGAAGTTTATCATTCAGATATTCTGTAAACGTCTTGATTTCACTGAAGGATGGGTTTCCAAGTCTTGTGCCCAGTTTAGACTTTAAAATAGATTTTAATACACATAAATATGTAATAAAAAATGCAGTTTTCCGGCGGGAAGTTTTCCAGTTAATTTCTTTTTAAAAATAAATCATACGATTATTTTTTCTAAATTAAATGGTCATTATTTAATTTTAATGAATTAAATTTTAAAAATGAATCATACCATCCATACGATTATTGTTTTTCTAAATAGTGGTCCTTATTTAATTTTGATGATTTAAATTTTTTAAAATGAATCCTACGAATTACGAATATTTTTTCTAAATTAAATGGTGCTTAATTAATTTGGATGAATTTTAATTTTAAAAATAAGTCATGCGATTATTTCCCAAATTAAATGGGGCTTATTTAATTTTGATGAGTTAGTTTTGAATTTTACTCTCAAAAAATTTAAAGTTGCACCGGTTATTGGAAAAAGTGGGTCAAACCGCTAAAACAGTAATTGATGCGAATTTTCCTTGTAACTTGTGACAAAATAAATTCTTTGTGAGAGGTCTCGCGTAACTGTTAGTCGAGCAGAGCAGTAGCGCGTATTTATTTTATCAGGCCCGGTTATCTAAAACGCACAGCTGGCGAGTTTTTTTGCATAACTTCAACCGATAACAAACCCCATCATTCCACTGTTGTTGACATAGCCGGGCGAGTAGCCGCTCTGCCGCTGACCGCATTCTTTGCACACACCTTCACCAACGCACACATGACAGCCGGCTGGCATCTGTTTGTCTGCCGCGATTACGTGACAACATCTTCACATGTTTTCGTTTTCAGTCGACATAGTCGACAACAAATTTCGAATGGAAGCATACATATGTGAACAAAAATCGAATAATAATAATTATCAGTAAAATTGAACTTAATGTCGGCGAATTTGATTTAAAAATTTAAATATAAATACTAGAATAAATAAAAATGAAAATAAAATGTTGATAAATTACCAATACAACATAATTTGAAACTGGATAGAATCAAGAAACAGTTTGTGGTCAGAAAAAAATTAAAAGAATTACCAACTTAAATTCAAACAGTAATAAAGGGAAATGAACATGAATAAATGCCTAAATGAGTCGTTTGTAAAATGTGAAGCGTTTGACAGTGAAGCGTATGGTAAAATGTCGATAAAATGGAATAGAATGCCAGTTTCAGTATCAGTTATGATCAGATTTAGAAATAGTGTGAAATCTAAATGCGAATAAATTTGCAGTGAAAAAGGTATAATTAAAATACCGATAAATTATTTGTAAAATGTCATTAAAATGTCAATAAAAAATTGATAAAATAATAATTAAAAATAAAATCATTGATGAAATACCAATAAAGTATTTACAAAATGTCAGTAAAATATTCATAAAAAATTAGTAGAATATTGACACATGTTAACATGTTGTTTTTATTGACACATGTTAACATGTTGTTTTTTGACAGACACCGCGTCAGCGCGCCGACGTCATGGGCCATTTTGTCCGGTTGGCGGCGCGGCTGTTCGAGCTGAACAACTTCCACAGCAGCTACGCCATCTTCGCCGCCCTGGAGTCCTGTCCCATCGCCCGTTTATCACTCTCCCACCAGGCGCTGGCCAAACGCGACCGGCTGGTGTGGCAGCAACTGGGCCGCGTCTTCTGCTCCGAGGGGAATTGGCGCGCCTTCCGGGAGTACCAGGAGAGCGCCGGGTATCCGCGCATCCCGCATATCGGTAAGGGAAGACGTAGAATGATGTGGGTCAGGGGGTGGGTGGGGGGTAACGGGGGAAAATGGAGATTTTGAAGAGGAATAGGGTTGAGACTTAAATAAGCCACTTGAGCGCCGCGTTCTGGGTTGTGTCAATGTTTTCACGGGGGATCGGTGTCGGTGGCGGATGATTGGGGTTATTTTGGAGGGATTGGGTTGCATTAAGTGGTATTTTTTTCCGAAATTGCCCAGACTCATTTGCGATGATAGTTTGCTGATTCTTTGAGGGTTTGTTGAATTTTTCTCAAATTATTGATTTCTTCCCGAATTGAGTGTTTGCTGCTGGGTGCGTTGCTTTATTTTGCTACGATCAGTTTTTTTTCAGTTTTCTTCTGCGTTTTTTCTTCACGTTAATAATTTTACTTGAATGGTTTTTGAAAAATTTCAGCGGATTTTTTTAAAGAATTTTAGCCGATAATGAATTCGCAAAAAAATACAAAAGTGGATTTTTTATGGAATTTTACGCTTTCCCATTTTTTCTCGCTTTCCGATGATCGCTTTACGCGTGCAAGTTCATCTTGCCGCTACTGATTTTATTTGCTTCAAGAAACATTTCTTGGTACACTTATTGTACTTGTATGGGATTTTTATTAATAAATTAGTGTTAGATACGTTGAATTTTAGGTGATAAAATTTCTGCCGGTTATTTTGTTGCAGTTTTTATCGCTTAATTTATGGTTTTCATTTGCGTCGTTAGAACGCAGGTTTTTTGCTTGAACAACTGCGGTTTATTCTTTAAGTGAATTTTCCGGTAATGTCAGCGCCGCAACGGAAGTAGTAAATCCTAATATTTAGTTGAGTGCTATGTAAAAAATATTCCAAAGAAAATACTGATTTTTCCTCCGTGTCAATACTGTTTCAAAAGCCGGAATATTTGCGACAACTTGCAACGTTTGTTGTGGCACACCGAGGTATGTCAAGTGCTGGCGAGTGTGCAGTGGAAAATCGGCCCCGTTGAATTGGCCACGTGTACCGTGTGTCAACCGGGGATAAAGCCATTTGGCACTCGAGATTCCGCTGTTATGTCGCATGGATGATTTATTTGCCTGTGTACATTTGTGTAGCCAGGAGTGAAAGAGAGAAATAAATCGGTAGGGACGACCTGACACTCCACAGCAGGCACTTTAAATTCTCGAGATTGCTCTATTGACACTCGACTGTTGAATAAACGCTGCACAGACCAAGGTAAGCCAATCTCCACCGTGACAACACGCATTCTCTCGGCTGTCTGACACATTTGTCTCCTGATTGACACAGAAGAAAGGCTGGGTGCATTTCGAACTTTCGATTAAAAAGGGAAAATTAATGGCAATTTTTTCGCCGGCAGGAAAAATTGGGTCAAAATTCCTGGCTCGATTAATTTAATTTGGTGAAATTAAATAACAGAAAGTGCTGAATGACTGCGGTGCTGTGCGTTAAAAAAAGCCAAAAGGACAGGCATTTTTGAAAACGACTTAAACTGGAAAATTTTTTCGAATTAGTACGAAATAAAACGAAGAATAATACGATAATTAGTTAAATTAATTGCAATTTTTCGCCTGCAATAAAAATTGGGTCAAAATTGCTGGCTAGATTAATCTAATTTACGAAATTAAAATTACGGAGCACTGAATGATTGTGTAGCTGTGCGTAGAACACCTGAACAGGTGTTTTTGAAGATTACTTAAACTGGAAAATTATTTCGGATTAAAAAGAAAAATGAGTGAATTATTTGCGATTTTTTTCCGGTAATAAAATTGCTCAGAATTCCTGGCAAGATTATTTTAATTGGCAAAATTAATTTACAGAGCACTGAATGATTACGTAGCTGTGCGTAGGAGAAATATGGGACAAGTGGTTTTGAAATTACGTACACTGAAAAATTGTTTCGGATTAAAAAGAAAATCAGTAAAATAAGTAATTGGAATATTCTACCGATAATAAAAACGGGTTAAAATTAATTTCAAGAATAATTTAATTCCATAAAATTCAGTTACAGTGGAACGGTTAAATTATGCTACTTTGTGAAAAATTATAAAAGCGTTTTTGATTAAAAGAGAAATTCAATAGTAAATTAGGTGTAATTTTCGCTGCAATTCCAGATGAGGCATAAAATCAAAAATGATTTTTATAGAGTAATTTAATTGCTGGAATTGAATTATCATTTGACGACAGTGTAGCTTTTCATAACCTGATGGTGTTATTTAAGGCCGTCGTTTATCCGTTTGTGCGCCGGCTTTGTGTTATTGCCAAGAATCGGCTATTATGTCCGATTATAATCCGTGCATACCATGCGTGCTTGCTCCTATTGATACACGATCGCCGTTCACAAGAGTGAACCGAGTGATTCAGTGTGTGACTGTGCCGAGACAGACGCTTTTGAAATTGGATTCTGTCGGCTGCGCTCTTTCACCTATCTGATCGTGTCTCTTTAGCAATTCTGAATTTTGATAGCCGTTGCAGCAGTAATCAATTGGATTTTCTCCCATCATATGTAGTCGTGTGAATTTTCGATTAGTCAGATTTGAAAATGTATTAGCCCCTTTTGCCTCCGGTTAGTTAATTCCGGTGTAAAATTTTTCTATGCGCACGTTGTGCTATTTAAATTTTGATATTAATAACTGCTTGTGGTGGCTGCTTTTGCATCATTAATGTACATAATAAATTCGCATTTTGCGCCACATTCGCTAATTAACGATCACCTCTGTAAATTAATTTCGACGGCAACAGCATCGAGGAAAATATTTAAATTAACTACGTCTATTTTCAAGGTTTATTTATGACATCTGCTGCTAAAATTTTTTCTTTTATTTTAAGTCAAAAAATTAAAGTACAAAATGTTTATGAAAAGATTAAAACCAAAAACAATTTTTTCAAGTTTGATCTTGCATTATCAGATAAATATTCACACGGCTGAAAATTGTTTTTGTTTTTACTGAACAAATATTGACAAGTATAAGAAAAATATTTCTGATTGTTGTGGATTAGTTTTCTTAATAGGAATTATAAAAGCAAGGATATGAAGGTAGAAAATGCAATAAAAATGAAAACAGAAAACCAATAAAAATGAACGAATAATTATAAATTCCTAAGATAATATTTCGGCGAAGACTACTCTAACGGCATCAACTACATACGTATGTCGAGTGGATAATTAGCAGATTCCTTTGGTCGCCTGGGTGGGTGATTAAATCGTGATGATTCCGCGAAACACGCGGTTAAATCCACGTATTCTGCCGCTGTCAACATGTTGATTATCCTCTTTCTCTATCGACAGGCTTCTACAAGACGGATCTAATCCACGCCTACCACGCCTACAGCAACCCGGCGGAGCGCGACCGGCGCATGGCGGCCATCGAGGGCCGCGTCTTCGAGCTCTTCGCCCGCTCCAACTACGGCTTCCTGGAGCAGCGTCCGCCCGCGGGCGACTACCTCAACAGTCTGCGCTATCTGGACGAACTGCAGCGCTTCGTGGATGAAGAGAACATCAAACGGTCACGCCAGCTGGAGCCGGAACGGGAGACGACGGTCGGCGGGGAGGGGAAAGGGGAGGAGAAGGGGGAACGATGTCTGGACGAGGAGGAGGCCGATGCGGAGAAGGTCAACCTGATTGATGACAGTCTGATTGAGGTGAGGATTAAATCGGAATAAAAGAAATATTTTTGTATTAACCGCTGTTGCACCAAGTTTCATGGTGCGTTACATGAAGCGATTGGTATCGTAGTGTAACGGCTGACAGATTCAATACAGCCGTTTCCCGGCCTTGCGGCTAGATAGCGAAATTTGGTTAAGAAGCCTTTCAGTATTGCAAAAATATGGTTTTCTTTATTTTTTTTTGTGGGATTGTCAGTTTCTTATATCGCATGCACTGACGACCGTGTAGCTGGTCTTTGTGACTTTTTGTGGTGGGTAATTTGAACTAATTCCTAGTGGTTGGATTAGATTACAAATCGTGTACTGCGTAGTGCGTGCTAGTAGTCAACGGTTTTGTTTGTATTGTGAATGATTAGAAAAATTAATTATCTATTATTTGCAGTTTTAATTTTTCGTGTTTCAGTTTTCTGTGTTTCAGAATGTTATTCGGCTGGCATCAGCCTGTCAGTTATTATAATTGCGCTTATTTTCTGTTGTGTTGTGTTTCTGTTATTTTGTTTGCGATTAGGCCGTTGCAGTATTTGGGTGCAGGAATGTTATTATATTTTTTATAGAATAAAAACAGAAAATAAATAACCCCAAATGTGACAAAAAGTCGGATAAATGCCTTTTTCAGTAGAATGTACCGATGGATTAATCCTCGGCGCAGAGCTCCCTCCGCCTGAGCCAGAATCATATAATTCAGAATAATTGTTTGCAAAATAGCGTTTTTTGTCAACACCTTTGCTGCGTTTTTTATAAAATAAAAATATTATAATTCAGAAAAATAAATAAATGTAAAAAATGTAAACATGGAAAAAAATCTGAGTTTATTGTAAATGTAATTGTCTCTGCGTAGGATGTACCGATGGACGAATCCTCGGCGCAGAACTCCTTCCGTCTGAGCCTGTCGGACTCTAGCACCTCCTACTCCAGCTCGCTGACCACGTTAGGCTCGCTCCAACACTACTTCACCTTCCAGTCCGTCATCGAGCGCAAATCCATTTTAAAAGAGTCCCGTTTCCTCTTCCTACCGCGCTGGAAGCGCTACTGGATGGCCGTGTGGGGCGTCCATCTCATCACCTTCAAGCCCAAACACGGCCTACTACGCTGCACCGAACGCCAGCATTTTCAGGCCGTCCCCAGCAGTGTGCACGTGATTACGCAGTGGCGGTTGTTAATCCGCAAGGATCCGGTGGACAGCGACGGGAAGAACCGGAAGAAACAGCCGGAAGGGGAATTCACGCTGCGCTCGGCGGACAACGCGTTCGTCTTCAAGTTCCGCACGCGGACGGTGACGGAGTTCCGGGAATGGGTCAAGTATTTCCGCGGCGCCATTGGGAAGAGCGAGAGCGAGCCGAATCTGATGACCTTTGATGCGTGACGCTGATTTGTGGATTGTTTTGTTGGTGGACCAAAGAAATGGGGTTTTTTGTGCATTTTTTTGTTGGTTGATTATTCTTGTGTATAGGTATTTTTCTTCCATGCTCAAACGATGTGACTATTTGGGTGGAAAATGAGATTTTCCTTTTCCTTGCATTTTTTTGTACTGCTTCCTCTGCCTTTTTTTGTATGCCATTTATTGCGTTTTTTTTTACTCAATGATGCCGTATACTGCCGGATTTTTTTGGGAATTGTAGAGGATTTTTTTCGTAGCAGAGTTTTTTTGTGGTTGTTTTTTTTCGCTTCTTGGGTGGACGATGCGTGCCTTCGGTTTACAACGAAGAAATTTTGTGTTTATAGAAAATGGATGGTAGTACAATTGGATTTATTGTGTCCGTGAAATGGTCAACTCTTGATTTGTGAATATAAAAAAATTATAAAAATGATAGTTCATGGATGTTTGGGATTGTTAATTGAAAAACCGGTTTTTATGCTACGATCTGACAAAATATTGAAAATACAAAAAATATTCAAAAAACAGTATTCCATATATTCAGTATTCAAATATTCAAAAAATATTCAAACAGCTACAAAAATATTCAAAATTAACGCAAACGACGGCGAACAAAAAAACTCTTCCATGTCGAAACACTCAGGCTTAAAAAAATAAAATCATTGGAAATTCATCGGTCATCGCCGTGACGCCGTCCGCTGTTTTAGCCGCTGTGAGTCGTTTTCCATTACCGGACGGGAAAATGGAATTCCGTTAATGCACTTTAATTCCAAACCACGATAACGATATCAAGACTCAATTATTACGGTTAAAATGGAATTGGCCGGCGACGATGGTCTTGGTTTACGACTGTCCTCAGTGTGCTGTGTGGGCACTGGAAGTGGACAATGTCATCGTATAGTCCGCTGTAGCCTGTGGGACATTTTAATCCTTAATTTATCAACTTCTACTATGAGAAAAAATCGCAGGAAAATAAAAAGAATCCGAAATACCCACACCGCCGTGCGAATGCCCATTTGCCAGCACAGTGAGCGCCCACACGCTGGCTGGCGGCCGCTGGCGGCTGGCCACCCCACCGTATTCCAATTTCCGGCCCGCTGCTGGAAATGGCAGTCACATCCGCAATAAAGCGGAAGCTGCAGGCTTGTGTGACTCATTTACCCAAACCTCGATTTGTTGCCATTTCTCCAAGAGTCATTCCTAATTTCCAGCAATTTCATTTCGCAGTTATTTCCCTTTCACGCAGTGACACAAACCTTGACTTTTTACAAGTTATTGACTTATTCCCAAATTATTCTTTTTTGAGAAATTTTCTGTACTCAATCGTTCCAGTGGCAACTTGATTCCCGATCTCGTTAATTCATACTTTTTTATTTTCCGAGGAGAGTTTATAATGCCCAAAGGTATTTTTTGCTGAATTTATCCCAAAATGTTTCCATAACCTGGTGCTCCGTGGTCAGAAAAATTCGCAAAAATTATTCTGCGTGTGCATTACACTGTGGGGATGATTTGTAGGCAATCGAGAAGGCCCGAAACCCGCGGCGGTGGTGAAGGCCCAGCGAGGAGCCAAGAAGGGTACGCAGAAGGGGAAGGCGCGCCATTTCACCTCGCCCGAGGAGCTGGCGGCCGATGCGGCCCGTCTGGAGGAGGAGCGATTATCCGGACGACAAGTGCGTTGTTTTAACACATTCCTACACGTTCATAGTGTTTGCCACTGTTTTTATTCTGAACAAATTTGACAGCATCGTGAGGAGAACGAAGAGAAGAAATCCGGATCGGAGTCCAGTTCGGACAGCAGCGGATCGTCCAGCTCATCCGATTCCGACGATGAAGACGAGGTAAAATTTTTAAAATTATTTTTCTTACGTAAATCTTTGGGAGGGAAAGTTTGGAATGTTGGAAACGGCGTGGAATGTTCCGCAAATAAAGATAGCTGCTGATTTGTGCCTGGTGCCTGTTAATCTTGGCGGGTCAAGGCACTTCCCGGTGTGAATGAACTCGCTATCGCCTACATAGTACAGGGAGTTATGCATTGGTGGCCTGTTTGTGTCTCTACTCTTTTTATTGATTTTTCCGCAATCGTGTGACGCTGCTTCCGGGAGGTTAATTGTTTGGCGGTGCGTGTAGAAAACGAAGGGAGTGGAAGGCCTGATTGAGATCGAGAATCCCAACCGTGTCGTGGCCAAATCCAAGAAGATCGCCGATATCACGCTGGAGAGCGCGGCGCCCCAATTAAGTCGCCGTGAACGGTGCGTTTTTTATTCGTAAATAATATTCAGTATAATAGTGGATTTTTTATTCTTTTATTCGGAAATAATTCAAAAAAATATTTAAATACCGCAAGTAATCATATATAATATAATTATTATTTCCAGATGGTATTGTTTTTATTTTATCAGAAATAGTGGCGTTTTTATTTTCTGGCAGCGTATTTTTTTGCTGCCACCGTTGGATTCATTGGATTTATTTGAATTATTTTTCGTGCATTTTCGATGTTAATAATTTCATTAAAATGTTATATTTGTGCTGGTTGGGTTTAGGGAGGAGATTGAGAAGGAGAAGAACCGTCAGCTGCAGGAGAAATTACGCGCCGAGGGCAAAACGGAGCAGGCCCGCGCCGATCTGGCCCGACTGGCGCTCATCCGGCAGGAGCGCGAGCAGGCGGCCAAACGTCGGGAAGCCGAAGCCAAAGGTATCACAGACTCGCAGTTAACTTTTAAAAAAATTACCCTGATTTCCATCATGACGCTTCATTGAAATCCGCTGGATTTCTGTTGGCATAATGGCAAAAGGCTCTTGGTTATTCCATTCACGCACCCAATAATCGGGATTATTACTCATCTGCGTCACTCATCATTAGTCAGATCTTTGGCCTTTTTACTTTTTTCCCGCAAGTTATTCTTGACTGAATTTATTAATTTTTATTGTATATCCTAAATGGGATATACAACACAAAATGTATATCTTTTTTTTATTTTATGATTTATTCCCTTATTTTCTTAGGAATTTCTAAACGACCTAATATTCTACAGTATTTATTTGTATATTTTATTCCATATCCTTTTTTATTTCTGAATTTTAATTCCCGCAGAAATTTTTTAAAATGTTGATTTGTTTAGTTTTTCCATAACCTTTTTTGTTTCTGATTTACGCAGAACTTTTAAAAATGATCGTTTACTCCGTGCACCGGAATTTCTGCACCCGTATAAAATCGATACCGAGGGAAAATTTTAGTGTTTTTTTTATGTATTTTGGTGTAATACGAATTAACAAGCTTTTTTCGTACGTCTTGCAGTGAAGGAAGCGGCGCGTGTGACCAAGGTGGAGGCGACGCCCAGCATGAAGAAGGACGACCCGGCGCCGGGGACAGCAGTGGCCGGCGGGGACGCCAAAGCGGCCAAGAAGTGATGGACGACGGAGGGTGTTGTGGGCAGAGTTTTTATCGGGGAATGCGCGCCGGTCGGTGTGCGGTCCCCTCCCTCCTGCGTGTTCGGAAGCACTTTGTTTTGCCAATACTTTCCTTTTTTTTGATGCTACATGCGAGATGTGTTGCGGATGTAAAAACAATTACGGACTGCACTGCGGCGCTGGCAAATGGCATGGCTTTTACTTTTTTCAATAAATTCCCCAAAATCATCGCCTGGTTGCGTTTGCCGGTATTCTGTTAAGTAGCTGATATTGCTGCATTTAGTTTTTCTATTTTTTCACAATTCGCACAAACGTTTTTGTTAAAAGTCTTTATTTTCTCCCAGAACAAATATCTTTATCATTACTGCGAATGATTAACTAGCGAAATCTCTGTTAAATAATTCAATTTCTTGATTGCCGCTAAATTTTGAATTAAGAAAGAAATTTTCAAAAAATTATTATTATACGCATATACAGTAATAGTGAGAAATATTATGAGTTATCGCTCGGCTAAATTTTAACCAATATTTGGAGTTCCGCATGACAACAAAATTATAACGTGGCAAACGCTGACGGTAAAGCCTAGAAACCTTATTCCGATTTGTGAAGCCTACCGAACTTAATATCAATGGTTTGGTCTACTTTACTTTTTCTACAAATTATTTCTGGATTATTGTAATTTTTTATTTTAAATGGTTAACTTGGCTCGCCAAATTAAATGCCAATGTTTAAGAGTACTTGTAGACAAGCACCGCATTCTCTGTTTCTCGCTTCCAGTGAGATAATTCCAAAAAATACATTTTTTCTCAGATCCTTCCTGAAATTAGGATCGTACGTCGCTGTTGTCCGAAATGTAGTTTTCGCGTTAGCCTAACGTCACTCGATGGTAGTAAATAGAAACGCGGACGGAATGCCGGTGTTCCGCGCCGATTGTGTCATCCGCATCCCGAGTAGCGGGATGCTGGAAAGTGGAAATTCCTTGCAAGAAAAATGCCAGTCGCCGCTTCCTTCCGGTTGCGCGATAAAACGGCCATTTGTGCCGGTGATAAGGTGTTGTACAGCGTCATCTTCTGCGCGTTGCCATATATCCGCCACCGCGCGTAACACGTCACGGCACTCTAATCCACCATTCGTGTCGATTACGCTATATTCCCAGTATGTGTTCGCTGTTTTTAATGAACACCGTGTAATGATAAGTAATTCTATGAAGTATTCACACAGCAGTCACTGCAGGAAATCACCAAAAAATAATTATTTAAAAATATTATCCTTCTTAAATATTTAATTCGAAAACTAACCAGAAAATTATTATCGAAATATTATTACTGTTGTTTTGAAATAATTATTCCAAAAAAAGTCACCAACGAACTGTCAACTTTACTGCAGGATCGTTCGCTATAATCATGATACGAATTTCCACTTGAGCAACACAATTCCTTGAGCAAACCGGGTTAAAAACAGATTAAGACAAATACCCTTTCACAGTTAATATTATCAAAATTTAACACCACAACGTCCCAAAACTGGATACTGCTTCGAAATGAGAATGATGCGTCGCCATCACAAGTCCACCGTCGCGATGCCGGCCAGTGCCGACGTGTACTTCAGCAGCCGGGGACGGACTTCCGCATCCAAAAACTCCTCCACCTGCGCAGGAAAATATCACGTTAAAATACATACTATGCGTAATACAAAACGTTTACAAATTATTACCATATTTTTTATTATTTATATTCAACGCGAAAATTCTTTATCAAGCCGGTAGAAAAATAGGTTAACTCCCATACGACACTTCCCAGTATTCTTAAAATAGGTTAACTAGATTATTTCTGTCATTACGGGATCTTGTACTCGATCGCGTTTTCTTTAGTTTTTAGTAAAATTACAACGGCATTTTAAATTTAAATATTATTACTACTGACAAAAATTATCCGATTTCGTTGGAACGCCAACTCCACTAATATCTTCACCATCGTATCGTAGAACAGTGGCCATGTGGCGTGAAGCCCTCGGTACTGTACATTCACTACACTGGTCGTTATATCACATTTATGGGAACCATAGAATTAGAACACAGTAAATTAAAAGTAATTTGTTTTTCACTGCATAATGGTGTATTAATTCCGGAGAAAATTACTAATGAATATAAAATTTCCAATTTATTTTAACTGTTCTTTAATACGTTTTTCGGTAATTGCCCTGTGTTCTCCGTACCTGTTTATCGGCGCGTCCGGTGAAGAGCGTGGGATTCATGAGCTCGTCGAGCTCGTTGTGGATGTTGGCGAAGTAGGCGTCGGAGCGGATGCGCTGGAGCAAATCGTTGTCCTTGCCCTCCTGCTTGACGACGTTCCCGGCCAGCTGCGATAATTCCCGCAGTTTCTCGTGGCACTCCTGCCGATTCCCGCCGGCCTTCACGACGGCCATGATGATGTTCTCCGTGGCCATGAAGGGCAGTTCCGCGGCGATGCGCCGACTGATCACGTTCGGATAAACGACCAGGCCTTCGCAGATGTTCTGCAGCGTGATCAGCAACGCGTCCGCGATCAGAAACGCCTCCGGAATGCAAATAAGCCTGTGAAAAAAAAGGACAAATATTATTCTGCTTATTTACTCCATGCAGCTGAAATATCAGGCATAAACTCTGCCAAAACTAACATCACTCATTAAACAGCAACACTCAACCATTTTATTTACGGATCAACACTAAAATAATGAAATCATAATTTTTTACTAGAATGATACAGAAAAAAATCATTCTTATAGTAGCTATTTAAGTAACGCATATTCCTGTAATGGTTATAACTAATTACAGATACACCAGTAGAACTTTTAACTGGCCAGACAACCATAGAACGTTTTACAGATTAATGGGTCTGGTACAATTTAACCGGTGATGAAAATACCGAAAAACAGACTGGGTTTTCAGCAGCGCCATAAAAGTTTTTCTACGCGTTCGAAATGTAATAAAATCGTTCCGACTGAACAGCGTGTTATATTATTGGGAAAGTGGTTAAAACTGCACACATACGGTGTGATATTCCTCAGGATGACAACAGCGCTTACCGGTTGGCGCTGTCGTCCAGCGTGCGCTCCATCCACTGCACGGAGTGCGTCTGCAGCGCGTCGTTGACGAGCGTCATGAGGTGGCGCGCCAGACTGCAGCAGCGCTCGCTGCGCATCGGATTGCGCTTGTAGGGCATCGCGCTCGACCCGATCTGCTCCGCCTCGAAGGGCTCCTCCAGCTCCTTGAAACTGGCCAGCAGCCGGATGTCCGTGCAGATCTACACACCATTACACAACAAAATAATTTATATTTTCTACCTTCAAAAAATCCACCTATTATCCAATTTAACTAACTAAAGAAAACGGCTAATTATTTTCTTGAAATGACCAGCAGCCGGATGTCCGTGCAGATCTATAAATGATTAAAAATCAAAATAATCTATACTTTCTTCCTACAAGAAATCGACTCAATATTCCATTTAATTAAAAGGAAACGGCCAACTGTTTCTGGAAGCTGGCCGGCGGACGGATGTCCGTGCAGATCTACACACCATTACACAAACTTATTTATGTTCTCTCCCTTTAAAAAATCCACTTAATATCCAACTTAATTATTTAACTAAAACAAGGCTAATTATTTACTGAAACTGGCCAGCAGACGGATAAATAATACAATTTATAATAGTTACGTATGTAACACCGGCACTAAAATGCATATAAGATATTCATACATACGGCGATAAACAATTTCTTACCCCTGGTCTTCAATTAACTGATTTAAATTTTTTTTCTTACAAAACTATGAAATAAAATCCAATAAATGTATCAGCATCGATGGTGATTTAGATTTTTTCGCAACTGCTTTGCACATTGTTATCGAATTGACTTACATTTTTAATTTTTTATCAACGTATCATAACTTCAAAACTTTATTACGAAGAAATTCAAAAACATTTAATCACCATCTCAAGCGTTCAATCAACGCTACTGTACCTTATGGACGGTCGCTCCCAGTCCAGCCAACACCGACAGCACCTCCAAATCCTGTTTACGCGTGTATGTCTGCCCGCAAATGATAAAACACCTAAAACAAATTATCCCAAAAAATTACGGCACGTCCGTCGCCCTGTGCGCCACACCGAGCAAGAAAAGCTTTTTTAAAATTCACAATAAAATGCGAAATTCAGTGTGCGGTTACTTTTTGAAGCCGGCATAATCGCAGACGAGGACATCCAGCATGTGGGCCTTGTCGGCGTTGCCGAACAGCTGCACGAAGCTGGCCTGCGTCCCGGTGCTGCCTTTGACGCCGCGGAAGCGCAGATCGGACTTGATCCGTTCGAAATTATGCAGATCCATCACCAGATCGCCCGTCCACAGCGCCGCTCGCTTCCCCACCGTCGTCAACTGCGCTGGTCTACAACCGCAGCAAAAAAAGCTTGTGACTACCGTAAACAGCGGAACATGTACGAAAACCTCCTTCGTATTCAAGAAATATTACATCAAATTCGGACGATAGGATTCTGTAACATTCAGTGTCAAGACCCAAGACATGAACGACCCTTCAACAGCTCGGTTAATTAGTATTTTATTTAATTTTATGAATTAATACAGGTTTTGCGCTCCCATACATCCCTAGTCAGATTACAACTAAATGCATCAGAAATATTTTTATTCATTTCACAAGCAAGCTGAAAACTAAATAAGTTTTTCTATTTTTCTATTGATTTAATTTGTCAAGCTTCCACACAATCCCGGCGAGGCTAAATATACGAGTAAGCAAAATGATTTTTCTGAATTCCAAGCGAAATTAGAAACACACTGACTTTTATTATTATTTTATCAAAAACATGACACAAGGAAATCCTTTCATGAATGGAAATAGTTCGTCAACATTGAACTGCCCTTACACTACGTTCACATCCATAACTTTACCGACAACTGTGTATACTGTTCACAATCAGTAATTGATTTAATTTTATTTAATTTGATTGGTTACGCGTTCATATATTCAGAACTAAAAATAAGTAAACGTATACTATTTTCACTTTCATTCATTTCAAGGAGAAATTTCAAAAATTTGCTTTATTTTAATTTTCAAATTAATTTACGACGCTTCCATGCATCCACAGTGAGGTTACAAACAAATGAATTATTATGAATTTCATTCACCGAAAATAAAAATAATTTCGCTTTATTCAGAATTTAGTGATTTAATTTACATAAATCGCTTCTACACATGCTTGATGAATACAAAATCACCATATCAAGTTTTTAATTTAGCGTTTTGAAATTTACCACGGAAAACTGTACTTAAAAATATTTATTCAAAATCGCAAAAATTGCAAGACTTTTCGTGCCATGCTTTAATAGTTTAAAAATAGCTAAGAAAAAACGTATAACTTACTGCAGATGTGTGTATCCCAGAGTCGGCAACGCTTTGTAATCATCCGCAAATTTGCTCAGACGATCAATGCACCGTGCCAGCTAAATACAAGAAATACTTCACCAAATGCACGTAATTTCCATCAACAATCTGAATATTTTTAATGGATAATGGAAAAATAATTTACCTTGGGCAAGAGTATTTGCAGTCCATCGCGTATACAAATAAGATCCTGGCAAAATAAAAACACCGGTAAAATCAGTGCAAATTGATTGCGGAAATGATGGGCGAAGTGTTGATTGTTATGGTTAGAAGCGTACGGTATTGTCCGTCACGTAGCAGGAAGTGGCGCCCAGATGGATAATGCCCTCGGCCTTCTTGCACTCTTTTCCAAAAGCCCGCACATGCGCCATCACATCGTGCCGCACGCGCTTCTCCTCCGCCAACGCGAAGTCCCAGTCAATACGCTCCACATTCGCCTCCATTTCCGCTATCTGGTCTTCGGCAATATTCAAACCCAGTTTCTATACGATCCCCGAGAAACAGGTGAAACCATGTGTTTTTTTAAAACATTTTAACGTACGTCTGTTAGGAAAAATATTCGGCAGTATTAATTACATACCATAACATAAACACAAGCCACTGTACTACGTTGTTCTATTGCTATACGTATCGTCAATTCTAATGATAAATTGTTGCAAATTTGATCACAATAAAAATGAAAAAAAATCAGAGATTAAAAATTAAAACAGTGTATGTAAAATGCTGTGATAAATCAACGGGCATACGGTACCACAGAAAAAAGTTAAAAAAGCTCACTGGCAGCATTTGTACGGCACCTGTTGCGATTTGGCCAGCCAGACCCAGAGTTTCCTCCAGGTGATGATGCGTTTGCGCTCGCTGAAGTTGTAGCACATCTCCTCGCTGGCATAGCGCTGCGTCAACGGCGTCTGGTAGCGGGACTTCTCGCGGTCCTTCTCGTTCGTGGCCATGATGGATACTGGAGGGCTCTCCACTTTGTTCGTCGCCGGAAGATTCGCAGGGACAGCAACAGGAGCTTCCGGAATTGGCACAACTGCGTTCGCTGTAATAAATAACATAATAATAAGTACCAACACAATAAATAAATAGGATGTTGATGAAAGACAACTAAATAAATAACAACATAATAAATAACAATAAAAAAAACATATTTAATAACACACTGGTTCCATTTCCAAAATTCTACACTAGAATCTGACTTTGAGTTTTTCCAGTACACCGCAAAAATAGAGAAAAATTGATCGAAAATGGTGGAAAGAAAAAGCGGAAGATTTTACGTCAATACTCTAACACAATGCATCACTGACCTCTGACTGGCGTGATCTCTTTTAATATCCGCAGAAATTGGTCAACGAGGCTGGCGTCCTCCTCAAAATCCACATTGCTGAGGACACTATAATCGAGCGCCTTCTTCCTGGCCTCCGAAGCCACCACATGCGATACTTCGGGACGATTCAAAACGATCTGACAAAGCGCTAAATTTGCGGCCGCACCGAGCACAACGGGATGATCAGGCGCCAGCCCGCACGCCGCGCCTTTCGTCTGCGTCCAGGCTTCGTCGTATGATTTACGGCAGTTTTCCAGCAGAACATTGCGATTATCGCCGATGGCCACCTCTGCCAGATAACGGTAGAAGTCCCCTTTTAATTCCAAGTAGAAAATACTTTCGGTATCAGGGACACTGTCCAGGTGTTTGTCAAGGGACGTCAGCACCTTACGGCAAAAATCATTTAAACGCTTTTCCACTTTCTCGCGGTATTCCGTGACCATCTGCTGTTTAGCTAGGTCTCCTTCCAAAGCAGCTTCAATGGCGCTCAGAACTCTCCAGGAACAACGCAGTGCGTAAACAGCTTGCTTGTAGGCCACATTCATGAGAAATCGTCCCCTGGACTGCAGGTCCACCCCGATTTCCAGGACCTCGTCCATTTTGGCCGACATTTTAAAGTACAGACTATTCTCACCAAAAAAACGCGCGTCCTCCAATAACGAAGACATTACTACCAGCCGGGGATCCGGAGATCTGCATGCAAAAATCGCAGCGTGCATTATAATCAACTCCCTTTCATTTCGCTACAAAATGCCGTAAATCTTCCTGCTATCTTTAAATAGGTAATTTAAAATTTTATTGACCTAAGCTCACTCCTTTATTTAGGTCCTTTATTTTAACTTTCAAGAAAACAGGAATTTCTGTCGCGTTGGTCACGCACTAATATCTCTTGATAATAAAATGAAAATTATCAAAAATAATAAATGACGAATAAACGTAAAACGGATAACGTTACGTAATCGGTAATTCTGAATTAAAACGGTAATTTAAAATTAATTTAGTTACTGATGTATTTTCCACCGGTGCAGTCATTTCTGGCTTCGCTTCGGTCATATAGTACTAGTCGGAAGCGGCGCACGTCCCCAGATTTATTTTAATTTTTATTTTAAAAATTAAAACGTTAAAAAAATGAAAAACCTTCAACAGTTCAATTCACGTTTTCTTACCCTGGAATAGGGAAATTTATAGGAGACGCCGGTTTCAGGAGCGGAGAAAATCGGGATTCATCAAGCTCATCATCTTCTGACATCTGGATATGCTGCATTGTGCAGATCGTCGGTTGTTTCAGCGGGGAACGAGGAAGAACCCGATCCACTGGAATCACAGGGCGAATCACTCCCTGCACACCTACGGGACAATTCATCATTATTTAATGACAGGAATGATCGGAGAATATTTCTGTATCAAATGGTGGACGGTTGGGAATGGCTACACACCGAAAAGAGATTTAAAAAATGAATGAGATGCGGGAAACTCGTGTCAAGGTCTTCGACTGAACGACGCTCAAGCTCTCTACAAGCAAACGGTGGATTTAGTTCCTGCTGCTGCGGGACGGGAACAATCTTACGGCTTACAAGATTAAAGGGAATATCAGGGCTAATAAATGGGATAATTAAGACAAAATCCCGACGAGATACAAGGAAACTAGGAAATAGACCGTTTCTCCCTGGATCGACTAGAAAACTGCGCTGATCATCGCATGTTGCAGTCTCAGTCTCAGTCTGCTGCCGTGCTGCGTGCCGTGCGTGCCACCACGCGGATTAGGCCGAATGCCACCACGCGGATTAGGCCGAATGAGTGGTCGAGTCACGGCCAGTCACCGTGACTCGAGCGGTGTGTCTGGCAGCTGGCTGGATTGCGCACCAACCGCTTTTCAAGACTCAAGTTCAACTTTACTGTGTCGCTGTGCCGAGTCTGGGTCGGTTCCGAGCCGAGTTCAGCGAACGTTTGCGGTGATTAACCGGGAGTTTACTGGCTGCGCTGCATTTCTCTAGCATTGCTGCAAGTGGTTGCCATTAGAACGCGGCGGAAAGTGAGCCGCTCCTCGTTGAAGTGTTGCGATAACTGGCGAGTTATTCTTGTTACGCATACCTTCCGGTCTGACTAATGCCAGACATTGATACGAAGAAAATACAGTTTTCGCGATAATATGCCCAAAAAATAATAATTATTGTCATTTAATAAGAGAATAGTTTTTTGCATATTTTTTTCCCGTATCGCCATTGCATAATAGCCATCAGTAAAACACACTTTAATAAAATAACACTGCGAAGAAATAACCCAAAATTCAGAATTTTTTCACGGTTTTAGCGCACGACAATCGTCATTCAACTAAAACATTTTTTAAAAATGTTTTAATTTTTTTGTGCGTCAGCCGTTGCGTAACACACATCCAGGAAAAACAGTAAAATAAATTCAACAAAAAGATCACGAAATAAAATTCCAAAAAAAAATTAAATAATTCTTAAAATCATTCAACAATTTAAATTATATAATCCCAAAATTAATTAAAAAATTAGTAAAATATGAAGTTTTTCTCTTATCGTTACGCGCCGATAAGCGTCATTCAAATAACAGAACAAATAATTACATATTCCTTAATTTGAATGACGGTCACTAACCGGGAGCTTGTCGGCTGCGTTGCAGTTCGGTTGCAGTGTATTTAAACCGTAACAAGTGTCAGAGATTACAAAACGGCGGAAGCGAGCCGTTCCTCGTTAAAATTGTTGCAAGACTTGGTGAAATGTTACGCACAACTTCCGCTCCCACTAATATCAGGCATTACGCAGAAATATCAATTTAAATTTTTTCCCGATCGTAGGACGCCGATTATCGTCACTCAAAACAAAGAAAAATGTTCAATAATTTTTACTGCGTCAGCCTTGTGTTTTGCTTTGCCCGCCGAAAATTGGCAGACGTGACAGGGAAATTCTGGGAGTAGTCCGGAAACGGAAGACGGTAGTCAACAGTTTAACACTGCGGTGTACGAGGAATGCGCTGCTACGATCGGCTAACCATAAATATTTGATGATTAGCCGCTTTGACGAGTACGAGTACCAAATTTATTGTAACATCCAACGAAGGCGGAACCTGCGGAGCAGCAAGTGATATTTTAATCCAGAATACGGAAACAGTGCAAAATGCTTGGGCAGCACAACAATGCTTGGGAAATAAATTTGAAGGAACTAGGAAGGGGTACTGTGTTCAATGTCGCATGGTGAGTCTTCCCCTGTACTCTGGGTACCGTTACTTCCGTTCGGAATATCGCTTCATGGCTGCCTGTACGGTACTGGCACAGAGACTGGTAATATATAGAGAGGCCATGTCAATCGAATCACATGCAATGCAGCGTTCCGCTGTGCCGTTCAGGGTAAGACCCCTGTTTCGAACACGAAGATCATTGGCAAAAGTGCCACATTTTGGCTATGCGGATTGGCTACAATTTCGTCGATGCGCAATTGTGGTTGGTTACTCAAATGCTGCCAATCCGCACAGCCCTGTTTCGCTGTATGAATTGGCTGTGTTCGACCACATTTTGAGATACAACCGCCATTCGTGGGTGGTAGGCTAACGACAGGGGGTCTTACTCTGTACGGAAAACTGGATCACTTGCAAAGTATTGCGTGTCCTCTCTATGTATTACCAGTCTCTGTGGTACTGGCTCAGTCTGGCACTCTGGCTGTACCTAGCCTCTATGCACAGCCGTACTTTGCAGTTGCTTTATATTGTTTACAGTGCAGTATACAGTAGTACTGTAGTACAGTGGTAGTAAATACACAGCCCTCTGTTTTTCTAGAAGTCTACATTTACTACAGACAGTTCCAGTTTTGCGTTTTGACACTTGGGTGCTTGTAATTGTAACCAAAAAACCTAAAACTGCAAACTGAAAAGTTCATAAGAGTATAAATTTTACGTACTCATCCGTCCGCCTGACAGTGACTACCTATCACGATCAGTGTAGACTTATTCTCATAATATAAGTTTACTTGGATTGCTCATTGCCATCAATTTCACTACAGTCAATTGTAAGTAAGACTAAGTACGTAAAAATTTTCGCAAAAGAAGGAACCTTTGTAAAATTTTAAGCTTTCCAGAGAAAAAACTAAAAGGCGAGAATGCAAGAACATGCAAGAACCGAAGAGCGAATGAATGACATAAGAATTTTTTTAAACGTACCCTCCTGCTTCGCATTTTGCAGTTTACAGTGTGAGCGCTGTTTAAGCTCCCTGAGTTTTGAGAAATTCTGCATTCGTGACGATGATTCGTTTTATCTGTTTTTTTCTGCTTCAGTCTTAAATTTAAACTTTTGAATGTTTGAGAAATTCTTTCCTTCGTACTTCATCTAAATTCAGGGCAGCGCCTCGCTCCTGACTACTGAGCACTGAACCATTTATTTCTACAGGGTGGCCTCGCGCATTCGCGCTCGGCACGTTCGTACTGAAGAAGTCTATTAATTTTTAAAATTCCTAGGGTGATTAAAGAGAATTCCATTCAAAGAACTGTTTTTGTACAGATGATTAAAACTCATAAGTAACTTACTGCTTGCATAATAATTGTTATCTACGGTAATTTTGTCTAATGTGCTGTAATATTGTGCATAGGAAGCAGGTAGGTTTCTATGTATGTATCCGCAATATTGTCCGTGGTTACAATCGTAATGTTAAGTGCTGTACAGTATATATATTACTGAGCAGTACTCCCTTTTTCGAGTGCTCTTTACGTTTCCTATACTTAAGACTTGGTGGAGTTATCTTATGACCAATGGCCATTAAAACAAACAAAAATCAGGGGGCAAACCTGTGGAAAATATGAAATTTTTTTAGAACAAGCTTGACTAAAACTGACCACGCTTTGACGAAGTCCAAAAAAGGACGCAATAAATGCGTTTTAAACGGTAAATTGTATAAATAGATAAAGATAATAATATTCCATTATTCTCAGATTGTAAATTAATAACTAATAACCGAACTGAATATCGGTACATGATCGGGTGATACAAATTAAACCTGTTGAGTAAAGGCTTAATTAAATTGTCATTATTTGATTTTGGTATACCATTGTTTTAACCTTTATCTGTAAGAGTTTAATTTGTATTTTCCGACTATAACATTAACCGGCTCATGAACAGAAATGTTCTAGGAATACATGGTTCAACAGCGACCTGACCCCTCGATAGTTTAAAAGGATTTACGGACGACGTTACTAATTAAAGCCCTGATAAGGTTTTTATTGAGCCTTCATATGCATAAAATCGCTTTACGCAAAAGATTCCAAGCATTGGAATCTGCTTACTGCAGGGCGCGGAGTTGGCCACTCGCTATGTCCGGCTGACCTCTGGCTGCGCTGCATCCGTTATCAACCGGCGGCGTATATATGAACTAAACGATGCGTACCTATATTATATAAACGATTTCTAAAATACATGAATACTGAATTAACTACGACAACTTAAACTGGCTCGGCTAAAACTTTATATGAGTGGTCCGTTTTTACAGTTTGCCATTTGGTATCGTTACTTGAGTTGCCTAACTGCCTACCAGTAAAGACTACAAGCTTGTCCGGAAATTCGAAACTTAAATTAAAGCTACAGCTGGTGTGCACTGAGCGCCACGTTCCTGAGAAGTGGAACGACTGCCAATCTGCCACTGCACTAAAGTATTTACATGACGAATTCGAAACCTAAAACATATTTTACGGCTTTTATTTTCTTTTATAAATTTTACTTATCTTATTATTTTAAGTCCTCAATATTTATTTTTACATACAGATATGTTGATATTTGGCATTTACCAACCATGCCCCAGCCAAAAGCAATAACCAGCAGACAATGTGGTATGGCGCACCTATAATAACCTTTTACAAAAAAATTTTCAAATAGTCCGTAGTCTTCACTGCTGAGTGTGTTTCCCGTGGTGGTGTACTGTACACTGTACCGAGATTTTTTGGGGTATGGTTAACATTGAAAAATTAATAAAAATTGGCGTCGGGAACCTTCCCCATAATTAAATACAAAATTTCGACAATGCTGGTCTGGCCGACATAATCCGAATCGGAACTTATTGGAACGCAGTCCATAATATTATGCATTGCATTTTGTTTCTTAGGTGTATCGGTATGACTATGGAGCGTTTGCCCTTAGTGATGCCACAATTTCAGCCGATCTTGGCTGATGCCAACCAGATCAGTTACCGGAACACCGTGGCTGTTCACAATGCTGACAATAGCTGGTGGTTGGGATACCTCCAGGATATGGACGGCGACCAGGCCTTCATCCACTTTGACGCCAAAAACGTCACTGACCGCTGGGTGCACATGGGATGCGTCTGGCCGCTACAGTTCTACTGGGACGACAACCGGTTGACATCATCGCATTCGATCGGTATGCGAATCTATGCGGCACTTCGTGACGAAGATGACGGACCCTTTCAGTTTCGACCGGTCACGGTGGTGGACAGATTGCGTGGATGTGAGAAGATGTCGGAAGTGCTGTACGTCCAAACCCATGCAACCGCAGTCAATGGTAAGAGAGGCAGCGTTCGCCTGGCGCTGGTGCAGAACTGCCAAATTAGCAAACAGCTGCCGCCCGCTGATTCCCCGTTACTTCATCAATCCAGGCGCGGTCCGTTATGTTCCAAGTTCCTGGTGGCGTTTCCCGGCGCCCAGGCGCTTCTGAATGACGCCTCCGATAAATTTCGCATCATCATGCATTTTCGCAAACTATTTCTAATCCCACCGTTTTGTCGGTCGTTGTACTGCTGTGACGTTCACGCCGCCGGTCAATTTAAAATCGGCAAGCTTTTGGGCGAAGCAGCGGATCGCCAAGGGGAAGGGGGATTATATTACAGCGAGTGGAGCGATTGTCGCTTTCATCTGCGCATTGAACGGGATGGTTGTACGTTTGTTATTATGAGTCCGGCAATGGGCGCGGAGATGGCACAGCACATGAGGGGGACACTGACGGAAGTGCTGGAGACGCATCTGGCCAGTCGGGCGCATTTCCCATCGATCCGTTCCCGAAATCTAGATCACCATGGTCTGCATTCTTTGCACGACAAAGGTATCACTGCAGCGCGTAGACTAAAATAGTTTTGAGTATTTGACGGTTGTACTCTTTAGACTATAAGTATAAATAATCGACACATTTGTGTCATATAAATTGTATTCTGTGAGGCACAATCCTGTTATCGTTGCGACACCTTTGTTGTTCTTTAAGCTTGACTTTCGTTGTCGTCCCTCAGATGCGGAAATCGATCCAGTATGCACGGGAATGAACCTGTGTCACCTGCCGCCGTACCTTCAGAGCGAAATATTCCCCCATATGGACTTACATTCACAAATGCGAGCGAAACGGTACGAATACTAATACGTGGCACCATGGTTTATTCGTATGTAGTCACTGAGTTGGACCGAATCAAAATTTACCGTAAAGCGTAAGTTCTTAACCGTAAGTCTGCTTTTCAGAGAGGTGTTAATCATTCGGGGAAATCAAACGCTATAACTGTTATAGCGTTTGATTTCCCCGAATTAACACCTCTCTTCCTCTTCTTCTTCCTCTTCTTTCTATGTTAGGAGCATACGCTTTGTATGTTATAGCATCCGACCATTCCCCGACCACTGAGCAAACAACCAGTTACCTTAAATTTACGGGGCTTCAGGGACTATATATGTACAAAGTCACAGATCATGATGGCACGAAATACCATAATTATCCCAAAATTACAGTATTTAAGTTCTTAGTACAGGACTGACATTGTGACAGCTGGATTGCCGACTCAAGTATACCGATAGTTAGCCGTATAAATTACCATCTTCCTCTGATCAGCATCGAAAAGTACAAGTTCAGTGTAATGCCGGACAAAATTTAAGCGTTTCCGCCCGACCATGTAGCCATTAAACTGAATGACCAAGACCGCCTTTGCCCTTCAGCGACAAATCTATCTGCCTGATTCATGATAGTGACTGAAACGAAATGTGATTGTTGCTGTTTCGAAATTCTAATGGTAGATTTTTTGCTTTGACAGGGTATGCGCCTTGTGGCAGCTGCTGCTGAGTAGTCCCCGCCTGACCGAGCACATCAGCATCGCACTGGACAGCTGTGCCAGATATCATTCGGACAACAGCAGCAATTGTTTCCGTGCGGCATCGCTCTTGAACCGCACCATCAACACAACCACCGCAACTCTCACCGTACTGGGTGAATTCCTTCCCCACAACTTCCTGTTTCTAAGCGAAGTATTGCGGGCCATGAAGATTACGCTGCGCTTAATTGTTTTCAAAGACCATATTATCGCGGGTCGTGGAGGGAAGTGCGATCAGTACTCACTCTCCGCTCACCCGGCAACTAGCGTCATAACATCGTATAAGAACATTGGCGACTTCATTCTGCTACGTAACTGTCAAGTAGACCATCTTTTTAGTGAAACTATGTGGTACGTGTTTGAATGGTTTCGCCTGCCCCTGCCAGCGCATGAGAGGTCATTCAAGAGGAATCTTCTTAAGGATTATCAGGAACGGCGCGAACTCCCCATCGACCAGCTGCGCATTACTATTCCGCAGCTTCTGCTGCGCTGCGACGAAAGCGAAATGCTCATGGCCAGCCGCGTGATGTGCGCCCTGAACGACAACTTTCCGCCGGTCAAGGAAGATATGCTACAAAAGGTCACGGCTGTGCATGCCCGCTGGGTGCGCACCCTGTGCTATCCGGACGATTGGCAGGCGATTCGTAATTATCTCATTCTGTGAGTGCGTACCTCTACCGCTCTACGAGCAGCAGCCGGTAACATCCGGTAAAGATTTACTTATTTTTCAATATCAGTTTTTATGCCTGGCTATCTGACATCCATTGTGGCCCACGGCCCTTCTCTCGGGACGGAGAGCCGCGGTCTTCTCGTAAGAACCGGTTAATGTGTAGCAAATTTTCTCCGGTTATACTTCGGGGGCCATTCCTCTTTCGCGAATTTTTAAACTTCGGGGTCGGCATGAACCATGGACTTCTCGAACCGAACAGGCAGTCGGACAGTGTACTACCGTAATGTCAGTTATTTTATTGCTATATGAGACTGTACTCAGTGTCCGTTGGAACGTATTTTATTGTCGCGCGCTGTGGTTTAACTGTATTATAACTATTATTGTGCGCAGGTTCAGTCCATTCAACCTCACCGGCCGACCACAAAATTGGGTGAAAGTCGACCTGCGGCTGGTGAATGTCAGAACACTCTCCAGAATGGCCATTTACGGAATCGACGCAGTATTTCAAGTGTGATACTCTGCACCGTCGCAATCTCTCGCTCTGGACGGGGTACACATCGCAGTCCACATTACCAACAGTGCTGGAGAAATTCAGATCATTTGGACTGGCAACACATACACGCTGCATCAATTTTGGGAATAGTGGAAAGAGCAGAAAAGTTTAACACACGTTTAACAGTTGAAAGATTTAATGTTGTAAAAATTTGCTACATTTTCGATTATTGCTTAACACAGGTGAAGAAAATCGAGCCATTTTAGTTTGGCGGGGACAAAGCATGCGATGTCTGCGTGATAACTGGAACCAAACCTTGAATTCAGATATGTTGTGTCTACGGAAAGCATTGGGTACTTAGATTTTCTCTTAGATCTCATGAAGAACAGCCTATTTGGTTTTGAATTTGTTGATATTTGTTCTCATTCGTTTGATATGTCGGTTGATGTTTTTCGTTTGGAAAACTAGCAAGGTGCAAGCGTTAACAACAACAGGCCGATGGCCAGCTGGAAGTGGCTGTTTGAGTACAGATAAGTGCCTGGCTGCGCGCGCAATGTAGTTATATAAGTGTAACACTTTAATGGCGTCCACTGTATTATGATACTTCGTACTGTACTTCATTAAATAATGAAAACATAAAGTTTGGACACTACAGCATTTAATCTGAATTAAAATATCACCTGCTGCTCCGCAGGCTCCGCATTCGGTTGATGTTACAATAAATTTGGAGGTTCGGTCATCGCATTATGATACTTACTGTAGCCGTACAAATGAGATCTGTAGTGAAGATGTGCATCTCATTGGTGCTAGTGCAACCGGAAACATTTGAATGTGTACTTGTACGAAATGACCAGTTCTACGTGGCTTTTCTGGTCTTCTGAGATTGTCTGAATGCTCTGAAATCATTCTTGCTCTTGCCCTTGCCCTTGCTCTTTCCCCGTGGTGATTCGAATCTCACAGCGTGCGTATCCAAATGAATCCTCGTAGCAGGATAATTGGTAATTTCGTATCACAGATTTTATCCAATGAATCCCGGTGAATCGGGGTGCACACCGCGGTGAATCGAACCCCAAGCGTGTGTATCCAAGTGAATCTTCGATTGTTGCAAGATAATCGGTAATTTTTTATCAGAATTTTTAGCCAGTGAATCGCGGTGAATCGGGGTGCACACCGTGGTGAATCGAACCTTACAGCGTGTGTATCCAAGTGAATCCTTGTTGCAGGATAATCTTTAATTTTTTATCACAATTCTTCACATCACGTTAATTATCACATCACATCAATTTTCACATCAATTGTCACATCACGTTGGTGAAATCCGTAATACTCAAAACGAATTACTGGAATTCAAAAAGGTGTTGCAGGTGACCTTTTACATGCCATTAGAGTATACCCGCTTTATCTCCCTCTTTCCCTGTTTCTAACGTTTTAGCTAGCTACCGTATTCTGTTTTGTGATAATTTTGTTGTACAAGCTGTTTGTTAAATGTCAGTCCTCCATCGCACAACCCTCTCGCAAGGACAGCACCGGAAGGCAGCCGCATACATCCTGGCCATAAATCGTGGAAGCACCCGGTCACGCATATCCAGTGGTGGTCCGGGTTTCTTCGGTAAGAGTCACCAACCCTCGCTATTCACGATTCGTGACTCACGAATCAGGGAGAGCATTTGGTATCTACGCCTCTGCGGTGTTTCACACGAAAAACAAAAATTAATGCTGAAATTGATTAGGTGACAATTATTATACTGTAATACAATCTTACACACACGAGCATCGTCGAAAATTTTTCTAGTTCTTCGTGTGCGACAACACAGAAAACACGTGCGACAACACGTTTTCGTCTCTGGTGCACCAGAAAACTGAGGTGGTGTCACCAGAAAAGCAGCCTTTTTCCCGTTAAACACCGTCGTCCGTTGGCATCTAACGTTCATTGCATATATTCTGGTGACATAGTGACACTGAGCGTAGTCATGCAATATGTGCGCGTAAGTCGAATCAGCCAGTCCCTGTCGACTGATGGCTTGATCATTTTCCTGGTCGAACTTCGCCTGCCAACGCGTTGAGAAAATTTAATATAGTTCGTTCAGCGCACAAAAAATGTGATGTTCGACATTTAACATGATCGGCGGTCTCCCTCCGGATTGACTTGGGACCTGGGAGTATCACTTTTGATACCGGCAGCGAATCCTGTCGCGTGCCTATGGCGTGTACTTCAATAAAAACCCGTTACACAGAGCATCACGCCATCATCACGGTCAATAATTTCATCGTTCTGGGAAACAGATTTGACGAGTTCCTCGAGATCGTCTTTGTAGCTTCTTAGAAGGCCAACATCTTTCGTGATGAATGCGCCATTGGCATATTATGGAGCTCCTGATAACAACATCTTTTTATAAATCCAGATCATCTGGAAGATGCTGAATGCTGACATTACGCTTGATTGTCATTCCGCTTTACTGTGCTTTTAGTCGGGTGCTCGGGAGTGCTGCTGATTATTTGGATGCCCCATCTAGTGTGCACTATGCTATAGCTATGTTTGACGACGTTTCATTTGACGACGTTTGACGACGGCACAATTACCATTAAGCGTATAGGTGCACTGGTGATCGCTTTCAGAAAACAGGTATAATGTTAAGGACTGTGGGTGTGTCCGGTGCTCGTTTGCAAAGTTTTCCCGTTGAACACCATCGGGCCCATCAAAATAAAGCATGAAGGTGTAACGTTAACACCCAACAGCCCAGATGGACACAATGGCACATACGTACTCGTAAAACGCAGGACTAGATGGTCGCATACTCCCATACCCAGTCAATAAGGCAGTCATGCGTGTACTTCATAAAGATCGTTAGGTCTCTAAATGCAAGCGCGCGAACACTCTGACCAGTGTCAGCGGTCGGTCGTCCACCGGGTCTAAGCAGTCCGCGCTCAGTGGGCTGGGCTTCATCATGAAGCCGCGCAAATTTGATTATGGGCGTATCCACCAACTAATCCTGATTACCCTGCCGTAGATGTATCGGACGCCTTGGAATTGTGGAAGATTAACGCACGTCTCCCAGATCTCCCCGAACCAGCTTTTCGCAAAATACAAAGAACCTGCCGCTGTGCAATGTTTCACTGTCTGTACTGCTGGACATCTTCCGAGACGACGAGGTCAATCGGGCCCGTCTCCTGGCGCAGTCTACTCCGGAAGCTGGCATTTTGTTGAATGCCCTACCCTCGGCACACATCGGCAACCTTCTGGACGACGATACGGTCAAGATATCAGTAGGTCTAAGACTGGGCGTTACCATCTGTGAGCCTCATCCATGTGCTAAGTGCAATAAGCCTGTTGACGTGTATGGCCACCACGGCTTATCATGTTCTTTTTCTGCTGGGAGACACGCACGCCACGGTGGCCTGAATAGCATTGTGTGCAGATCGTTAGTTTCGGCAGGGATCCCAGCAAGTCTGGAGCCCCGTGGAACGTCACACACTTCGGCTCGCCGCCCCGATGGATGCACCACATTTGCCTGGAAACGCGGGATGTGCCTTGCATGGGATGTGACCTGCGTGGACACTGTTGCTTTGTCCCACCGGAAATCCACGTCGGTCACCGCAGGTTCCGCTGCCGCGCAAGCCGAGGTCAAGAAAGTGCATCTGTATGCGTATCTGAATGGCAGATACATTTTCGTACCGCTAGCGTTCGAAACACTTGGCCCATGGGGAAAGTCAGCTACCATATTGGTAAAAGAAATCGGCAAGCGACTACAACTTCACACAGGTGAACCTCGCTCCCATGAGTTCCTTCGTCAACGGCTGTCTCTGGAGATTCAGCGAGGTAACGCCACTTCCGTACTCGGAACAATGGAGGGAGCGATAGCGTTAAATGAGATTTTGTTACTGTGATTGACTTTTATTGATCTGTGTTCAGTGTATCGTACCTGTATTTTATGAAATAAAATTACAATACATCGTAAAGTGTTGTCCACATAATACCGGCGCCGTAGTCATCTAAGTAATTATGTACTTTACGGATGTTAGTTCAGCTACCGGAAGCTGAATAACTGCCGGCACAACCGTACCCTTTATTTGCCCCATCGCGGTGGCAACCGGATATATTGTGTACACTCACAGTGGGCCATCGACGATCTTGCAGTAAAAAAGGTTGAAGCCGCGCAAGATTTAACTGCCTACCGCCAGCACCAGCGTAGTATCGCCTCTCGCTTTCTCGGCGGACAGCCACCCGAAGAAAAGGGAGATACCCTCGGCCTTCGTTGAATCCTGACTACAGCGTCGGCCAAGGACAGGCGCCTCCGACGGACAGCGTACCTGAGAGACCGCTTCGTGACAGTGGATGTGGCGGCCGTCCGGGGACAGTAAGCTGGGCTGAAGGAAACGAATTTTCTCGCTGCGCGAGACGACCGGTCGAAGATGCCCCTCCATCGACACTGAATGCTCTAGCAAGCAAGCGGACCGGAAATTTGTTGCAATCTGGCATAGTTTCGAAAACCAAACGTGCCTATCGTAGGCGGATTAGCGACGCTGATGCGAGGCAGCGGCGCAGAGACGGGCCAGCTTCCGCGCCACGCGTTAATTGCTCTGCGGGAAGTCCATTGCTTGTCTGGGCTTGCAAGACGACTTCCGCACCGTTGTGCTGTCGCCGGATGTGGTCTACTACTAAATCCGTGTAATATTATGGGTTTTGTTCATTTACACACACATAGACGGTCTGAAACACACATAGACATTGGACAATCAGGTTTACGTTGTCGCTGTCCGGTGCTGCTTGGCACAAGTTCTTGGTTCTTCGTTGTTCATTAATATTGCATGGCGGGTAGACAGTAGACTAATAATTCCTAAAAAATAATTTTTAAACCAATCGAATTGCGTAGCACAAAAGAGAGTGCTTTAAGTTGGAGCAGCGGGATGCCGATTGACATTGGGATTGCATCTGACACAGTTCAGGATTTACCGTAATATGCAGGTGATGTCGTAGTGTAATTGCTTTTGCGAAAGCAAAATAATGGTGATTTGGTGCAAACTGTAAAGCAGTACGGCGAAAGATGCAAATGAACAAAATTAATTGATAGTATTTTTCTGTTAATTTTCATGATTTCTATATTAGGTTTAACAAGGGTATGCAGTGATTCATACTTTACCAAAAATAACGAAATTAAAAATAATTAGCCTCACAAAGCCGGATACACGAAAATCGGCCGTTTTACTTACTTAATGTATAATAGATTTTTCATTATACTTTTTTAACGCAAAGTTCAATTCAGATTATGCACAGTTATAATGCCCACATATGCTGCGAATTAGAGTACAAAAACATCAATCACGAAAATGCGTTTTGTTTTGTGAATTATTGCTAGAATTAGGATCACCGTACGTCGCGCTTGTCCGAAATCTCTTTTTCGCGTTAGCCTAACGTCATTCGACGGTAGTAAATAGAAACGCGGACGAAATGCTGGAGTTCCGCGCGGATGGTGTCATCCGCATCCCGAGTAGCGGGATGCTGGAAATTCCTTGCAAGAAAAATGCCAGTCGCCGCTTCCTTCCGGTTGCGCGGTAAAGCGGCCATTTGTGCCGGTGATAGGTGCTGTACAGCGTCATCTTCTGCGCGTTGCCATATATCGGCCACCGCGCGTAATACGTCGCGGCTCTCTAATCCACCTTTCGTGGCGATTACGCTATATTCCCAGTATTTGTTCGCTGTCCTTAATGAACACCGTATAATGATAAGTAATCCCATTAAGTATTCAGGAAAGTAGCTGCGATATCTCGCCGGTAGCGTTATAATAACGTAATAGTCGGCAAATTGCTGTACTTACCGTATACTCTGAAGCACTCGATATCACAAAACTGTAGCACCTATTAAATACACATGTACGGCCTACCAATTATCAGAGTTATCAAAATAAATTATTAAATTTATAGAAATAAAATTATTTAACAATTAATTTTATTAAAAATTCGAATTAGTTTTTACTGCATCCAATAATAATTCACCAGTTTACCGATATTATACGTACATACTTACAGAATGACGTACAACAGAGCGTTTTTATTAATCTTAAAATAAAATGCAGTTGCACAACTTGCACGAACGTGTTCCTCGGTCACGCTTCCTCGTGCAGAAAATTATTTCAGTCTATAAAATATTAAACCGCTTTTAATTATATGATGTAACGATACCCATCCTAATAATAGAATAATTTGTTTAATTAATTAATTTCCAAAGGTTTCTTATTGGAAATTACGTATTTTACCGGCAATAGAATTATTATAATTTTCAGTATTCAAAAAGCAAATGAAAATTGCGTGCCAGGCTAATTAGTACGTTGTACCCTGCCTGATAATTACCCGCGCGTGTACCGCGTAGATAACGTGCACAAAGGTGAACGCGACGCAACCTCCAATTCCCGACGCGCATGTACTCCCAGCGGAGCACTGCGCCACCCAACCCGCGCGCAACATCCGCCCCATTTGACGTGGCCATTGTATGGCAGCGATCGACGGCTTGTTTCGTCTAATTATCTATTAAACCTCCGCACAATGGGCAATCCCACCGAGATATCCCATACATACTTCCTGTTATTTTACAGCAAATGCTCTGTACACGCGCGTATATATAAACCGGTGCGGAATTATTCAGTTGATCCCCGTCTACATCGACATCGATATTATGACGTATAATTACATATAACGCATCATCCAAGATTCCGTCCCGTTTGCCGCACACACCGCTGTGATAATCGCCGGTTGGGTTTGGTTATTGGGCATTTTTTTTTAAATTTAGCATGGCTCAAAGTGTGACGGTGTGCTGTGTGATGGTGTTGTTGACCGCCGGGTGTCTGGTCAACGCGTCGCGGTATCTGCCCACGAAAAGGTCATGGAGTCCGGCGGGCAATGAGGAGATGATGGCGGGCGCGTACCGTGTGGAGGAGCTGGGACGACGCGGTGTACCGGTGTCGTATGTTAATTATCCGATGATCGGTGGCGATATGGTGAGTGCTGCAGCTGAAGTACACATGCAAGGCATTTTCATACATATATGTACAAGACGGTGTGACATATTTCATAATGCCTATTTCATGATGCACAATGAATGGCGAATTGATGGCATGTATTTTCTGTTGGATATAAAATACGTCGTTCAAAGACTTTTTTAATATAATAGTAATCAAATTTTATATGATGGTTTATTTTTCATGTTTATTTACATTTACTAGAAGTTTTATTTACTGTATTTCGGCTTGATATTTTTGTTTTCGCTACATTTAAACCTATGAGTCTGGAGTATAATTTTGATTTGTGCTAATCATCAGCAGAGCGATCGCTAAAACTTAGCTAATGTTTAGTGTAATTACAATAATAAATTAACTGACGCCGGAATTTTTGCCGTCATTCCTGTATGGTTATCTGCAAATTTGTTTTATTTATACATACAATTGTAAACAAACACCTTGTATTAGTACATCCTATTTTAATTTTTATTGCGTGCATGTTAGTTTGTGCAGTTGTTACAATGACACGGCAGTAAAAACACCATTTAACGAAGTATTATCGAATATATAAAACGCACGTGGGAGCGTACAAATAGGGCTTTATATTTTTATGTGAAAGCCGGTGCTTTCTTGTCCATTATCCCGAATATCGGTCGAGATTTAATTACCTACGTCAACTGGGATTTAGCGGATAGACAGACAACCTTTGCACATATTTCGCGTATTTATTCTGCAAAATAGTGAAAATATCGAAATCAATCCGCTGCTTTTGTACCCATTGTGTTGGCACTTAATCCCCACAGGATCTGGTCAACATGGACGACTACCCACCGACGGCCCTGACCGACATCCCCACGGTGTACGCGGCACGCGGCCTCCCGTCGCGACTACAGCCGGTGTCGGCCGATTATCCGCCGCCGCGTCGCTTCATTCTCCGATGAAGGACAACAACACCGCGTCAATCGTCATTACCTACACCGGCAAAACAACAACAACACACTATGTGTGACCTTTGCGATTTCTCTGTAACGATGCTGCGCATTAATCGAGTGATTATGTGTTTCAAACTGGGTTGTTATTGATCGGTAATGGGAGAGATGAAAGCGTTTATCAGTGTTTGTAATTACATAGCGATAGACAGTAGCGGGAATATTATATGTTTTGCACTTTTTCTGACGCGCTAATATAATATCCACTAGAGTAGATTAGAATGCCTGCTCACCACGGGAATGAATCAATATCACAGACTAAACAGAGTGCTGTTTCGCCAACCGGCATACAGGTGTCGTCCGCGATGAAGAGCAAAGTGTTTGCGTGCGGTTTTCTATTGATTAAACTGGAATAATCGGCATAATGATATGCCTTACTAACAGGACATGGCCAAGGTTAATTAACGGTGAATATGAATATTCAGCACGCATCAGTGAGAATGTTCTGCACAACGTGAAACTGTATTACGAGAGCATGTAGAGTACTGTTTCTACTTTCAACTAACCATAATACATGTATAGATATAACAGTACATACTACACATTATACATACCGTACGTATCTGTACATAAATTTTATCGTTGCGCTTATGCTATGCCAGGTGTCACTGACAGAAAAAAGTGTAGCAGTGAACGGTAATTGTGAACTGGTATTTGCATTTATCTGTACATGCGTCCACAACTTATAAACTTATAGGTACTCGCGCGAGTGCGTAAGTCAGTAGAAGTATTACAACATCTGGATAAAAGTGCATTTTTTCTAAATAATGTTATTTTCGTATTTTAGTGCAGTCTTTCTTTATATGCTCCGACGTGGACAATAATATAAAGAGGATGCATACACACTCACCCATCGCCGGTAATACAAAATTTTGTATTCCGGCCTACTTATCCTCCCGCCTTCTTATACACTATCTGTACTTGTGCTCGTAATTTTGCACGCCGGTGTTATAAAATTTAATTCATAAACGTTGCCGGTCTGCGACGTCCACGAATTATCATCCATGCGTGCTCTTTACTTACTGGCACGTATGTGGGGATACCCTCCCAGTCTGGACGTGTTAGAAAGGTGACCTTGCGCGGGTAACAAGAATACCGAGTTTCTATGCTGGAAACCATGCAAGAGCATTAAAATAATGAGACTGGCAGAAGGTTACGTAATTCTACGTTTTGTTGCCTGATTCACGGTAGCCGGGGTACCTGTAGGTCTACTATACACTGCAGTGATATGGAATAAAGGATTAAAAATTTATTTCATGGTGTGGTTATCAGCTACGGCTTACGGGTAGAGTTTTAAGCACCAGATTGCGAAATATCACAGAACAAGGAAGCAGCATTCAGACCGCGTCAAAACGTGGAACGGTCGAACGGTAATTCTTGTGCTGAATAATTTCTCTTTGATTGTACTTGGAGAAAACAAGTAGAAGAGTGTATACACGTTGAAATGTGGACAGAACTTGTGTTTTTCCCATAGACGCAAATGCTTACAGTAACCTTGCGAAGCGTCTCATCCCAGATGACACAATAGAGCCGAAATCACACCTCATTAGCGATTGTGCCGTTGTCAATTTGCCCTCTGCTTTTCAATCCTAAGCGGAGCTAGAAATCAAAAGGCGTCGCTCTCCCGCAGCATCCTTCATCCGCGCGTCCAGTTCGCACAGAAAACTTTATACATGCTGGGCCTACTACAACAGTCTCAAAAGCTAAAGGAGCAAACATAAACTCGTTGGATATAATCTACAATATTCGTACAATTGCAATATTGTACGTAATGTACAACTTCCGGCGTGTATTGCACAAACTACGGTATTGTTGTACAGTACGATAACTGTACAGCTACCGTACGTAGTTGTACAATATATTGTGCGATATGCACCTGTGTTAATCCAGTGAATATCGACCATGAAGCCTGATGATCCCTTTCTTTAAAATCAATGTTTACAGCGAACAAAAACTGACATTTTTGCATTGCAATACTTTTAATAAATCGCACAAGTTCAGGTACAGAAATTACATGTAATTCAAGTGCAGGAAAATAATAAAAAGTACTTTAATAATACAAAAATAATTATTATCAATAAATAAATTAATTATTGCCGATTTTTGATAATAATAATAAGAAGGTAAATTAAAATTAACGCTGCTTGCAATTATTCGCGTTCACATAGCAACACGCATAAACCGCGGTGTGCATGCAAAGGAGCAGCGCTAAGTAAACACGATCAACGTACACTGATTTGTGCAAGACTGACTGACTGTTGACCAAAAACAGAAAGGATTATACACTCAAAATGTCTTACTTTTTATCGTTACCTGTGGATGACAAATATGAGAAGAAACTGCAGCACAAGAAGCATGTGCTAGCGGAACGTGGAAAGGTCATCTTTAATCCCGTCCGTGCCAAGCAAGCGGTACGTGCACTGCTGCAGTCGTAATTGAGTGTCGTAAAAAAATGCTTTAAACGGGCTGTTTCGGATGGGAAAATGCATTTTTCATAGTTTTCAGTCTGCAGTACGATGTCGCGGAGATTCAGCATCAAATTGTCGACAAACGCCATCGTCAACGAGGCGAAGCGATGCGCGATTTGGCGTTCGGTGAGTCGGTATAAATTAATTTTTAGGGTCGAGCAAAATAATTTAATTTAATAAATTTTCTTTTAATCAACGGGAGTGAATTTTTTCAAAATAATATCCGCAGTTTTGTATACAGAAAATTGTTTTTACTAGAAAGAACAATTTTCAAAAAAAAGTAATTTTCGTTGGCAGATCAAGCCGCTCACCGATTAGACGCCGCGCATCATGCCATCATACAGAAAGAACATGAGTACAAAAAATTTGCCAACTCACAACTGGACCAGTATCGCAAGCTGTTCCAGAGGAAAGAAGATTTGGCCAGCTTCGAATTAAACGATCCGCATTGGCTGAAAAAGCAGCGACCCATCGGCGCCGACGGGGACTTTTCCGCCTATGGACCGTCCAGTGTCGTGACGTCAGTGGTCAATTTGCATTAATTAATAACTGACAACGAGCAGCCAAATAAACATCGAATGAAACAAAATGATTCATTATTTTTTCGGGATCTTAAAAATAACGTATTTTCTATCCAATTTTTAACTGATACAAAACAGTAAATCAATACAGATTAAACTATTTTTATTCAGAAGGTAATTATTATTTATTACATGATGGAAATCGTTTTTATTTGTGATTTTAGTCATGTTATTGGCTTATCTTATTACTGCTGAAAGTGTTGGTGTTTTGCTGCACATACGGTTTCCGTTTTGGGAAAAGATCGTAATTTCCCGTTGTGTGTAGTTTCGACGGAGAAAAGCTGCGCACACCGAAAGAAATCGAGCTTCGGACCCGGAAGCAGCGCGATGATTTGGGGCGGCAGTTGGATGAGAAAAGAACCCGCCAGGATCACGAGCGCAACGTCAACAGCAACCACAGCGCCGAGTTCCTGGCCCAGCAAGCCCGCTTGGACGCCATCGACCGCGCCACGGAGGACCTGCAGAAAGCGACGACCTTGGCCACACGTCGCTACAACGAAGCTCTGGTAATATTATTAACCGTTCATACGTACGTCAGTACGTATAATACGTACTACGTAACTTCCAGTTCTGGTTTCATCGGAAGACTGTTTTTAAAAAAAACCCATAAAGAAATTTTCAAAAATTAAATTAGTGACCTTTCAAGTCTGAATTCCACCAAACCGCTGTGCAGACTACGTAGTACGTACAGCTAACGTCTGAAGGTCACTCTGAACTCCGACTTGAGCCGTCTAACCTTTCCATTATTAAAATCATCCATTATGGGCGCTTAAACGCCAATTTTCGAACTCTGGAAAATCCAGGTGCCTTAATAAATTTAAATATTAGTGACCTTTCCGATTATTAGACGACGTTTGCTTCTCTGCCATATATTACGTTAATAAATGAAAACTGGTGACCTTTCGGCTACAAAATATTCTGGCAAACTACGACCCGCTATCTAAAAGCTTACCGTGACTAGAATAAGTTAATGAGTGACCTTTAAGCTAATCAATAAACAACATATCAAACTACCGGCGACTTAATTTATTAACCTTTCAGTTAGCGACCCAAGAGGACCACAAACGTCGCTTCCGCGAGCAAGAACAGGCCGACGCCGCCGCCCACGTCAATAACGTCCGCAACGGCGCGCTCTTGAACGAGGTCAGCGTGCATGCGCGCGACTGGCGCGGTCTGTCGCCGGCGCAGCTGGACGCCGTCTACGCGCAGCGCGATCAACAGGTGCACGAGCGCGCCAATGCGCGGTTGCAAGAGCGCCAAGAAGACTACGTGTGGGACAATTATTTCCGCAATGTCGAGAACCAGGTGAAGAAAGAGCTGCTGGCGCTGGAGGAGGAGCGCGCCGCGGTGCGCAGGAATCTCGACGCGCTTAACCAGAAGATGGCACTGGAGAGGAAGGACCGCGAGGAAGTGGAGCTGATCATGAAGAACGGGGCGCAGCCCACGCCCGAGTGGTTCGATAAGTTCGAAAGCGATCCACGATGAGCGGCGACCTTTCCAATAATAAATATTCAGTAAACTAATTCGTTACTTAATAAACGTTCTCTTATAAGAGAGCGTTTACCATCGATGATCGAGGTTAATTATTTTTAAATAATTATTGAGAATTAAATAATCTTGATGGTGCGGCATTTTACGTCAGCGATGATCAGGAGTGAACAACTATACGTCTCTTCATCTCTATTATTAGCTAGATATAATTAGGCTGTCAGTTGGTATTTGGAGAAGCACAGTTAAGAAGACGTTGACTGTGTTATGCTGTCCAAGATTTTAGCCTTGAATGATTAATGTCATCGAAAGTTGAGTGGCCAGAGTGGGTCACCGCGAAGCAGTTGTTCTTGTCGAAGTGCCAAAAATATATACTTATCATACAATATGACGTCATCTCAGTAAGCTAATAATTATATGAATACTGATTATCTGTGCCAGAACTTCGGCCCCTGTCCTTTGAGGCAAAGGATCTCGGCTTCTACTTCACCAATTTTGTTGCTCTAAAGTACATCAAAATTCTCTAGGTGTAGCGGTGGATCCAAGATTGTTGACATTTTGCCAAAATCATTTGTCTAGGTCCAGTGGTCAATCATAAGCTTGTTACCATGGACGCGATAAGAAATGCATACTGTTCTAATACATGCACAATTTGACCCAGAACAGTAGAAATATCTGTGCTCCTCTGCAACGTATGTACAGTATATCTAAAAAGGCAGTCCATGTTTCGATTAACTTATGTACAGTGTGTCAGAATAATTATTGCTAAAAATACGTACTGGTTTAGTGATATTATGACAGTTTGTAAACATTCGGAAATCTAGACATACTTATTCTTATAGTCATCAGCCAATATTCATCCGTGCTCGGCTTGTTATGATTATAATCTGGTAGAGAACTGTAGATGATCTCCTGCTAAATGTCGTTTATTTTTATCATTTTGTGTACTAGTATGCGCAACCATAACAATTATTCTCAGTAAGCAGTGTATCACAGATTTTCATTTAACCGTCGTCGAAAACTTTGGCGGAGCGACTCACTGAGCAAAACCTTTTTTATTGTGGAACAGAAATTCGTTCATTACATTCTGGCCAATCAGGGAGCTTCGAGGTACTACACCGTAGTTTCACGAAGGAGTTCCACGTCGTCTTGATCAATCGTGTCGGGATTGGTGGTGTCCGAGGGTGGTTCCTTGTCTTCCGATTCGTCTTTTTCCGGTTCCGGGTCGTCGGCGTAGACAGTAATAGCACGCGTCCATGGTGCGTCGTCCGGTGCGTCAATAACCGCGGGATCCTGGTCGCCGGTATCGATACGCGTACGAAGGACGTCTGTTGCTGTCCCGTCGTCCGGTCGGCTGATCGCCGGCTCCTCGTCCCCGGCAACGATGCCGGCGACGTGCGAATGCAGGGACCCCGATTTCCCATCGTCCGGTGGGTTGGTCAGCGAGTTTTTGTCGTCGACGTCGACACGGATGGTCCGCGACCACAATGTTTCATTTTCCGGTTCGCCCGCGTCGCCGGCATCAACAGTCGTGGCGTGCGAGTGAAAGGCCCGGTCGTCCGGTCCCACGCAGTGGTACAGCATGAAATCGCACAGTATCGTCGCCTGCCAAAGAGATTACAAGATTAACCGGTGAGACTAATGGTGTAGATTCCGTAGCATCCAAACAGCCATTAATCACGAAGAACGAAGTTATGTTTACCACGCCCAGTAGGCCCAGACCCGAACCGATATTGATGGTGGTCTGGACAAGGCTGAATTTCCGTGCCAGGGCGTCCACGTTGAAGACGATGCGGATGCCGGTGTGCTTGTACAGATAGCGCGTCCAGACGCCGTCTTCTTCCCAGTAACCAGTCCGCCTAACAAATTAGGTACCTTAAAATCCATTTATTAACATGTTTAGAACGATCGTGTTCTGTAATTTTTACTGATTCCTTTGCAGAAGTTGCACATGTAATGTAATACATTTTATGTACAGAGTACAAGCTTGTCCGGTAATTTCTGACGAATCAATACAGCGAATTTTATAAATTTACGGGTTACGCGTAAATCGCTACTACGGCGCGCCACGCCACAATGTTTAAGCACGTAACTTGCATTTGCTTGGCTGGCGGCTTGGTGCACGCCAAATATTTTAATGATAATGATCGTAATTGCCTGGCGGAAGGCGGCTAGAAATTGGTCTGTGCAGTAAGGGACAATCTAGCTCCGGAGCGCATTTACGTGATGCGACAAACGTAGTGACGTGGCCATCGTTTTAAGCGCAAATTTCGCGCTAGCTGTACCTTTACGTAGGAAATTACCAGACAAGCTTATACATGTAATATACGAAATATACGTTATGTACATGTAATGTACGAAATATACGTTATGTACATGTAATGTACGTTACGCACATGTACAGTAAACTCTGTGAGCTTGAACAACTGCGAAAATTGAGTAACTGCGAAGATTGAACGACCGTATAGGAACCGGCGCGTCTCGTATACTGCGAAGACTACTGCGAATATTGAACAGCTGATTACATTGAACACTTTAAAGGAACCGTAGGTAGGTGTTGAAATTACACAGGTTTTACTGTATGTGCGTAATGTAATGCGTGTATTTTAATACTGTTTTTCGCAATTATCTTTTTGCAGCAGTTTTGTAGTATACCTTACCGGTGGTTCCATCCGGGAACGATAACGCCCTCTTTCTCGTCAAGTCGGCGGAATGAATACGTCGGCATGCAGTGGTAGATGTGGAAATCCAGATCGCAGTCCCATTTAATGCCGAAGCTTAGTATGGCGCCCTGTTGGTACAAATTTAGAGTAAACTGCAAATACATATCTACCTAAAATTTTCGTATACGAGGTACTTGTACATTTCCATTAAATAAAAAGTTAAGTAATACGGCGAATTGTCAGTGGCCACATCAGTAAATTAATCTTCATTTTTAACATTTAATTTTTGTCAGTTTTTACAAGAATTCAGGATAATTAATTATACAGATACATATAATTATACAAATAAAGATTTTTTGCTGGGTATAGGTTCGTTTATTGCCTTTATTAAGCTGTTCTCTGTTCGGTCAACTTCGGCGGCTGACGATAACAAAACTGCAAGCAGAGGAACGGAATCTAGTTGACCAAAGAAAGTGCTTTCGCACGCAAGTCAATCATGAGAAATTTGTGCGGGGGATCAGCAGAGCATACCGATGCTGTCATAAAACATTCACGCTACGATCATGAACAAGCTGTACAGCTGCCAAGGCACGAACACACCACCGAAATACACACCCAACATCATGGCAGCATGTGTTGTAAAATTGCTGAAAATATCCACTTAGCAGGTATAGTACTCGTACCCCGACAGCGTGCGTCTCTGGATACTGTAAACATACTGGATGATGGTTAACAGTTAATTATCCAATGTGTACGGCTTGATTTATTTGTCAAGTGCTCCGGCCAAAAACTCTCATATTTCATCACGGAAATGCGATACATATCGCGGATATAATTGCCGAATATTACGTGCTAATAACCTGCTAGAAGCTAGATAAGGAAAACTCACAACTGTTTTTTGGAGCATTTGTCGAACGGAGAAATTTTATTTTTTATTCTTACAAAATATCTTAAAAATATCTATATTTATTAAATTAAACATTAACGTAATTTGAAAATTTCTTTCATTTATTAGTTATTTGTTTAAGTATTATTTTAACCGGTAGAATCAGTGACTTACATGCGAGGCCATTTCGCTGTAATTTTCCCCAGCTTGTTTGATAATATAACCCAGATTAAAAGCCGGACAATGCGGATCCGTGGCGTTGTTATATGAACAGTTGGCTACGTAGCTTTCGTCCAGATCACCAAAATTTCTCCTAAATATTTCCACAACGCTCGGTATAAAAATCGCAGATGATTCCCAGGGATTCTTGAAACCGTTACCTTCTTATATTAAAATCCGGGAAGACGATGTAATTCTTAACCAGAAGAACCAGCTCCTCCCCTCCAACTAACAGCGCCGTACTATAAATACGTCGCTGTGCGTAGAGTAAGAAATAATTTATTTACGAAAAAGGTCACCTTAGGGTTTTATTCTCCAACGGACACCATGCTGCCACATTGCACGTTTTGGTGGCGTTGTTACACTGACCAGTCGTGAATCCATGGCCCAGATGGATCGACCGCCCGGGTAGGCAGTCCGCATGGCTGATGCAGTTGGCTCCGGAATTTTTTAACTGCAAAAATCTTGCCATATGAAAAAATACTGTCTTGTCGTTCTCTGCGGTTATCGGCCAAAGGTACTGGCCATGGCTAACTACCGTAAGTTAAATTAATCAAATACTTTTTCATTTTTATCTTTATTGTTTTTTATTAATTATTCCAGTACTATTTCGTTGGTTACTTGCTCTGTTTTTTTTTAAATTTTTATTTATAATTTGTGCGGTATTTATCAAACGGGTGCACTGGTTAATATTAATATTAAATCCAATGTCATGTGTTTTTGCTTTTGTTAGCTGGAACATTTTTTGCTTTTCGTTCATACTGAGTCATTTTATTCCTTTTCTAATATAATCGTTTTCTTATTTTTAAACTTTGATCGATAAAATTTCAATATTATGGGTAAACTGCGTACCTCAGGGCAGACACTCTGTACTTGCTTGGGTGTGGCCATTACCTTGGTGGTGATAAAAAGAGCGCTGTTTTCCTGCAGACATGAAATTATATCTGTGCTTGTACAATATCGTGGGATATAGGAAAGGGCCACCAACCAGTGCTGGCACTACGGTATCCACGGAATCCCACACGCTACCCAGCGATCGGTCAAGCAGATTTCGCGTGTCGTCGATGGCTAAATCCGCGAGATTGGTCCGCGAATTGATGTGTAGGCCCATCACATGGGTCACCACGCTGCTTTCGCCTTCTTCCGTGCTCTGGTAGCCTTTCTCTAGTATGAACACCACTCTGTGAAATCGGAGAATGATTAACCGATCAAAATATTCCTTTAAAATTAAAATAAAACACCGCAATTACATACGGTAATAATGTGATTACAGAGTAGATATACGAGGACATTTGGGTGCTGTGAACATACCCTGCACGATTAGGTTGCGATGAACAGCCGGCTAAATTAATGGCAGTCGATTGCCTCAACCGTGTATGCCATCCTGGGCGGCTGGCAAACCAGCCCGTAATGTTACGAAATTGGTCGCATCCACGGATTTTAAACAGATTTTCTCCATAGACTGGGATGCTAACTTCAGATGCGTGTCATTCTTGATTTTGAAAATGAAACTGTTCAAGTCATATACCAAACGACAGAAAATTAACTTTCACGATTTTTGAGACCAAAGAAGTTGTGGTTTGTGGCAAATGAAACAAGTTACAGCCATTTTAGTTTTCTCGTAGACTTAGCATACAGTTCACGATCAAAGGTCCCACGCGGCGATTCTATGCTGTGTCTACGAGAAACTTCAAACAGCTGTAACTTGTCTTTCACGCCATAAACTGCAACTTGTTTGGTGTCAAAAACCGTGAAAATTAATTTTCTGCCGTTTGGTATATGACTTGAACAGTTTCATTTTCAAAATCAAGAAAGACAGGCATCTGAAGTTAGCATACCAGTCTATGGAGAAAATCTGTTTAAAATCCGTGGATGCGACCAATTTCGTAACATTACGGGCTGGTTTGCCAGCCGCCCAGGATGGCATACACGGTTGAGGCAATCGACTGCCATTAATTTAGCCGGCTGTTCATCGCAGCCTAATCGTGCAGGGTATGTTCACAGCACCCAAATGTCCTCGTACGTTTAATACAAATAAGATAAATTATTAAGATAAATACGTACGTATAATATAAATCAAGAACTTATTATAGCTTTTACGCTATAGTAAGTTCTTGGATAGATATATAACATGCAAATCAAGACCCTAAAGGTCACTGACCGGAATATTTATATTAATGGAAAATTACTGTACAGTTCTGCATGAACCTTTATTAATTACGTACGACTTGTATTTGCCGTCCAATATACTAAAACAGTGAAATTAAAATATCTTTAAAAAATATCTAAGAAAATTACAAATCAAAAATTTACTAATCACAATTAAGAATTAAAAAATCAAATAAAAAAATTTTAAAAAAATTTTCAAAAATGAAACCGAAGAAATGAATACCAAATGAGCACATAAACAGCACGATATTACTGTACAATTTATTTTTTGTACGGCGGAAAATTAACAGAAGACTTGGGCACTTGGGCCAACTTACACGATAACATAGGCAATAATGCTGCCTTGAAATAGACGATTGCACACGGCGATCCATGGCGACTTAAACCGCACCGAACGCGCTGTTTCGTATCTGCAGATAAGCAATGCAGTCAGTCACAGGGACACAGTACTTTATAGGCAGCACATTTCGTACTTTGTAAAGATATCCGCAGCACCGTGGCGGAAAATCCGGGAGCAATGCGGCTCACGATCCAGTAATTTAAGGAGCATGGTGCCGGTGAGCAGTGATCAAGTCAAACATTTTTAAGCCGCGCTATAAGTCAACGGCAATACGCTAACTGTCAGCGCATGCGATGAAGATGCGCGGCGTCGACAGCCGGAGATTATACAGATGCTACCCAGCGCCAGGATCAAGATAGTCAGGACAGTTGTGATCCGATTTGATGGGAGCGTATGTGTGTCTTTATTTACAGCGGCGCGGTGCATCCATCATCCAGCCCGGGTGCATCCGTGCACGGGAGATTTCGATCGCGGTTTCTTGTTGCTGTTGCTTGCATAACGGGTGGCACATATCCATTCGGTATGCGTACTGTACGTACGCTGGTTCCGTATTGTGCGATGACGGCTTTTTATTAATGCGATTTTATAATGATTTATAAGTAGACCAAGACAAGTTTACAAGCGGGACCAAGACAAGTGCTGAAGTTAGTGCAGTTTACACTATTTAGCCACTTACGTCACAAGACCACTGAACACGTGCCGTTAAGCGTCAATGCCTTATTCTGATTGGTCTCCTGGTTTTCACAAGGGAAAACGTTCCAGGCGACTACCAGCGCCCATGACTTATGAGTTTGCCGAATCCGATCGTTCGTTTATGTATGGAAAGTACTTCTAATTTTCCAGTACGTCCTTTTTATTTCTGCCGTATCCCACGCGTGTACAGATACAGTTTGATGGTAGTAAGTATATGTCTTTCATGTACCTCGCATACCCTCTATTCTATGTACTAACAATAAGAAACCCACGAAAACAAAGCAGTCTACGAAAATTAAGAGGATACACAGTGGATGTAAAATGGATGATGTGAGGATACTGTAGGATTCTGAGTTAAAAAGAATGACCATATTAACAAGGGGAATCATGTAAGATTGTACGTGCTGAATTTCAAATTAATGGTGTTTGCATTCGTTTCACCTTTAAGGGGACCACTATGAGATGACTTTTCGTTTAATAAGTTTCTAATTTTAACATCAGCTTGTAGGGAATTTTTCGGGCTTCCAGAGAGTGTGTACCAATACGATATCGTAAACTGTGATCATAAGTTATTAGTAAAAAAACATGACCGGGTCAGCAGCGGCGTAATAAATGCAGTGATGTTATCGGCTAGCCATGGCCAGCCACATGGCAGATATGTCCCAGAAGATCTCAGACAGAACACCTGATGCTGTCCTCTGGCCGGAACAAACACATTCTTCCCTCTCAAGCTATGTCCTGTCTGATCTCTTTCTGCAAGCGCGGGCATGGGTAGCCGGCTCTGGCACACATTGCTGCCGGTCAGTCAACAAGCCCTCCATTCAGCTGACGTTTTCCAAAAACTAGTTAAAGGGCTTTAAAAATCGATAACTTCATTGTAAAACTTGCTACACTTTCCAAATGGGCATCAGATAATGTGTTATTTTCTAGAAAGCTTATATACCGACACTCCGCTGTAATCCAACAAAGCATGTTTGAATAAACTGAAAAAAACACTTTTTAAAAAGTGTTTTTCTCAATTTTTTTGTAAACTAACAACATTTTTTATTAACATGTTGGAGAATATAAGCTTTCCAGGCTAAAACACATCCAATGATGTGTATTGCATCTCATTCGTAAATACTTTCTCATTCAACTTTTGATTCCAAAGTTTTTTCTTTGTTTCTTGAATAGCTCTGTCTAGACAGAGCGCAGACAAGATCGCAGCACACCATTGTGTGGCGAAACCTTTTGCGCATGCAGTCAGAACAATGGCAACAGTGTTCTTTCAGTTGTTTTAAACTTATTCATGTTTTCCCAGACCCACTTTCATCTCATAGCCCTCCCCTTAAAAGCCACTGTAAACTCACAGTATTCTAAGTGTACAGACTCTATCCACAGTCATCAACGCATCCTGCAGTCTGCACTCTGCAGCTTCATTGCGGGTTATAAACAGCATCAGTATCCTAATGTGCATTGTATCCTTATTGTATATCCTTATCCTTAATGTATCCCACTTGTATCTTGATACATGTTGGTTTGCGTAAGCGTTTGTTAACCATGTATTGCTCAGTTTGCATTACTTTATTCACCTGTGGTACAACATCTTAATCAATAATTAAAAACATCAGTTTTTACAACATAAAAACTTCATTAAACTTTTCCGCTCCTTCCATTGTGCCCAAAACTGAAGCCGCATTTCCTCGTTGAATCTCCAGCGACAATCTTTGACGTAAATATTCATGGGAACGCTTTTCTCCTGTATGCTGCTTTGCTCAGTCGTTAGGTAGCATCTTCGTACAATGATATTGCATAATGGTACAGTAGCCGGCTTATATACAGAACAGTATGTAGAGATTTTTTTACTTTTTATTTGGCGGTATACAAAACTCACACTATTTTTCTATCATAATAAAGATGTACTTAATCCACAGCCTCAACCGACAACAGAAACAGACGGTCTAATTATACAGAACATCTCATATAAATTAGCCGATGCTGGTGCTGTTTCCATGACGGGCGCCGCATTTCCGCGTTGAATTTCAATGCTGAACCGCTGGCGCAGATACTCAATTGCCCGTATCTCGCCCGTTTCTTCGTACCCGAGCTCGGTGACCATGCGAGAGGCGTCTGGTCCCAAAGGTCCGAGTGTCCGAGGCGTCTGGTCCCAAAGGTCCGAGTATAGATTGAGAACGCAGAGATGTGAACTTGTAGATACGATGTGAACTACAGTAGCACAGCGGATCTGTTACGTTGGAACTGCTTAAGAAATAAGAACATACTATTTATAGATATTCATATTATCGTAACAATCTTGATATAATTGTCTTAGATTTCTCAGTGGTGTCGCAGTATAGAGTTCTCCTGTAAGCGCACCTGTGCTACACCTGTGCAGGTCGACGATGACCTTTATGTGTTACCTATGTGTCCCTATAACGATTAGGCAACGCACCCGTATGACAGTGACCTTTATTCAATATAAACAACTATGCCCACAATAACAATGCTAATGCTAGGTAATCCAGGTGTAGGCTGGTAGTCGAGTGGTAGACTGCTGGTGGACTGCTGTCGGACTACTGTCTGGTACGGTGTGGAGGGGTGCTTTACAATATATGGTCCTGGTCCGGATGGGCTCGGCTGCCATGGGTGGGGCTGGTGTGGCGACAAGCCAATGACAGAGTGCATGACGGCATGATGATGTAATATGCGGTCAGCGTGATGCCATATGACCGCGCAGGAATTTGCAGGGCATACCTGCACGTAGGCTTCCGGTGACTAATGGTCATGCGGTGCGACTAAAGACGATGTCGTCACAGTGGAATCCACGAGGGATACATAAAGGGTACTTCTAGTATTGGAAAAATACGGTAGGATACAAGATGCTATGGTACTTCACATACGTACTTGAAGTACTTTACATACAAGCCAAAGTAGAGGCCTTGAAAAATGTAACGTGCACCAACCGGGCCATAGACAACGTTGGGCGCTATTGCAGGATGCGGCGGGATACTGTGGATACAAGTCAGGGAAGGTGCCCAGAAAAAGTGATACCGTTTACCAAATCGTCCTAATCTATAGATCCCGTAGTCAACGTAGCTACAATGCGCACTTGCAGTTCCGTGTATCAGCGTGCAGTTCCGCGCGGATATCGATCTGTTCTTCGCCACTGGTAACCGATGAATTTCATCGTGACGCGCTCTACTGCGCGTCATACTGCAGGTGCCGATATACGGATCTGAAGATCCAAGATATTGGAAATCACAGAGAAAGCACGTTTTCATTCTATTTGATTATACTTTTTGAAATGTTTCGTCTTAAGAATGGAGGGCTAAAATATGGGGTAGATGCTCGCTGAGGTTGTGTGTCGTAAAATACTAGGTGTGCGGCGAAGACCAGCGAGCTGTCGATTTCCGCGGAAATCGCTCTTTCGATGGCCCACTGCATGGCTTGGCGGCCAAATATCCCAGGAACCTCGCCGAAGATGTGCATCTTTGGCCAGGTTCCCGTGATGTTGGCTTGACTGCTTCAGTATACAGACTGTATGTACTTAATGGATGTCGCTCAATCTCGGTGTCACATCAAAGTGGATAAAACCGCGATTAACGGGTATGACGACGAAAAAATTTGTTTGTCAGTGCAATGTTGTAATTCGCACCATCGCAATTCCAGGATTCCAGTCAAATCAGTGCAATAGATCCCCGGTTAAAAAAGAACTGAAGCTCGATTCAGCTGGGCCTTGGAAAATGGAAGGCGCTCAGCCAATAACTGGATAAACTCCAATAGCTATGAAAAGAAACTGTAATCTGTAATTGTGGCCGCTCTGGGTTATAGGACGACAACAGAGGACCTTAAAGAGAACCTAAAGTAGGATCCTGATCTTTAAAAAGAAACGGGCTGCTCTTGGCTAATTGAAGATACCGAGTAGGCGTTAACGACTGGACGGAATTTTTGTTTAATTGCCGAAAAGGGATGCGAATCTTGTGGTTACGGTAAGTTCATCCTATTACGCAAGTCACTGAAGACAAAATCGGCCTGATGTTGACGTCTATTATTTGGACCGGCAACGGGAACAAAGTCTGGATTTCATCGACCCAGAAGGGTGTGGGCGTATGTTCGTCATTTAGCAATCAGATAATCCTTTATCAGATAAAGTATTAACTGCTTGCGCTACACAAAATGATAACGTGGGATACCTACGTCATCGTAGGGTATCATCGGATGATCGGGTACAAAGCAGTAATCGTGTATCGTAAAAAAAATGGTTGACCACGGGAAAAGCCTGCTGGTAGAACACTCCTCGACAATTATTCCTGCTGCAATATTTCTGGCGGGCGCAATTTCACCGGTTTCCAAAGACGGTTTTCAGGGCAGCTCCACTGTCGAAAGAGTTGGAACCATTGTCAGATGGAAGGAACACCGTGGTTCGTTCCCAGGAAAGCGCTGTTGTGTTAACGTTGAATCAAGATCCAAGCGCCCCAAATGCAAGCAAATGTGTCGCCACACTCGTCCATTGAGTTAGAACGCGATGTCGTTATTAGGAAATTTCTTTTGAGTAACATGAAGATCCGGAGGTATTTACATACGCCTCCGATCCTGATGATGCTCAAAAGAAAGGCCGAGGACTGAGAACCCCTGGGGCGTGGCGCGTAAGAGTTCAAAACTGACGCATTTGGCGTTCTGCGAGGTCAAACCAGAAGAGCAGTATATCGTACGTGAATTAACACGTCTACGTGTGGCGTTAAAGCCCAGGAACACCTCAATTCCCGAGTACAAACCGTTGACGCCGATTCGTCTGGATTTCCGAAGGGAGATGGAGTCTGTGAGTGTTCCATTGGATCTGTCCAGTGATACCGCTACTGAACCACCACCGGCTCCGTTGCCAGCATCCTCGTCGCAGACTGTACATAGTGTGGGATATGTACGACCTTCACACTGTGTGACGGCCGTACAAATCGGACTCTATGTACAGTCTGCGGTAGCCGATGTACACCCGGTTGTGTGCCTGAAGAGAAACCGTACGGACGATCTCAAGGCACTCTTCGCGTCCGGCTGCATAGTGACACTTGTAGCCGTCGTGAAAAGCTTGACCATGGCTTTCTCCCGGCATAACTGTCCTTGCCAGTGCTCTGATAAAATATAAAATATAATGTTCGGTAATCGCAACTCATTTGTGGTGTTCGATGTGTTGCATGACATGTAACATGATGTGCCGTTTATGATTTCATCTGAGTCAGTGGTCGTATCAGATGCGCTGGCAACGGCGAATCGTGTACACTGTAATGCAAGTTAAATTTTTAGGGCATCTTTACTGGCTTGTACAGCCTCCATAGCGTCTTGTATCCTACTGTATTTTTGCAGTATCCTTTATGTTTCCCTCGTGTATCCCATTGAGATATCTAAGACAATTATCACGATACAAGCGGGACACGCGACGAATAGAGTAAGGATGCAGTAAGGATTTATGAATACAGTAAGGATGCATACATAGATGATTACGGATACAAGTGCTGCTTATAACCCGCAACTAAGCTGCAGACAGCAGGATGCTTTGGGATACACGTAGGATACTGTGAGAATATCGTGGCTAGCTATCCTAATTCCTAACTATCGCACAGTATCCGCACCGTATCCTTTGTGCATCCAACGGTAATTTTCTTGGGTTCCTTAAGGTTCGTGGACTTCTTGGTAAATTGCATGGGAAACACAAAAAATTGCATCATTCTGGCATCATACTGTAGAAATACGTACGGGTGGGAAACGGGAGCAGTGAAATAAAAAAGGGCATACTGGAACATTATAAACATACATGAGGGAAACGTAGAGGATACGGTGGAATACTGTCAGGAAAGTTGTCCTGAAAAATTTATCGTGTACAAAGTTGTCTCTGTAGTCAGCGTAGCTGCAGTGAGCATTGGACAGTGGACAGTGAAGTTAATCCTCATGGCAGCACAAAGCCAACCAGAAATTGCGTAAATTATTGAAGCTGTCTGAAAGATGTGCGAACAATTAGCAGACCGTTATACCGCGGTCAGCGCCCGACTAAAAATCTAAAGTCCAAATGCCTACATCGAACAGAAGACGTAATTTCCCGGTGACTTGCGTCTTTAGACGCCAGCATCTTGCAGGCTGTCAGGAAGAGGACGTTAGGACAGCTTTTGAAGCAGGAGATTGGTCCTCTTGGTGGCACTTCACTGGGGATTGGGCAAATCATTCTTGCCAGCGAACTGTAATTATAAAACGGAAACTGCTGTTTGTGTTAAATGACTATACGAAAAGCCACTTCCGATGGCAGAGGCGAGCTTCGATATGCTAGTCACCGGCAGAATTCTTAATCTGCAATAATTGATATTCTGCTAATAAATTACGTACTTGCACTTTTCCCGGTATACCGTCCTACAGCTGCCACCCGTACAGTACGTCCGTGTTTGCCGGTAAATCAGCCTCTCCATCGTGTTAGCTGCATAAATCTTGGTAATGTGCGCTGAAAACTGTACGGCTCATTTTTGACTGCGGTATAAAATGCAACTGAGTACATACACGGTACCCAGCACTGTTCAATGCACACCACCTAACAATGCCATGCTGGTAGCCTGGTATCGATCTGTTCTTCGCAGCGGTTAAGCGATGACTTTCATCGTGAGGCGCACTAACGCGCACCAAACTGCAGGTATAGGTGTGTATATAATTTATATCTCAGGATCCAAGATGTTGGAAATCACGGAGAAAGCACGATCTATTTAATTACACTTCCTGAAATTTACGAGATTAAGAAAGGAATGCCAAAACATTCTCCGGATGTTCGCTGAGGTGTTGTGCCGGTGTGAGGCAATTATCAGCGCACCAATCTCATTAATATCCCCCGTTTCCCTGCTACAGTAGCTAGGACGAGAAGGTAAACCTAACAAGAATCTCGCCAAGATGTGCCTGCTTGACCGCCAAAGTACTCGTACAATGGAAGTCGCTCAATCTTTGCGTCACATCAAAGTGGACAAAACCCGCGGATAGCCGGTACGGTGGAGGAAGGAATTTGCTTGTCCGTAGCATATTGTGATTTGCACTATTGCAATTATTCCGGGCTAGGTATATCCTCTGTCTGTCTATATACCGGACAATATTCTCTGTCTGCCTGGACAATATTCTCTTCTGTCTATATATGTTTGCTAAAAGCATAGTTCAGTGATCTGATGTTCGCAAAACAGCGAACGCGTACGAGAGTTAGGAGCGGAATATGGGGCGCCAAAACAGCCCACCTCGAGCTCCCCCGGACTATAAAGCTCCACTCGTTCAAACACATGTCTGCCTGAAGGCTCACACGTTCGCGCCCGTGTTACACGGACGATCTTGAGGAATTCTCCACATCCGCCACAAGACAAACACCTACAGCCGTGGTGAGAAGCGTGGCCATGGTTTAATTTCTCCCGATCTAGCTGTTACTTACTGGATGTGTTGTTGCCAGGCTCGTCTGAGTCAGCGTCGTATCAGACGCGCTGGCACAGCAAATCCTGTACACTGTACTGTTCCTTTCATGTGCGGCGCAACGATATCGGTCTAAGCGGCCACACCGCTTCACCACCGCGGTCCGTAAAGTCCCGTGTTCTGGCATTTTATCAGGCACTTCAAGAATTGCCCTTCAGGTTTCACAAATATACTGCTCTGCCATAACAAATATGCTGCTCTTCTCTGCTGCTTTTACAGATATACTGCTGCGAGTGTCACCGGTATAGAGGAAGCAACCAACTATCCCGATCGGCTGGGTCGTGATCGGCCGATCAGGGACTAGCCGATCAGGGTGGTTGGCTCACGGCGACGAAGCCCGGTCCAACGCTGCGGCCGCGGGAACTGTCATACTGGGTGCTGCACGTGAAGGTGCAACTGCTCCGGTTTCAAGCATGAAGTGTGGCATGGCCGCATGGGCATCACATGCACGGAATCGCGCAGAATTCTGGAATATACGGCGACCTGGAGATGCCGGCAGCGGTTCTGACTGATTTGTCCGGTCTGTCCTTTCTCGAGTTTCCATCACTGTTCTGTCAAATAGAAAGCAGGCATTTGTATGTTGTGCGCTGTGATGCGTCTTGTGAAAACTCTTAAACCGAATTAGTTATTGTAGTATACATAAACCCAAATTAAATTTTCAACCAAACTAGTTATTGTAAGTGCTTTATTATACCAGCATTTAATATTCCAGTAAAGAAGAAAGGTCTCATTTCGTGCATTACTCTAGGGAAACTTTTATCACGCTTTGCACATCCTAAACAGATTAACACTGGGCCGCAAAATTTGACAACTTCTACTTGTTTTTATACTTTTAACAACTGAAAAGATATCTCACGAAGAAAAGTTAAAGAGCTTTTTATAAATCTAGATTTGGACAAAGGAGTTAACGGATCCGTTTCCACTATCCACGATGGTACACAATAGAAACAAATTCGGGAATGCTGAATCTGTTGCTAATCGGCCTCTAAACTTTCCTAAGCAGTACTTGTAGTTTGTACATCCTATTGCCACTTGCACCACTTTGTTTATAGGGTGTGTATGCGATTGGTGATGTACTCGTATATGCACTAAATTTACTACCACTGTCTATAATGCACTTGTGCAGCTTTTGGTTGCTTGTCAAGTCTATCGCAATTTTTAATACATTGCTGAAGCGTTTCTCGTACGTACATGTTGAGGTTGTTCTTCTTAGCCATGCAGACAATAACGACCGGCATTTACAGAGTGCTTGGGCTTATTTCGTGATGCCGGAATTCTTACATAGAAGGAAACCAATAACAATATGTAAGCGCCATAGAAAACGCTAGATTTGTGCAACAATTAACTTACATGTAGTACATGAGCAAAAGCTGGAAAAGCGCCAAAACAAATATTCACGGGACATTAAAAGTAGTCCTTAACAATGAGACGCTAATTAATTCTGGAACGTTCTATGCATCTGCTGTCTTTCCCGTTTTTTTTTCCGGGCAGCACATCTTTCCCTCAAGACCTGTCGTCAGTATCTTTGTCAACATCCACCATGGTGGCATTGGCTCGAAAGAGGCGCTTCTGGGGACTCGCACAGTGATACAGCATGAAATCGCACAAAATCGTTGTCTGCAATAACAAGGCAGTTTAGGTGGCGATTGTTGTACAGCACTCACCGCTTTCTGCTACTTGTAAATAAGCGAGATCGCTGCTAAAAAGACAGGAAGATCATTACGTGGTTTGTTGTTTATTAATAATTATGCTGACACATAAATCTATCTGCGTACTATTCACGTGATACATTAATTAATGTATCGCTAGTACGCCGTGTTAAGCGTTTTGAGTATCTTGTAAGATGCTAGATTCAGTTCATGGATAAAGGTTCGGACAAATCCCGACCAACATCTTGTCCCTTACCACGCCCAGCAAACCCAGACCGGAACCGAGGTTGATGGTGGTCTGTACATAGCTGAACTTTCTGGCCACGGCGTACACGTTGAAGACGATCCGGATGCCGGTGTGTTTGTACAAATAGCGCGTGAAGACGCCTTCTTCTTTCCAATATCCACTGCGGCTGTAGAAAAGTACAGGCAGTGTTATTAATACTTTTAATATAGGCAGTGTTATTAGTTTAATATAGTTAGTGTCATTTGTGATGGAGAAAGCGCCATGGGGAAAATTGCAGACCCAGTCGTGATAAAAAAATGATTCCGCACTTACCGGTAATTCCATCCCGGTACGATAACACCCTCGCGTGGATCGAGCCGGCGGAAGAAATACTTGGGCGTGCAGTGGTGAATGTGGAAGTCCAGATCGCAGTCCCATTTGATCCCGAAACTCAAGATGGCTCCCTGCGAAAATTGCAAACGCAGCAACATCAAGATAGTCCGTCTTACGCTGCGTAATTCGCGAGACAGAAAAATTCAGTAACGAGCTAAATCAAATTTCCAGACTGCGAACCAACATAATTTACAACAGCCAATCTGTTTTAGAAGAGCTACTGTACTAAATAAGTTGAACGTCATTAGTTACTAACCGCACCGAGTTATCGCACGAGGACACGCTAATCGTAGCTGATAGACAAAAATACAAAAATACTCGTGAGTAACGTACATGGCGCGCCATTTCATCGTAATCCTCTCCCGCTAACCGGATGATGTATCCCAGATTAAATGCCGGACATTGCGGGTCGGTGGCGTTATTAAATACGCAGTTGCTCACGTAGCTATCATCCAAATCCCCGAAGTTCCTCCTAGCACATTCCAATGAAGCAAAATGCTTTCACTATAGCTTATTATTGATTTCGCTATACCTTTTACCTTCTAACGCGAAACTTGGGGAAGACAATGTAGTTTTTAACAAGAAGGGTGAGATGTTCGCTTCCAGTCAGTGTGGTCGTACTGCAAAGACAGCAGTGCAATTTTCCAGTCAAACGCTAAAAGCACGTGTGTTTCACCTGGACGTCTCGTTCTCCAACGGGCACCACGCATGTACATTACAGGTGTGGGTGGTCAGATTGCAGTGGCCGTTGAGTAACCCGTGGCCCAGATGGATGGACCGGCCGATTTCGCAGTCTGAATCGCCCGTACAATCTGCACCGGTGAATTTATCCTGGAAAGCAATCAGCCAAAAGCCATGCAAATAACTGCCCAAGAGGACGATCAAGCCAGCGTTATACAGTACCTCGGCGCAGATCCCGTGTGTCTGCTTAGGAGTGGCGGTCACCTTCGTCGTGATGAACAGGGCGTTGTTCTCCTGTTAAACAAATTAGTACATAAATTTTTTTTCAAGAGACAAAAAAATTAGGTCATGTTTATCAAGCGGTATGAAATGCACCAGAGATGTATGACGGCAGTTGAGTGTGCTACGCAAAATCATATGGCGGAAGCGCTTTTAACGCAGCAGTAAAGCTCATGTACTAAAGCGTTACAAGCAGGTAAGGCCAGGTTATGATATGTCGGGGGTAACGAAGTTTACGGTTTGACGATTTGCAGAACACTAGCCGACCAATGCGGGAACCATGGTGTCCACCGCGTCCCAGGTTAATCCCAGCGCTTTGTTCTTCAATTTCCGCTGGGTGGGGTCACGGTCGGCCAGATGGGTGAAGTTCTCGCGCTGAGACTGCTGCAGTCCGACCACCCGCGCCACGACACTGCTCTCGCCCTCCTCTGAGCGCTGGTAGCCTCGATCCATGATGAAGACCACGCTACAAGCACAGTCAAAATTGCAAACGGTAAGAATTAATGACAATCCGTGGCTATACCGCCAATGGTACTTAGCCATTCTGTTAGAAAGGAAATAAAACTCGGTTTACTTATTTTTAACGACTTATTTTAGGAAGGGACGTCAACATCCCATGGTTCTTATCTAGATACTCTGCACAGAAGACTGACTAATGAGACGCATCAATCAGCATGCCGTACTCGATCCCTCATGCCACATAATGCATCACTTACATAACAACGTAGGCGATGATAGTGGCTTGTACCAGCCGATTGCAGATGGCAATGCACGGTGAATGGAAGCGCACGGAGCGTGCCGTTTCATACCTGCAAGGGCAAGAATTATTATTGCAAGAATGACTACTATTGCAAGACTACTATTGCAAGAATTTTCTAACCGATGACTACAATTTAGGACATTATTCCCTTTCCGCCGCACGCCCCGGCCAATCAACCAACCGACCAAAGACATACTCGTAAATCAACAAGCCGACGAATATTTTGGCCACAGAATAAAAGCGTGTTTTTTAATAGTAACTCAGAAAGCAAGTAATTACGCCGAATGTTTCGCACTGCCTCTGATAAGGGCACGCTTTGTAAGAAATCGGAATCACTTCATTACGCTTGCGACAATGATTGTGCCGAGAAGGAATACTGTCCTAAGTTGCACATCCAGGTAAACACATACTTGGTAAACGTATCCACAACACTCTGCCGCACAATCGTCCCACAATTCAGCGTATTACCCTCCAACATGGCAGCGATACTCGGATGGATAACCGATGCATTTCCCGTCTGATTACTCTAACATCTGTAGGCTGTCAAATTCCTGGATTACGATCAACATAACGACGAGAGAACAGTTACAATGTTACCAAAGCCGAAATGTAGTGCGGTGAAAAAATAATTAACAGTAAGTCGGTGGGTGTACAGTATAAGCCAATGTGTTCTGGCTAATGGGAATCACTCACTGGCCTCTGCAAGACTGCAACATCGCATCTTGGATGCTCTCCAGCGCCGCTGGTTATACTTAGCGCAGAGGGGAGTGTGTAGATTGTACCGCAGTCGAACGGCAAAGGAAGTGCAACGGCACCGCAACAGCTGCGTCTGCTTATTTTTAATCAGCCGACTAGAACGCCGATGTCGCGATCCAGTTACTGCATCGGCAATCAAAAGAAACGGAGTACCGCCCAGACATACGGCGCACTCCGTACTGCAGAGTGCGCACTATGATTGTAATTGTTGTTATCGTGCGCACGATACAGCATGAAGTAACAGTTGATTGCGCTACTTCCGGCTGCTGCGTTTGTGAGTAAACTGTAGTGGAATTGTAACGACAGCCATTCTAACTAATCGACCGAAGCGTAGCGAAGGTCCTCTGTGTTCAGCGTTTATGAAAAAAGTGGTGTCCGTCGGTCATTGCCACCTAATGCACATATGCGCACTGGCCGTATATACTCAAGCCACAAGCAAACTATGGTGTCCGTCGGTCACCGCCACCTAATACACAAATGCGCGGGCTTGCTACCAAAATGTACATAAGCGTGCTGGCCGCATATACTGGTCACTAGCCATATACAAGTGCTGCGCTGCTTATTGAATTTTCAGGGATATATTTCTTTGGTCTTAACTTTTTCATTTCGCATCACAATCTTTACATCACACGCAAACGGAAAAATCTAGGAAGGAAGATTAAAATGCAACGCCTCAAAGTACGGAAGCCACAGCTGCTCGTTGTGATAAGCGCAATACCGGCATGGGCAATCGGCGTCCTTACCTGATCGTAGTTTCATTAGGCATCCTTACCTGATCGGCGCCCTTACCTGATCGGCTACAGTAGTCAAACGTGCAAGTATTTCTAAAACCATATTTAACCACCAACCCATGTTGCAACAGTAAAATTTCGTATTATGTCGGGAACGTTATTGCAGTCAGCTTCAATGGGAAAAAAATAAAAAAGATTTAGGCTCGTCACCAGATTTCTCGTAAATCATAAAGGAGCAAGTAAGCAACACGTCTATACAACCGGCAAAACCATGCCTACGCCGGCTCAGATCTACCTCCACCGTAATTTAAACCGTAAATATTTATCTCACTTTAGGTTTTAGAAAATATTAAAGCTTTCAGTACGGTCGGCAAACAAATCCCATCCATAATTTTTATTACGTTCTGAGAACAGTGGAATGTTCGTCGGTCCGAAAGCTTCCACTGGTTGCGGGATTTTGCTCTAAATATCTCATACTCGTAACGAGAATTCGACAAGTATTTGCTACGAAGTAGATAAAGATTGATAATAAACTTATTGCTACGCTTCGGTCATACAGTGCCCGCCAGAAGCGAGTGCACTTTCCTAGTATTCTATGTGTGTGAGAAAGGCTGGCACGGTCGGCAAGGGATGCTAACCGGAAGCCGAATGGTGCTTAAGGGGACGGCAAGATGCATGAGTGCGTGCAGCCGGCAAAACCGTTCGCCGGCGGTTAAAAAAACGTCCCGGCAAAAATCTGAATATACACAAAGGCAAAAATTATCGCGAACGTTTTTTGCCGGTTGCGCATGCGGTGATGCGGTTGTCGTTCACTTAGTAATCAGGGTGCACTGTGTGCACCATGCTGTAGCAGGAAGAAGTTTAGCACAAGAAATGTTACACATAAAAGCGATTTTTTACTACTTTATTTTTATTTCTTACTTTATTTTTTTATTACTTTATTACTTTGTTTCCATTACTTTTTTTATTACTTTATTTTTATTCCCTTGTGAGCCTTATATATAAAGGTACAGATTATGACTTGCTAAACTATTTTGAAAATCCTGTACAGTAGCTAGTAACAGACACCAAGAAAGAATGGTTTTCAATTGATTTCTCTACGATAGCATGGAAGTACGAGGAATTTCTCGAAAGTTATTTTTCTAAGCGGTTATCTGGGTCTCTTGGAGCGTAGAAATAGCGCATGCCATAAGATGGCATGTAGAAGCGTACATACTCCTATCGCACTGTGCAGGCTGTATACTGTTTTACCGTTATACAACTGCCTAGCATAACTTTATTCCGTACGTTTAACAAAAAGCAACGTCTTGCACGAATTTCTTCTAAATTAAAAACCCATTCCAGTTAATATGAGACGGGGTAATTCCCAAAAAACCCTCGGCATAACCGCGTCGAATCTCTGACGTCAACGTAGAAAAAGGAAACAGGTGGAGCGGCTTTCTCCCGTTCTGATACTGTAAAGTTTTTTGCCGATTTCCTTCAAGCGACTGGCAGACGTATTGGACCAAGCACCAAAAGTTTCAAATGCCAACGATAAAAAATAACATCATGATCACGTCCATGATGGTCATCCTGTCGGTCGTTAAGCTGCTCAGCGCCTGCTGCAAGCTGACCTTCGGGGAGATGCAGCTCCGCAGAGGGTACTTTGATTGTGGAGTACTGGACTGGAGTACTGGACCAAGGTGCCCATGCAGAAGCTGGTACACTCGCGGACCTTCCCGCATTCGGTGCGAACCATTAAGGAGAGGATTTCGTCGATGCGAAGGGCCAGGCGAATCTCATGCAGATGGAATCGCTGCAGCCGGTGACCACCGCCGCGGGAGTAATCAGCTGAAACAACGGCACGAAAAGTTGCGATTGTACCGATTTGAATATTCATGTTTACATAATCATCATTATTTCGAAATCGCTCAGATTTTGTTCATTTAAGCATGCATTTTCACAAACCAATCACCGATCGGCGGTTCGGATATTCCCTCGTTAATTTGGTTTCGTTATACAGCTCTAATGATATGCACAATACTCTGCAGGTAGGTATCTACTACCATCTAGTAATGTTTCAGAAACTTTCGTCTTCCTTCGACGACCAGTTTATGAGGACCGAAGGTATCTACTACCATCTAGTAATGTTTCAGAAACTTTCGTCTTCCTTCGACGACCAGTTTATGAGGACCGAATAACGTATACTTAGTAACGGTGAACACAACAGAGTAATACGGATTCTGTGGATACATTAAAAATTTTATAAGATTCGTTGATGAACCCTTTTCTTGGTAAGATGCAACTGCTCAACGGCGCTACAGATATGTGTACAGTGGACGCCGCAAATGTGGCTACACCGATAGGTGTATGCATGCTTAGCGCTATCGCCTATCGCTGTAACCACATTTATGGCGTAAATTGTATGTACACCGTACACGTACGTAATTTGAATACATTTAAATTGACATTTTAGTCTGTAAATTTTGCTGTACAGCGCTTGCTTCAACAGGATTATGACGAACAATTAACAATGGGATTTGCACGATTCAGTTTTATTAAAACTGAATCGTGGATAATGTGCTCTGGTCACTGCATATTTGCTGCTGTCTACACAGATTACTCTAGACCTGAATCGCATGGGTCGAAACGTGAAAGTGCCGTTCAGTTTGTTGTGGCTACGAATATTGCGCACATTCAGCGTGTGACGCGTTTACCAGTCAATGACTAAATGCCCCATGGTCCAGCGTACATGCAGCAAGACACACATTATCGGCTGAACGGCCTGGTAGTACTGTTAGTTTCCATGTGGCTTAGTGTTGGCCTGCGGGCTAATAACTGACCATCATGAGTACGCAGGAGGATCAACTTTTTTGGAAATTTTTTTCGCTGAATACACAGCACATTCGGTCTGGAATCCTCGAGCATGTTGGTTTCGTGCGAGCTTGTTTGTAAGGCATCCACATTTTACAAAACTATGAGCAATAGCATCAAATTCTGATAAAATTTTGGAAAAAACCTTCTTTGATAAAAATATCGGTATCTTATGTCAAACACCTATTTTTTTTATAAACTACGAAATGAAAATGTATGAAAATGTGAATGTTAGGTCTGAAAATGTTATGTAAGTATGGCCTAGCTGCGATAGTGTGGTTTGTCTACTTCAGCAACATTCACGACTTACAATACCTACTCTAGCGCTTGACTTACGTAAACTCAGCTCGTTAGAAACTAATATGAGTTGCTCAACTTAATATAACTAATCTAACTTAGCCCGTTATAAACTAATATGAGTTAGCTAACTAATATGAGTGGTCGTAATTGATACTAGTATTTCAGACGCACTCAGAAAATCAATGAACACCAAATTAGAAATAAGATTTACAATATCAGCTTGAAATTAGATACGAAGCTCGACAAAGACAGTTTATTAGCTGTAAGATTCAACTTAAATAAGGAATAAAAAGCTGGAAGAACAGAAGCAAAACTTTTCAGACGGAAAAGGGTAAAAAATAAAGACGCCAATGAATCAAATAACAAGTGGCATCTGTCGCCTTTGAACGATCTTTCTCATCCTTAGTATTTAGGACAACATCGCCTCACGAAGATTGGCCATCGGCATCCTTGTCAACATCGACCATGGTGGCATGGGATCGAAAGAAGCGCTTCTGCGGATCAGCGCAGTGGTACAGCATGAAATCACACAAAATCGTCGTCTGCAATGGCAAACCGTTCAGATGAAAACGCGACTACAAACTCCTGAATTTTACCGTTTTTTATAGAGAAGCTGTAAACTTATTTAATGTACACGATACTTTGCAAAAGCTTTTCCCCCAGTTTCTGTCGCATTAACACAGCGACAAATCCCAATTCACGGGCTACGCCGTACTATATACTACAGTGCGCGATTCGCTGGATATAGCAAGCAGCCGAACTATACTACAGGCTTCGAAAAGTCTTAGCTGATTGCAAGATTGTTGCCTTACCACGCCGAGCAGTCCCAGACCGGATCCGAGATTGATGGTGGTCTGTACGTAGCTAAACTTTCTGGCCACGGCGTCTACGTTGAAGACGATCCGGATGCCGGTGTGTTTATACAGATAGCGCGTAAAAACACCCTCTTCCTCCCAGTATCCACTGCGGCTGCAACACATACCGGCGACGGTTTTGTTGTATCCCGTCAAATGCCAGTGATGGAGATCGCGCCCCTTGAAAATCGTATGCCCCGCTAAGAGGCTAAATTTGTCCGCGCTTACCGGTGATTCCATCCCGGTACGATGACGCCTTCACGCTCGTCGAGCCGGCGGAAGGAATACTTGGGAGTGCAGTGGTGAATGTGGTAGTCCAGATCGCAGTCCCATTTGATCCCGAAACTCAGGATGGCTCCCTGTGTTTAGTACGAATTTATCATAAACCCAATAATCCACGGGCATCATTCACAGATCACCTTAACAATTCGCCTTAAAACGATGCGTAAATTCATATACTTCAAGATTTTCTGGAATTTGTATAAGTCATTTTGCACGACATTAAAGTAGATTTCAAATGGTCGAACACGTTTCAGCCAAGGGAAATTCGGCGGCTCCTAAATATCTGTGGCCTGTTGCCGTTGGCAAAGTACAGAGTACATGCGTAGTTTAGAATAATTTACATTTAAAACAGCATATTCTAGATCTATCCAAAACAGTAAGTGTACTTTTAGGCAACGTACGTGGCGTGCCATTTCGTCGTAATCCTCTCCCGCTAAGCGAATTATATAGCCGAGATTAAATGCCGGACACTGTGGATCGGTGGCGTTATTGTAGAAGCAATTTGTCACGTAACTGTCATCCAAATCCCCAATGTTTCTCCTGGAATACACCTTAAAGTCTTAATCCGCTTTCATAATGACATAATCCGCTTTGGACAGATGAACTTAATCGTGAAATTTAATTTACCTTCGAACGCGAAATTTGGGGAAGACAATGTAATTTTTCACGAGTAGGGTCAGACGTTCACCACCTGTCAGCATCGTCGTGCTGCAAAGCAGCACAGTGTTATTCTCCAACAACCATATTACTTCAGTGACAGCGATATTCTACGGAATACCAGCAACGCTGCTGCTTGTACCTGGCCTTGTTTTCCAGCGGGCACCAGGCATGTACACTGCAGGTGTTTGTCGTCCGGTTGCAGTGGCCGGTGAGCAAGCCATGGCCCAAATGGATGGACCGGCCGACTTCGCAGTCTGAATCGCGCATACAATCTGCACCACTGAATTTATCCTAGATAGTACCAATCGAGCAGCTGCAATATAACTGCCAGAATATGGGAAAGAAAAAATCAACTCAGTACTTCAGCGCAGATCCCCTGTGTTTGTTTAGGCGTAGCAGTAACCTTGGTGGTAATAAACAGGGCGTTGTGTTCCTGTCAATACAACCGTGTACAGTTAGTTCCAGAGTTGTATTAACTGTATAATATACTGGTAATAGTTTAATTTATTTATTGATTGGTTCAACTCAAGTGTTAAACATGTAATGCAGCTGCTATGAGGCTATATCGGTGGGATTACGATGGACGTTTTTTTTCTCTGTAAAAACGGATTACGATTTGTGGAACACTAGCCGACCAATGCGGGAACCCTGGTGTCCACCGAATCCCAGGTTAATCCCAGCGCTTTGTTCATTAAACCCCGTCGGCTGGGATCACGGTCGGCCAGATGGGAGAAGTTCTCCCGCAGGGACTGCTGCAGTCCGACCACCCGCACCACGACACTGCTCTCGCCCTCCTCCGAGCGCTGGTAGCCTTTATCCATGATAAAAACCACGCTGCAAGTACGGCATACATTTGAAAATATACTTGCGCATTTTACTACTTTGCTTGACCGAGAAAAAACCCAGTCTGAACTGTGTTTATTTGGGAGAGGAGTAGCACGATCTCGCTATTGCACACGATAGTGATGGGACACATCAATCATCATACCAAATCAGATCGGACAGACCCGTGACGGAATGTGTCAGTTTGCAACGCATCACTTACATAACAACATAGGCGATGATGGTGGCTTGTACCAGTCGATTGCAGATGGCGATACACGGCGAATGGAAGCGCACGGAGCGTGCTGTTTCATACCTGCGAAGGTTGAAAAATCCCGTTTGATGAATAGCGCATTTATCGGCCAATCAACACCAGAATTTTTGGAGACTGTTCTCTTCCGGAAGCCAGTTTCTATCTGTCTTTGCTCAGAAACCGCAGTTCCGGTTAAAGCGTACGCGTCGCTTATTATAAACACAAATTCACCTGGTTTACACTTTCAGTAATAAAAGTGGCGGAAAGAGAGTATTATCCTAAATGTCCTAATTGTCCACTCATTTAGCGAATACATACTTGGTAAATGTATCCACAACACTTTGCCGTACAATCGTCGAACAACTCAGCGGATTACCTTGCAACATGACAACGACACCCGCGTGGATAAACCGTTCATTTCCAGCTAGCTGATTAAACTGACATCCGTGGGTTGTCAACTAACGGGATTAAGATAAACAGAATGACTTACTGGAGCGACAATATTGCCAAAGCGGTTTACGGTGGAGAAATAATTCACAGTAAACCAGCTGCACAAGTCGCGACACGCTACTGGCAGGATTGATAGCGTTTGTCAGTGCAACATGCGCGCTGGATGGTCTCCAGTAAGCGTTCGGTTATAATTAGCGCGGAGCGGAGTGTTGACGGGATTATTGCCGCGGCTAAACCGCAGATGAAGCGGCAACGGCATCCCCAACGTTGCGCAAGAGCGGCGACTAATTTTATTCAGCCTACTCGAACGCATTAAAGAGTTTTTTCATCGGTAATTAAAAGTGACGGAAAGTAGCGCCCAGATTTACGGTGCAATATACAGATGACATGTGCAGTAATGTTTGGACATACATAGTTCGTAGTATAACGGATATACTTGGAGTGTATTACTATGTCTACCGGTTTCTGTGCTTCGTTCTGTAGAATTAAAATTGTATTAGATTGCACAACCGGTCAAGGCAGCATGATGTACAGGTCACGCTATGCTTTGACGTTTTTTACTGCAAGATTAATTCTATTGGGAGATTCCAAGGTTATCTCTGCGGTCACTGCTTTATACAAGCACCCAAGCGCCTCTTCGTGAGCGGACGGAGTACAGCAATGCAAAACGCAATTACGGCAGCCATCTAATTTCTTGACACTGCAGTAACAATTTCGAAACAAAAAGAAATATCTTTTCGTGCCTTGGGCCAGCAAACCGCATGGTAATTAATCTGACAAGCGCTTCAGCTGCAGCAACTTTCTTCCTTGATCGGTGTATCTCACGTTTTGACAGCAGCTGACGGTATTATTCTTACTGCTAATATCTACACGGGATGGTTAATGCCGCTGCCCACGTGGGCCTTTTGCAATAGAAATTAAAATAATGAACTCGCTGCGCAGCCCTAGTTTTTCCCTTTTATTGCGACTCTAATAAATTTCTTTTTTTCTAATGCAGCCGGCTTATGCTGTGCAAACTGCAGAGAGTAATCATAAGCACAAGTACATCTAGTAAAATACGTATTAAGAATCGACCAAAGCGGCTGGAGCAGCAGCTCGTCAAGCGGAAAACCGAAAACGATATAACTACCGCTTGCTGGGAGACCGTACTGGTTTTATCCGTTTGCTGTGGCGACGATGGGAGTCCTAGGAGAAGCTGCTAAGGAAGTGGTCAGTTTCTTTGGACGTCTGATTAGGGAAAAGACAGGCGAGAGCAGATCCACGGACTTTCTTAAACAGCGCATTAGTTTGGCTATCATGAAGGGAAATGCCGCAGCAGTTTTGGGCCCTTTGCCAGGAAAGAATAAGATTGTTACTGGAGAATTTGGTTGTTTTTTTCAGTCTTAATACAGCAGTGTGTACGTAGTGTTGTTGACCTACTGTGAATGTATGATGCCGTAAAAGTAATAGTGGATTAGCGCAGACCAGTTGTATAGATACACGGAATCTATACATACAAACACGTGACGTCAGAACCTTCCGGAAACAGGCGTGTTTGTATAGATCGTAACGTATACGAGCGAGCTGGTGTGCGCCACGCGTATAGCTGCCAGCCATCTCGCATGCACACATACAAGCAGACTGCCAGTTGATCCCCAAAACTTACAATACTCGTTTTTCGTTTGTCTGTCAGTGGATCTTCCCAATCGACATATCAAAAGATGTAGAAATTAAATTTGAACTTTTTGATATCTGACAAGTGGATATTTATGACAAATCAAGATAGTTATGACTGTTTTCGTTTCTCGTAGACACAGCATAGGTCCGTGCGAGGAGGCGTTGCTTGTGTCCTATGTTAAGTCTACGAGAAACTAAAACAGTCATAATTATCTTGATTTGTCATAAATGTCCACTTGTCAGATATCAAAAAGTTCAAATTTAATTTCTACATCTTCTGGTATGTCGATTGGGAAAATCCGTTGAGGAGTAAACGAAAGATAAGCGTTTGAAATTTTGAGATCGACTGGCAGCTGGATCCGCTACTTGTTTGTATGCATCAAAAGGGGTGGAGTTACATGCATACACGTAAGGGCCTTACGTGGATGGATTTTCGGCACCGCTTTCATACACGCATACATTAATTTGCGCGGCAGCGAATCAGTGCACTGTGGGTTCGGCCGTGACGTCACATGTTTGTATGTATAGATTCCGGTATCTATACAAGTGGTCTGCGCTAATCCACTAATAAAAGTTGTACTATACGTATTACATTATAGTTATTATATTTTTACAATGTATTATTTAACCATGGTACATTTGTGCAGTGTCAAAGATATTCTAATTACAGTAAGTTTAGATAGTACAGCTTTCTACGTAATTCTTTTTGAGGCAACACTTCCTTGTTGGTGTTGTTTATTGCTGAGACAAAATGTTTTAATGGTACAGACGATTACTGCAATTTACTGTGTTGATTAAACACAACATATCTGCGAATGGATGTTTAATTTGTCAAGTACACAGGCGACGACTCGCATATAGTGCCACTTGCTGCCAGGATAGTTTTACTGTACGGATCAGCCATCGTAACTGGTCGGTTAAACCTTGGTGAACCAAACTTTCGCGGTGACGTCACCAACTTTGTATGTCTGTAAGACAAATGATGGGAACTGGGATTTGTGGGTGAGAAGATTCAAGGTGCAACGCCTTCTTACTTTGACCATTTCATTGCCGGAGAAGGTAAACATCTGATCGACCTGGCGATCCGGAAGGTCAAAGTTCGCTTTCAGTGAATCGCCCTCCAACGTGTACTTGTACTGCAGTTAACGTGTACAGTGTTACATATACCACAGCAAGCTGGAAATTAATTACACGTATGTATAGGTAGAACTACAACAGAACTCCACATGCTGCGATTCAAGTTTTTCTCCAGAAAACCTTGGAAAATCTTTATGACTAAAAATATGCGCCATTGCATCACAGATAGCTTGAAAAAATTTGTATCTACCAAGTTAGGAAACAACTGCTCAACTAAACTTAGCTGCTTTTAGCTTAATTAAAAAGGCAGCTCGTTTTCTATTTAAATAATTATGTATTACATAAATGCGCACGTACTTTATAATTCGTCCCATTGAACGCCGCCTGCCGTTCTTCCCCCAGTTTGAACGGCAGATCCTGAACGTAGTTCTTGCTGGGCACGGAGAATTTGTGATGGTATTCGTCGCCGCTGGCGGAAAATTCATTGATGATCTTTGCGTGAATGTCGTCTTGCTCTGCACAAGCCGGTAATTCAACGGTTATCAGCAATCAGTTTAACAGTATCAAAAAACAGTTTGTACGAATAAATACCAACAAAATAAGCTTTTTTCTCATCGTAAATGACTAATTAATGGCTTTAAGTAATTCGGCATTGGTTAATTAATAAACGCAGCATATTTCATAATATGTATTAGACTAATATATAAATAATGTTATACTATTATAGCTTAAAAAACCAAGCCGAAATCGGTAGCCCCATCCGGTAAAGAATCCGATATATATAATTATATGAAAATGAATTAAAAACTCGTTAGTTTCTGTAGTACACCAGTTTTGAAGAGATACGCACTTAACGCGGCGGCAAAGGCCTGGGTGTTCTCTCGCCGGTCGGTGGACTCGTACTTTCCCAGAAACGCATCCAAGCCAGCGCCCTCGATGGCGGCGATCGCCAGCGTTCCTGTACATTACAAGTACCAATAATCATCTATATTAATTTATAGGAAATATACAGTATCCCGTGATTAATTAATCCAAGTCGTATTCTGTTACCTAAACAGATTATACGCATGAACGCCATACTGGTTACTTGGCAGTTACAGTCTGTACAATCGAATGTGGTCGTCGTAACACAGTGTTAGGGCTGCGCAACAGCCAGAAGCGCGTTTATCCATTTTATACGAGCACCATATATGAGATAATAATATTATACAGTTTGGTGTTTGACCGCACCGTATTGTTCCAGTGAAGTTTAACCCCGGCGATCGGCATCGCCATGGGCAGCCGGCACCTGCATTTGGCTTGTCTGGTGTTGAGGCTTTTCCCGGCGTTGTACGCGCCGAGACTGGTGGCTTCGGAATTTTACAGTACCATATGAGAATTATATGCTATATCAGTGATGGAATACTTTATATATAATTGCAAAATTCGGTTCATTGACCTTTTAGTGTTGCCTAAAATTCTTGAGATGGATCGGTGCTGGATTTTCTCGATATGATCACTTTCTTCGGGGTGCTCGTAACCCAGGTATCGCGGCACTACATCTTCCCTGCGAGGACGTTGACCCATACAACTCATGTAGTAGAGAAAAATCGTTAGAAAAATTCCAGCTGAGAATTAGTAAAAGTTACGTGATTGACAACTGAACTAGGCTTTTTCCTGAAATTTTTCGGCACACCGCCAACTTGGTGAGTGACACCCCCGTCAGGCATTAATACGAGTATTTTCATGTACACCGAGCCTCGTTACATTGCATATAAAAGTAGAGGAGTACTTGTAATTTTAGAAGAAAAATACGCTTCGGGGTGAAGCATCAGAAAAAAAATTAAAGACGAAAATGAACATTGATATGTGAGTCGCTGTAAGATACCGCCTTCAAAGTTGACATGTTGGATGTCATCAATGAGGGATGTCACTGCACTACGATAACACGTACAAGGATGCTATTGCTCCTGACAAGTGAATGCTATAATTATATGTTTGAGCAAATATACAGCAGTCACAAATATAAGCACAATGGAAGAAGCGTTGACGGTAACAGCAAAAAACATTACCAATGTAAAGGGGCGCTCCCATTATGTCAACTTCAACAAAATTACAACCAAAAATATTTTTCTCAGTACCTTATTTCCACTCGGTTATTTTCCACTTTTATACGGTACTGTACCAGAACAGCAAACGAGAGTTTAGGGGCTTGCAGTTCGCAAACAAGGGATTTTCTGGAATATTCCCTAAAATCATCCAGAAAAATTCCATGTTTGAACTGTTTTCACGGATTCTCAGAAAACTCTATCGAATTCAGAAGGCGAGGTCACGGCCCGTTTTATAGTGGATCACTAAGTACTTATGGAAACGCACTTACAGGAACCGGCGCCAAGGATCCCTTGGCAGAACATTCACCCCATGTGATCCATAACGAATGCTTCCGGCCCCCGGGAAAGTCGCGCGCCCACCCAACCGCCTACCTGGTGTGGTCGGGACAATAGCCGCGTTCCCGAAATATCGCCGTGGCAGGATGTGAACGCTGCATTATTCAACAGCCGCGTGTGTCACGTGCCCGCCCGTACCATTGTCTTTATGCCCTGATATCAGAGCGCGCTTTAACGACGCACCCAACTGTAACAGTAGACAGTTCATTAGCTGCTCCAGACTGGCTTTCCAATATCAAAAGTATGGCCGACACCTATATATGTATTGCGCTGTGTCGTTATTACCATGAAAATTGATCGGAATATTCATAAATATTACACTTGCACATTGCTGGATTATACGTTGTAATAACACAGTAGACAGTGAAGTGCGTATGATGCTCTACACGGTAATTGACACATGGAATGTAACAACCGTGATCTGGATCACAGTCGGTACAATACGCATAATTATTTTACTGTACGACACCGTCGCGGTGCTGTAACACGTGATGTACATCCGGCATTTATAAAGATGAACGGGAGCATCGTTCACCGTGTGTCGTCGGGGCTGACGTTGAGCTGCACGCGCCGTTACTCGGTCGAGCTTAGGCAGACAACTTCTGTGACCTTTGTGTAAATAGCGTAACTTTACAAAATTAGCACTATGCCGCGATTAGCGATAGTTTTTGTGGCCCTGTATATCCTGTTCGTTCTCCACCGGGGACTGGGGATGCCGACTAACATCGACCTTGCTTCCTTCGAGGTAAACACTCCACTGTATAAATTCCGTTACTTACACATTTTTTATATATTACGCTGTAATCAGCGATGGGCAGTAATATAATCGAAGCGTAAACGAAGCACGCTGACACTATTATTTTTATAATTACTACGGATTGAATTTTAAAGCCAATTAGAATCTTTCGAAGTCCCGTGGGTTAAAACGTACTGTATTTATGCCTCGCTGGCGTTCGGCTACTTGGCGAAAGCAGTTCTGCTTACAGATTTATCATTTTAAGAAAGATTTCTCACATAAAAAAATTAGAAGAAATTCGGTTTTAGCGACAAAACAGCGAATACCGTAAAAGTATATAAAAATAAGAATTTGTTTTGCCCCGGCTTTATGGGATAGAGTTACTTTGGATGAGCCCAAAAATTTATTGACTGACCGGAGCAGCGCGTCCCACTGCTGTTCTTAACCCTTTGAGCTTGACCGATGTTTCAGGGAAATGCTGCAGTTGTGCAGAGTGGCCGAAAGGGTAACCTTTACACTCAAATTATCAGAATGCGAATTAAAAATAGAAATACCTGTTGAATTAACGGAAGTACCATTATATCTGCAGAGGATAAGTAGTGCTAAATTCGTGAAAATAAAAAAAAACATTTCGTTTTTCGCGCTGAAAACAATGTTTTGGCACTGTCACGGTATTTTTCGACCAAAGGGCTACCTCGTTGGAAAATAGATTGTGGGAGAACGATACCTAAGTGCGTTTTTGGTGCCCAAGAAGTACACAGCATAATTCCGTCTACTTTAAACTGCTGGTGTTATTTGGCCCCAAAATTCCGAAAATGCAAGAATTTTTTTTTAAATTTGAGAACCTCTGGAGAAGTTCTTTGCATCAGAAGATCACCGCCAGTATTTGCCTTCACAGTTTTTTACATTACTTTTGTGAAGCACGTTTTTATGTTATCCATTTGGTGCGAAAGTTGTTCACGATCAATACTTTTGTGACGACCCCTTACGGCTGATAGGAACTTGGAAGGGCATTTATTTTAATAGACACATGTAATATAAGAGGAACACCGTCTTCTAGGCGGCTACGTAAGCCGTACTGATTTCTGACAGCAATATGCAGCGTCATAACTACCCAGTCATGGAGCGGAACAGAAGAATAACATTCGTTATGGTAATACGTAAATATAGAAAAGAAAACCGCCTCTAAATATAATCGATCGATATAAGTGTGAAAATCATAACTGCCGAATAACTTCAAAATATTAGAGCGTTTATGCATAGTGCATAATTGTGAGGAGCAGGTCGTTTACCTTCCTAATTGAATGCGCGATATTTCCACAGTATTTACCTAATAAGTCCGGGAAGCAAACGTTAAGTAGGGACTGTTAATTACGTTAAATTTAGCAGTGTACTGCCTATGTTTGATTACAGGTTTCTGACAAATACGTTTGCGTGTATAAATCAATAATTCTGCTTTTAATTGTACAGTCCAAGATCCCGCCAATGTCGAGCGTTCTCCTCCAGACAAACACCCGAGGTAAGGTGTGCCAGTTACGCCGCACCAAGAATCCGCTGACCGACAATTTGCTGACGATTTTTTGCTGACCGACAAAACGCGTACCCAACAATTTTGCTGACAGATTTCAGAACATTACACTTCTGTACATATTTGAACTGCGAAAGAAGCGCGTCACTGCACGTGACATCCGTAATCAAGGCGTAGTATGTAAACGCGGCAATTGTCAGTCAGTAAATTAATCTGAATCAGCGATATGTCGGTCAGCAAATTATCGGAAAACAAAACTAAGGTTAGAAAACTGTCCTAGTGGATTCGGTTGTCAAGTGGTCTCGTTATGCAGACGGCCAGTTGGCCTTTACGGATCCCAAGCCACCGCGCATCCTGGAAGTCTTCCGCTACCAGTCCTTCAATCTGCGCTGTGAAGCCGCCGTCATTCACGGCCCACCACCGCGAGTCTACTGGATGCGCAACGGCAGCATCGTCAGTCCGACAGACGACCAAGCGGATGTTTCGCCCACCAATCACACGGCTGTCAACGTCATCCTCTTCAGTGTTCTGTCCTTTAACTGTGTAGTGCCCGGGGACAGTGGCGATTATGTCTGCGTGGCCGAAACACCGACAGCGCGCATACAGACCACCACAAAGGTCATTGTCAATACCGGTACGTTGGCGTTATCAGCATCGATTTATAAGGAACATGTGAATGAACTTCCAACGCCGTGCTAAATAGTTTGGTTATTATTTGTTGAGGGTTTCACAATGTTCCCGTCTTTTACACGTTGAACGAACAGTATATTATGCGAGTACTCGACCTGTTTCCCGTTCCGGATACTTTTAAAATATGGGTTCCCGTAACAGACACCAGAGGGAGGAAAATCTCCGCGGTGTTCCACATGAAAAATTTTTTTTCCAAAAATGACTACGTGTTCATGACTACGTGTTCATGTTCGGGATTTTATACTTGCTTGTACGCGAAATTTATAAAAACTTATGAAGTTTTTTAACGTGGACGAACGCAGAGAATGCCCCCTCTCTGGTATCCGGTACGCGAATCTGTATTGTAAAAGTGTCCGGAATGCGATAAGCGTTGCAGTACAGTATTTCTTTAATTTCCGCCGCATATTCTAATGCTCAGTGCGCACCCTTCCTCCTTCTGTAATCCACATTTGGCACGCATGTGAGGATCCGTGTAATGCATGTGGCGCAAAAAGACCGGTTTTATCATGTGACCAAAGCATACGTCGGTTTTGTACTGTGTAATGAATTTCGATCCGGTGTTTCCATTGGACGAATTCTGATGGTCCGCCAAACAGCGAAACACTGTCCCCCTTATCTATGCTTATCCATTTTGCTGCTCTGCTGTACCTTATTTATTATGTGGATAGGACCCTTCAGCCGCTCCAAACACGTCAGTCCACACCACAAATGTTCCGCATACCCGACCCTCGCGCCGCACATCTTCCTATCGACACGCAGGTACATGCCCCACGCCCAGGATGACGTAGTGCTGCACTGCCGTAGTACCGGATCCCCGCCGCCCCGCAACGCTTGGTACTTTCACGCCGGACTCTTCCGCAACGCCACACCGGACTATCTGAAGAAAATCCAGCCCTATCAACAGGAGAAATACCAGGTCGGCCATTCCAATTACTTGCATACGTACTGCCTTTTCCATAATGAGCTATTGAAGGCCATATCAATATGCTGCATATAATCGGTTTTTGCATTCTGCAGATTTTGGGCAACGGCGATCTTGTCGTGAAAAAGGCCACGGTTCAGCATGATCTGGGCTACTATATTTGTGGGGCCATGAATCTTTATGGAGAGGATTACGCGGTGTCTTTCTTGCAGCCAGTGCTGCCGGCCCCGGGCGAGGTGTGATTGAGAAAGAATCGAAAGTTCCATAGGTACAAAACCTAGGTGCGTTTTCTTCCCAGTTACCACTGGCAAAATAAATGGTAAAGTCAATATTTACACATACGGTGTGCGGTAACCGAATCGATGTTTGTGTAGATAAATTGTAAATAAAATGCCGGGGCAACGGAAAGGTCACCACGGACATCCAACGGCCCCCGGGCTAGCTGCTTTGCTCTTCTTTGCGACGTGATAGTTAACCAGTTTTAAATTTCTTTTGAACAAGTGTTATTGTGACGGCTTTTTTTCTTGTACATAATACTATACCCGCATCATGCAGATGAACGTTGTATACTCGTATGCTATTTGCGATTTTGTTTGTAACTGATTTGTTCTTCCTTTATTTGCTAACTGCAGTCAAATAAAACGGTTGTTTATCTAGCTGTCAATACCCGGATTAAACGGTCACCTGTTAATAAGGAGTTTCACGAGTAATAAATACCTGATAAATTGTGCTGTGAATATCTGAACCATTCGATAGGGCTCGTAGTAAAACGATGTTGATACCGGGATCGCAGCAAAAGAAAATAAATTTAACGAACTCCTCTACTGAAGTATCTGTTCATGCTTGACCCTGAAGATGCGGTATCCATGGCAGCTACAGATTTTGGTAACATTATTAAACTTTTTGTTTACGTATTTCATAACACCTTTTTTGTGAAGACGTATTTTTCAGTATCGAAGACTACGTCATGGTTGCATATTCCTGCGTAATTTATAAAATCAATATTTCTGCAATAGAGCCAAATTATTGTTAAGTACTACAGCGCTTGTTGCAAAATTTGTATCTGTAACACGAAATTTCTTGGTATCCCACTGTCATAGCGTCTGCAATTACTGTATCTCTTCGCCGGATTTTGATACTGATACAGTGATACTGAATACCACGGATGATCGCAGATACAGATATATCCCGCAGACGATCCCCCATCGCTGAAAATGCTACCAGGTATTAGTAAGCATCTACGGAGTCATTTTCTAATAAATTCATAAACTGTGCAGTACACACAGTACACACTAGCCATACAGCTAGAAAGACGCGACGATCGCACGTGAAAGTGATAATTATACCGATAGCTGTATATACGTGTTGCCGGTAATCGTGAAACAGGAACAAATACAGAAATAATAATAATACATTAATAATTATATCATAATAATAAGAAAGTACAGAAATAAATCAGTCAGATATGTCACGTGACTTATAATTGCACGCTGTACTGTACAACTAATAAATTTATATTTTTGTGTCAACTGCACAATCTTACACAAATATTATTTACGCTTAATTAAGCGCTGATACGCTTTTTGTATTGCAACTGCTGTAAACCGCATCGTCTGACTAACCACCAATCGGCACAAACATAGGATAATACCGTATAGAGTGATTAAAGTAATACATTTTACAACACCTTCCAAAGCAGTCTATACAATTCATTAAGCTGTAAAAAAATCCCTTAAGTTTCTTCAGTTCCCATGCACTCCACCCACCCGGGATGTTACATGCTCGGTATGACTCAGCCTGCGCTCCTTCCCACTCAGTCGATTAACCAGCCTATCTATTTTCGGGTTTCTATGGAACCCGTGTGATAATAATACGCTTCTTTCACAACCCAGCGGAGAGCAATGCACTTGATTTGGCGTATATGCCGACGCTCAATGCCAAGGCGCGTGTAATCACCATACGGCAGTGCGCTGAAAATGCCGGGTGATCTTGTGATCGAGGATGACTTGGACAACCACCAACCTGCTATTCTCGACACCATACCCGGCTTGGCAACGTGGCACTTCGCGGTATTACGCGGGCACATGGCTCCGCGGCGGATGCATAATATTATAATCGCCAACTTATGCGATTCGCCCGCCTGATAAAACCGTTCAACTTAACCGGTTACATGCGGAGTGTGCACAGCGGCGTAAAACCGTAATCATGCTGTGTTTGTTGGCGTTCGCTATCGCGTGTTCGGCGTTTACCTGGACGCAGTGAAACTCGATCTGTTTCGTGATACAGAACTCTTCTAATAATTCTAGTCATAAGGTTTTTTAATGCCTCCTCAAAAACCGTAAAAAATGCATGCTGTTTGATAAACGGTTTTTTTGCCGGCCTTTCTATATGTGCAGATATCTGGAGTGAAGCGTGTGCAAAACTTGTGTACTCTACTAATAATCTTTATCCTCGGATTCTTTAAATGTCTCTTTGAAAACCGTAAAAACCTGCTTGTCATTTAATAAACGGATTTTTTTAACAGCAGTTTAACGGAACGACATTTTTTTACGGATATCTGGAGCGGAGCGTGTGCAAACGATTAGCATCGTTTCTCGCTGGATCTCAGCTCAACGGATCTGTTAAATAAAATTCTATCGGATCTTCACTGTATCGACGCCGCACTGATTCGCCTTAATCTGCACCGAAAAAAATCCGAAATTTTTTACCGGAAAACGGTTCCGGAAATAATTATGTCGGACACGGTGAAATCCCAGCCGATCCCCATCCCCTTCCCCCGCAAGAGCAAACTGGAAATCGCCGACGCCACGGAGACGCCACACCGCAGTCTGGAGCGGAATCCGCGGTCGCGCTCCACCTCCGTGGTGGACATCGAGCCCTCGGAGATCCAGCGGCTGCAGCTGCACAGGAAACAGAGTTTATTCGTCCAGCCCACATTGGAGCATGGGAGTAGTCCGCGTCAGGCTTTTGAATGGTAGCGGAAGTCGCTAGAGTGTACGGTGATGCCAGAGTGTGTATATAGATACTGACATGAACAGTCTTTCGCACATTAATGTGTATTTCTTGAAGCGAAGTGTGTTATTACTCAAATCAAAAGCTGTAGTTGTATTTGTTGTGCCGAAGATGCAATAGTTTTGATTTTTGTTGCCTTTTTGTACAGCAGAAGACGATGGATTTATGTACCAGGATTCAATACATACACTGAATATAGAGATTTACATATATGCGCGTGATCTGCCAGTTGACTGCTGCGGAAAAATATTAAATTTAGCGCACTGTGCATTTTGACTAGTACATTATTAAATGCTTATGGGAATTAATGCTTATATATATTCTGTATAAAACCTGTATTACGAACGAACATTTGGGTATTATTTAAATCCATTCCACATTCACGGTGGAACTGTTTATATTTTTAGAATAAAAAAATTAATATTATAAAAAAATACAAAATAAAACGGTAAATTATATTATTAATATAAATTAATTTTATAATTATTGTTGTTCTTCGGTTACACTGGCCATTTGACAGCTACATGGACACGATTATCTGGGTTGTAGTGGAGTGGCAAAACCAAGGAAAGCATTAAAAATAACTAGTTAGCCGAAAATATGTCAGCTGTAGCGGCGCAATTCAGAATTTCCAAATTTTTTGTCATTTACAGTTTTTAAATTTAAACTGTAGCGGGTTAACAAAAGCCTAATTACGAACATACCACGTAACTAGCGCAGTAGCGCTTGGTAAACCTGCGGATGATAACTCACCTTGATGTATCTGTATTCACGTATCCAGGAAGTGAAATTCTTTGATTTGTTTCGTACAGTTCGACCTATCGACTTCACTCGCAACTATGTATTGTTTCCGCTTATCACAGCGCGAAAATCCCGTATATGTCGCTTCGAAAACGTTCCGCAATTATCGGAAAACAAACTAGAATTCCACGATTATCACTCTGTGCAAACCCACAACTGTCACACTGACCTTAGTGACAGATACTTGCCGACAGCGCTATCTGTTCATTCCGTGCCCATGTGAACCGGTATCAGTCGTAACTACCGGCAACACAATTGTCTCCTGAACGATAAATTACAGTCTAAACAAACATCCATCCACGCAGTAAAATTCTTCGGGCATTTTTCAGCGAGCATACAACGCTCAGAATTTTTCTTTCACCGTGATTTAAAATTTGCGGAACGGAACAGAGAAGATGACGGGCTGGGAACGTCCGTAAATTCTTCTGATATTTTTCTTTAAACTAGCAAAAAAATTTGAACAGGGCTATTTGAAAATTCTTGGAAAAATGGCCGCTTGGGATCGTCAGTCCGAGACTGTGGACGTCACTGTACCCGCCCGGCCCAACGACTACATGGACCTCATCCACGACACCAACGACATCATCTACGGCTTCGAATCGCACACCGACCACCCGGGGCGGGTGTCCCTGGGGCACATCTACGAGGACATCCCGCACTACCGCCGCCAGTACCCCCCGGCCCCGCCCTCCGACGCCAGCATGTACTCCACGACCTCCCTGACCCTGCTGACCAGCGCCTCCCAGGCCTCCCTCGCCACCACACCCACCCGCCCCGCCCAACCCATCCCCGTCAACCCCGCCCGCAAATTCCCCTTCCACATCCCCAAAAAGTACCAGTGGGCGTTGTGGGCGTGTCTGGTGGTGTTCCTGGTGGCGCTGGCGTCGGGGATCACGTCCATCGCCCTGATGAAGACAGAGGAGGACAACCACGCGGAGGAGAGCGTGGAGTTTGTGGAGGTGGGGTTGCGGATCACGTGCACCCCGATAAACGCGGGACGGACGCGCGGAGGTGTGATCAGGGGTTGTGTCGGCGGCGCGGGTGCCAGTATCGGGATGAGGACCTCCCGGTGGATGATGGGAAGGATTTTGGGCCGCCGTCGTGCTACATGCCGCCGAGTAAGATTGGGTATAATTTGGTCAACCGGGATGAATATGTTCCTGGTGATTGGAACAGTGTCGGTATTCTGGAAGCTATCCATACGCCGATTGTCTTTGATGAGGAACGCCCGCCGTCGGAAGCACATTTTGCCTTTAGACGACCGGCATTCCGATCGGACTATCTATCGGAAAATACGCTGCGGTTTCAGGTAAACATTTCCGTATGCTAAAAACGCACTTCGCTAGTTTTCATATTAAAAATGCTTTTGCTATGTACTCGTACATGAGAAACACCTGCGATATAAATTCAAGTCTTAAAATTTCCCGCCCTCGCAGTATAACGTTGTAATTCGCACGGAGGTTAAATTATTCCAAACGCTCCTTTATGTACATAAATATTACAACTGTTGAGAGAGTTTATTCCAGAAAAGAAGTACAAAATTAGTAAAAAGGTGTGTCGCATTTCCTCACAGCATCAACACTTATGTTGCAGTTCTTCGATTACAACACCAGCCGTTACGAAGTACCGGTCGAGCTTCACAATGTACGGTCGACGCAGTTTAATCCGAATCGACGCCAGTACGCCATCAACATTACCAGCAGTAATCCGTTTAAATTCCGCATTTACCGGCGGACGTTCGGATCCGAGTCATTCCTGTACGGTTTCGTATTAATACTCCTTATAAAAACGGGCAAATAAAGCACAGTTTTAAATTGCAGGTTAGATACATGCATTGGTGGATTGGTACTGCAAGATCAGTTTCTGCAATTCTCGGCCAAATTGCCATCGGAGCACCTTTTCGGTCTCGGTACGAAAACGTAACTACACCGCTTCTAAACGAGAGTATCTGTACAGCTTGGTTCCTGCGGACAGGCGATAATCGACTGGGCAGTCTCAAAAGGAAAATGGACTGGGCCACCTGGGCCATGTTCAACCGCGACGTGGACCTCTTGATGATGGATACACGGGGAACCACGCCCAAGAACCTGTACGGATTCCAGCCGTTCTACATGGTCATTGAGAATGACGGGAAAGCGCACGGTGTTTTCCTTCGCAACAGCAACGCCATGGGTACCAGTTCTGCTGATCCAGAATTATCCAGAACAACAGCTTGTCAATTTTAGATTACACGCTTCTTCCCGGAAACGCCATAACCTGGAGAACCGTCGGGGGTATTCTGGATTTCTACGTATTTCTCGGTCCAAAACCGGAGGACGTCATTCAGCAATTCACAGCTGTAAGAAAACTTAAACGGTTTATTAGCACGAAATAGTGTGATTTTTGCATGACCTTTACGTGATTGTAGTTAACCGGGAGGACTTTCATGCCGCCGTACTGGTCGCTGGGTTTCCAGATCGGGCGCTGGGGTATGGAATCGGCTGAACAAACCCGGCAACTGGCGCAGCGGAATCTCCATGAGAAGATCCCGTTCGATATGGTGTTCGTCGACATCGACTGTATGCTTAACCTAAGCTTTATTTTTTCCTTTAATAGTAGGAGCATTTTTTACGGTTCAGAAATGTTTAGATATGGACGAGCGTCAGCCCTTCACGCAGAATAAAACCGGACAAGATTTCCACGCCCTCACAACGGAAATGTTGGAAAGATTTGGAATTCATTATGGGGGCGTTGTAGTAAGTTTCCATACACACATGCCTGATTCGGCAAGGTAAGCCAGGCAACTTCGGAAAACTATAGTTAAATTTATTTGATAGTTTCCTTCGGTTCATGCCGACGCCAACGGATCCGCAGCAGTACCATATACCACCGCCCAGGAAAAGGGAATCCTCGTCAAATGGCCACAGCGCAGTGTGGGCTGGGCGCACTCCAATAATGGATTAAGTGTTGGAGGTGACTCGGTGCTCTTGGGAAAGGTAACGTTTTACGCAGTTTTCTTCCAGCGAAATAACAGGAAAGAACAAGTTTAAGTGGTTTTATAAATCAACCATTTAAAAATTATAAAATACAATAAACTATTAATTTTTATAATAAAATAGATAAATCGGTTAATTTATGATTTAAGACGCCTGCGGTGCGCGTCGAATGTCGGAATGGCGCAGAGATTTCAATCTCGTATATTTTTCGACATTTGGTTCCTTTTTACTGGACTTTTTTCAGTCTTCTGACCATAAAATAAAATTAGTAGCGAGGTCCATGACTGACTACAGTACGGTACTGTAGTCAGCTGACTCAGCTGGTCTGTACAATCAGCAAACGACCGCTCAGTGACGCATCCTTCCATTCGAGGCGCATAGCCGTGGCGTTAAGATAAATCTATTTTTGCTGCAAATACTGCTGCTCACCTAGGCCTGGGCAAACGGGCGCTCCGCCTACGTGGACTACCTGAACCCGAAATCGGCGGAATGGCTACAGGATATGCTGCACATGCAGCACACCCAATTAGCGGCCTTCTCCTCCCTCTGGCTGGGCATTGCCGAACCGTCCTGCTTCGCTACCAACACACCGGTGAAGGAGGCCTGGTTTATTAAGGGACGCGGTGATCAGCAGGATGAGAAAACGGTACCCGGGTACGGACGGCACTGGAACTATACACTGCAGTGCGATCCCGCTAGTCTACATGAGCGTCCACCGTACAAAACCGGTAAAAGTTAATCGCACAACTAAACTGTACAAAGCGTAATCCATTAGCAAACGTCAGCTCCTAATTTTCGGCCAATTAGCGGCTATCCGCGAATGGGAAGACCAATCTACCAAGACCCATCAGTCCTCATACAAAAAAGAGCTGTTGTCTAGTCAGACGTTATGTATGGACGCCGTGCAGAGCGATGGAGTGACCACCTACCATCACTATGATGTGCATAATATCTACGGTTTAACGGCTGCTCGCGCACTCTTCAGGTGCAAACTCACTGACGAGCGGAATGTCGTGTTCCTTAATCGAATATTTTGACTTGCACAGAGCAGCAAAACAAGTCAGGCTGAACCGGACGCTCATTATGGCCAAAGCGTCGTTTCCCGGGATGCAGCAGTACGCCGGCCGTTGGCTAGGCGACATCTCGTCGGATAAACGAGACTTTCGCTATTCGTTCCAATGGATCCTGGAATATAGTCTATTTGGAAACAGCTACGTAGGCACTGCATCAGTTTCTTTAAAATTTTTTCGGCCGGACAAAATGTGACTACTTCATTTTGTGGTAACAGACCGGTGTGGATATTTGCGGGTTTTGGAGCCCTCCGCCTACCGCCGGTACCTATCTAAAAACGGAACTATGCCATCGGTGGACGATTGCCGGGGCGTTCTATCCGCTGATGCGCGCGCATTCCTCCAACGTCAACGACTATCACGACCCGGCGCGCATGTTCGGCGAGAAGCCACCGGCGTACTTGGAGCAAGTCCGTAAAGCCCTGGATCTGCGCTACAGGCTTTTACCGTACTTGTACACGCTCTTCCATATTGCACATACCAAGGGGAACACCGTGATGCGGCCGCTACATCACGAGTACGTACAGCGTAGTCCTTGCTGTGAAACCATGCAACGACAAATTATGGTTTACTGCATAGATATACAAATGTGGATATGATCAATTTCGTTAGCGCCGATAGCGAACAGATACAGTTTATGTGGGGCGCGGCGCTGATGATCACACCCGTGCTGGAAGTCCGCGAGGGTACGGCGTTTGTCGATCAAGTGAGGATAACCTTCCCGCCGGACAGGTTCTACGATTTCTTTACCGGGGTACGCGCATTATACGGTCCCTTGAATACAGCACCGGTTTATTGATGTTGTTATTAGATTTGTTACTTACCGAAAGATCAATACGAAATATTCCCGGTTCCTTTATTAATTTGTTTGGGAAAATATGATATATCTTGTTACTGAATTTAATTTTTTTACGGTTTACTCCTTTTTATCATTTAATTAGATTAATTACTTTGTTTAATTTATGGTTATTAATTAGTATTGTTCATGTTTAGCCTTACTATGACCTTTTGATGGTTTTGCAGGAAGTAATAGACCGTGAACGAGTGAAGTCACAGCATGAGTCGGAAATGTACAACTTAACTGATGTATCCATCGGTCTGCATGGTCGAGCCGGTCACATCATAGCGACCCAAAACAGGAACGAGCAGCTCAACACCAGAGAAAGGTCTTTGAAATGCTTGCGTATTTCAACCTGCTTAGCAACGAACGAGGTCGTCTTTTTTTGGTTTCGCAGTCGTAAGAATAATTTCACCGTGGTCATATTCCCGAAAATGGATGAGTACTCTAGTGGAGAGTTTTTCTGGGATGACGGAGAATCTCAAGGTCTGTCGAATTTAGAATGAAGGCTATTTAATTAAAACATGTAACAATTTGAGCGGAAGTTCACGTGCTGCCTGCACGCGATTAATAACCTAGTACAATTTTGTTTATTTTGTTTATGCAGATACACACGAAAACAAGAACCACTTCTCGGCGTGGTTGCGGTATAAAGGCGAAGATTCCGTTCTATATCCGCTGCTGCCTTATGGATACTGGGTACGAATTTTCACTTTTTGTCCATCAGAGCAATAATGCCGACAATTTCTCCGGACATACAGTATATAGAACTGCGTACTTAATGTGTTTGTATATAAGCGCTGGTCAGTATCGGTTTTACTAGACGGAAATGCGCCTGTCTTTGCAGCATGTCTTCATTCTTGAAGTGAAACAAAACTGGACAGGAATGGAGAACTACTTCATTGAAGAAATCCAGATCTACGGGATGCAGGCGCGCCGCTACCAGCAGGTGATCATCGACCGTCAGCACGATCGCACCGGGGAATTTAAATTTGCTAACAAGGTAACGATTCTTACTTTTACTCTGTATCCTAAAGGATTCCGGGTCTAAAGCGGCTTATTAAACAGAACGGCACTAAGATTATGACCATCACCGGAGCCATACCCATGACCAAAACGATGACCTTTCTCTTCACCAACGACGATTGTCGACAGGAAGATACATATTGTAAATGCGACTTGTCAATTCCCGCTGAGGAGGGGGTGATACGCTCAGCTGATTCCTTGAAATGACCGGCTAAAGCATTTATTGAGTACCACCCATCAGAACACCGTAGGCCGTCCAAAAAGGAATGGGTTGTAGCTCACCACCGAAAACGTTTTGCCAACCGGCTACAATCCAGTAGGACCATAGTAAAGACCAAGTACGGGCCACTGCCTGGACTGCCACTAATCACAAAATCACTATCCAGAGAATTTCGTAAATACGAGTGTATTGCTGACTAAATGTGAAACGATACATCTGCGTAATATGGTGGTCTGTCGCTAAATCACAACGCCATGTTCTGGTACAGTTGGTTCAGGTGTTACAGGAACGTGTGTTTTTTTTATTATAGAATTACGTCATTGCAATTTCTGTATATAATTTATTGTACTGTACGTGATAAGGATAAAGGCAGAACGTGTAAAGTAAGTTTCGATGTGTACGAGTACAAATGCAACGTTGTCCGTAATTCAAGCAGCACTAGTAGGACATGTATTGAGCGCCTGGAATATACCGATTATTGACTGCAGCTTTAATGCGCTACTCAGTAATGACACGGTGTACTATTCACTATTCCCGCCTCAGTCGTGATGCGAAAACCATTAGTGTCCGGCGGAAGGAGCGGGTTCAACATCATGTATTCTGATGCCGGTTACCAACCGGTTGTAGGAACGATACTGTGTAATGCGAGCCATAGATATTCGACGCCCCACAAATGTAATATCCACGGTCGGTTTTGGCGGATATATTGCGGATTAGCAGATCACCAGTCTCCAGGACCTTCAACATATTTTGTATAATCGAGTTGCCAAAAACAGGCTTTGTTACAGTAATATTATTCTGGTCCGTTCGCAGTTTCCTTACCTCGTATTTTTCTTGTGTCGGGCGGATTATTTTAGCGGACGCTGGATTGCCTTTACGGTGCAGCGTAGCCTGATAAAACCAGGCGATTTTCGGTGCGGGCGATCCAGTACTGCGGCACATTAGCACAGCATCGCGCTGCACTGTTTGAATATACCTCTTGGTCGATGTAACGATGCGGGGAATTCCGGTGGTGTCTGGACATTTTTCTTCTACGTTCACCTGTTTCGTACGACTGCTCCGCCCTACAAAAGTGAAAAACTTACGGCTGACGGAGGACAAGCTAACGCTGTCATTCGTAGAGCTCTTCGAAAGTGTTTCACCTTACGATGCACCAGACCTGGGCAGTTATGAGATTTCGACTCATAGTTAGAGTTAAGAGTTAATCGCAGCTCGCGAGTTACGCTACGAGTTAAGTTAGCCGCAATAACTAGAGTTAACTGGAGTTAACTTCTAATAAAAAAAATCATGATTTTATTAATCAACTTCAAGTAGTCTTTTATGCATACCGATATCACTTTTACCAGATTTGAGACACAGACCAATTATTAATTTTTTTCTTAAAACTGATTTTTAAAATTCATGCTTTTCTAATGTTCCTTTTCATGTTTTTCCTGAGGGAGAGAGCGAGAGACACATTTTTCTTGAGGGAGGAAGATAAAATATAAATAAAACATAAGAAAGAATAAGAATGAAACAAAAGAATGAAACATATACGTAAAGAAAACATGCTTGTGTTTTTTGTGTTTTGTTCTTATTGTTTTTCCTGCCTGTTTTCTCTCACCCTCAAGAAAAAATCAAACATAAGAAGTTCTTATCTGACAAAATTCCTCCCTCTTTTTGACCCTGGCTTTTGGGGCCGAGCGCCGGCAACGCTGAACTTTTTTACTAAGATTTCGCTTCACATGGCTACCGAAGTTAGTGTAGCTGTTTGACAGCGTTGACCGCATTATTACGCTTCCCTAATGGGCAGGTAGCGAACAATTACAGGTAGCAGGTAGCGCACAGACGATCAGTTCCCGTGTGATTTTGGCGCGGAACATGATTTGTCCTCTCGTTGACAAAATTTTGCTCCGCAAAAAATTACGTTCTCTGCACGCTGTTAATTGAGCTCAAATTGAACGATCACATTCACTGTCAGCATGGACTCTCCGATGCATATTCATCGACCGAAGCGTAGCGAAGGTAGATTAATACATACTTTCGTTGATTTGTGTCCGTTACGAAAGGTCGTTACGAAAGGTTGTCACGTAAGCCATTTCCAACGAGTAACTGGAAGTCTATGCTTATGTTCCTAAGTCGTTTTGCAAAATAATATAAAATTTCATTATTCAACATATAAAAATAGTATTAAAATACTTAAACAGTTTGTAATATAAAATGTAGTATACTGTACTCAAAGGAAATGCTGCGCTCCGGTCTGTCAAATGCACGCCAACGTGCATTTTTCCTAGTCTAGTCAAAGCCTTGGGCGGTCGTAGTGTACGTCTGCGCGAGAAATTTTGTACAGATACTTTTGTAATTATGGCAATTTATGCGATCCACGGTTAACATAACATTTTTTCTGATATTTTCTATTTTTTAATTTCATTTTTGCTTTCAACTGAAACCTCCAGAGTTACGTTAAACTCGAGTTGCGCTATATTATTTTTGAGTTGCGCTAGAGTTAAGTTTTCATCCTGGCGAGTTAAGCTTCAAAGTTAAGTTATAACTCGTTAACTCGAAAAAAACTCGCGTTAAGTTAAATAGTTAAAATTAACTGCCCAGGTCTGCGATGCACAATCAAAGCTTCAGTTTAATTTATTTAATTAATTGTGTCCTTTAATAGTATTAATAATAATATTTTTTATTATTTTAAACTGTTAATATTTACTGGTATTAATTTAATATTAGTTATTATTTAAATTGCTTATTGTTTAGTTTAAGTTGAGTTTTACAGTAAATAAAGCCGTTTTTCCAGAGACACTGCTTTTAAAATTTACCGGTGTCGACGACAATCGTCGTGATCGTCTGGATCCGTGACGTCAGTGTCTCCGCAACGCAGACATAATCCCCACTGGTGTCATGCTGTACACAGGGAAACGAGAGGGCGCTGCTGACCAGGGCGCTAACCGCGGTCGGGTTGGTCAAGGAAGCGCGCGGATTGGCTGGTTCCGTAACGGCGGACACAATGTCACCGTCGCGCATCCAGTACACGGTGGGCTGCGGGCCGTTAACCACAGCGGCTTCGCAGCGCAGCGTGAGCGGCTGGTGTGGAGCGAGCTGCATCATTTGCGGGGGCTTGGGATTCGTGAAGGCTAAGGATTCTGCAAAGACGAAGAGCAGATATATATTTTAACATTAGGACACCGTGGCTCGCATGCATGAAGATCTTCAGATTTTCAGCGTTTAGATTATCTACTGGATTCTTCAAAACTGCCGGCGAATTTAATGCAGTTAGCAAAGGGCTTTTAGTACACAGTTTATGTATCTAGATATACTAAGTCTTAGTCTACCGAAGTGAAAGGCAGTATTACATGTACATACTGTAAATCTTCTTGCTGGTGCTTATTTTTGGTAAGTACAAAAAAGAAAATCTTTTCTTATGCTACAATGAAGGCGCACAGTACATATCTGTAAACACATACCTACGCTTCTGGCATAAGCTTGGTCTGCTTGGATGACAACCTCTGCGTTTGGCTGTTGAACACCCTGTGTAAGGAATTATTTCCACCATATTATAATTATCCGCATAGAAATTCACACGAAAAACTACGGATTATTATCAACGAAGATCAATTAGTCGAATTGCAATAAATTTATTCCAAATATTAACTAAACGGATCAAAGAGACGCGCATTCTTTACCTGTACACGTCCATCGTTACTGTCGGCTGAGTAATCCGAACACTGACTCCATTTACAGAGAAAATGCACAACCAGCGCCGAGCTGATGAGGAAATGCATCGTCTGGGAAGTGGCCGGATAAAGGTCACTTAACGTCGCCACGCGGTTAGAAAAGATGTGTAAGAGCGAGCGGAAGCACATTTGTCAAACGGCTACCTTAGCATCGCGCTTTTATAGTGTGTGAAGAGTGTGGAGCAGTGATGTCAACACGGATGCTGGTCCCCCACATCCTCCTCGTAACCAGGCCGCACGGCAGATACGCTCAATCGTCATCATTCCGGTACTGAGGCGGCTGGGGGATTCCTGTGTACGTGGTACTACGTGGTATTTGCGGGTGTGCGTGCCTCGTTGCAAGCTGCACCAGCACGCTATCCGCTGGATACGATAAACAAGCATTCACAGTGGACGTTCACTCAAATCTGTCAGCCTGCAGTAGTTCAGGGCAACGTGTAACCGTCGTGCCGGTTGTTGTGCAAATAGTACTAAGTTTTATATTAATTTTTAACAGTTTGTGAGTCACCGTTAACGGTGGGGCAAACAACAAAGAGCGTGCCACCTGTAAGGTCGCCATTTAAATGTCAGCAACTATTTTTATATGCACATGGTGCTAGTGTGAATTAGTGCGTCCGACAACGAACCACAAAAGCTATTCATTCAAAAGGTCTTTCGCTCATCAGAGCCTACTGTAAAGTTGTGCAGAAGAGAGTTCTATTTTGGTCGCCTATGATTCCAACTCGGTACCGCATAACCCACATTGCCGCATTACCGCGCACGACATGACCTTTCATATCGACACATTTTCGAAACTATAAACAACAGGCAACCCAGTAAATTTTGTGAAGAAAAACAGATTAATTTTGTAATCTATGGTCACGAAAGCTTCGATGCTATGGTGTTCTCGGACCAATTTAAATCAAAACCCTCCCTTAACAAATCTAGCATAATAAATCCGGACAAAGGTTGTTAAAACAATCGTAATTAAGTTAGTGGTGCCTTGATTCGTTCCGACACAATGGAGTCTTTAATCCGCCCCCAAAAGGGACTTTGTGTATCTAATTCTCCACTTTAGCGTTACCAGAAATACCGGGACAAATGCCTGGAAACCATAAATATTGCACTTCTACTAAACAGTATGGGTTGCTGGGATTAACCTTACCGATGATCGTGTGATGGAAAGGGCCGAATTTCGTCCGCGGGCAGCTACGAATTTCGTGCATAATTTACAGTTACAGTATTTCGGGAAATGGCAATCACTGGCGACATACCGTCCGCAGCGCAGTCCGCTTCGTCCGGGTAGCGTGGATCACAGATGCGCGTCTCATTGTCACTATTTCCTGGCACTTTGTTGCTGCCATCCTGCACTCCATTACTAGCGCCACCCCCACCACCAACCGGACCCGGTTTACTGGTCCAGGTGGGCGGCATGGTGGGGCGCGGTTGGTTTTCATACTGTTCCTGCTTGAAGATATCCGACCAATTGCCCGTGCCGTTGGGGTGTAGTGCATCCGTATCCTTTGCCACCGGTGCCAAAAAGTGCTGTCCGAGATTCTGCCGGTTGCACTTGTCGCCCCAGCAGACACACTGTCGCACCGGCATATCCATCGACGCTGTATACAGACGGCAGGCGTACTGATGCGGTCCATCCGGTTTTAGCGTCATCAGCAGCAGCTGCAGCTGGTGTTGGTTGCTGGCCAAGCAGTAACGTTTGAGCATGGGCCCTGGTTGAAAACAACATGGGCCACCTCTAATACAACAGTTCTTTATGTCGGAGCGCCCGATCATTATACTAACTGACCGAAAACTTCAGTGGTAAAGTAAAAAAAAATTGAAGCACAAACGAAACTGTGCGGCACACTTTCGTCTGTGCTTCAATTTTTTTCAAATTTTGGCCACCTGGTGCAAAAATTTCCCGAGAACGATTTATGTCCACGGAAATGTACAGTTTTCATAGGGAAAACTTCGTCTATGAATGATTAACATCGATACATTTTCATAACAAATAACTGGAAGAAAGGGATCTGGACCGGGCGAAATGTAAAAAACCGGTTTTCCACGTTTACAAATTTCTACAGTTTCAAAAATTTCAAAAATACAATTATGTGACACAAATATGAATATACAACCTTAGAAAAGCACTTTTCTTTACATCACAACCTAAGAGTCATACGGAGGCACCCAATGAACACTAGCCTATCTTGCGAGGCCAGATTTTTAGCTTTGGGAGCCCGTTTGCGTGCGCCAACCATGACTAGGTCTTACTTCCTTACTGCATTTGACCTGGATATAAAATCCAATTAATATGGTAATTATAAATGTTAAGAAAACTTCAAAATCTTGGTAATTACAGCATTAACTATATTATGTAAAGAGCGACGCGCTTAATGCGTGTATGCGCTGTTGTACGAGTACTAAGCCACTTATTTAGATTTGCCATCTCAAAAACAAAGCTACTCCCGAGTAATTTTCTTTATTTTGCTTATCCTGGGCGGAATATGCCATATCTACGTCACGCAATGCGGACCAATCAGTTGAAGGGAGGCGACTGGGACGTGAACAAAAGTGCTTTTTTGGTTTACATACCGTAATTATCGAATTTGTGGCCCTGGGGTACAAATAGTTCGAAGGTTATGGCGGAGGGGGGCTTATTTCGGGGAGGGGGCGTAATTTCGGGGGGTGGCATTATTTTTCAAACGGCATATTTTGGAAGGCGGCATTATATTTCAAACAACTGTGCATTCTGTTCTAGTGAAACTGAACGCAAAAGTTACCGGTTTATCCAAATACACGACCTTACGAACACACATTTTGGAGCATATTCTTATCTAAGCAACTGTTTCTCAACAAACACCACATTATGCTGATGTCCATTTACTGTTTACCCATCAAATTACAATAATTGTTAGGAAGAAATTTGCGGTGTACTTATCATTTTGCAGCGCTGGACATTTAATAAAGGCCCCCTGGGGCGTAATTTCGGGGGGTGGCGTTATTTTTCAAACAGGATCGGGGAGGGGGGCTTATTTCAGGGGGGCTCTTATTGCGGGGGGAGCCACAAATTCGATAATTACGGTATCTATCTTTGTGCCCGATAAACTGGGATTTGTGGTAACCATAAAGCGTTGAAACCAAGTCAAAAGCTATTCGTGCGATTAGCAGCTGTTAATGTAGCATTGTAGCGCGACACACAGGGACTGGTACCAGTGACGGGTGACCAAAATATAAAATCACTTACCTAAAAGACCAAAATGTGAGAAAAATCTAACTAGTCATACGATAAAGCACAAATTTTCAGTCTTCACTCGGAACCACGATGTATGCGTCACATACGTACGTACGAGTACAGCAAGCTTGAACTCTGTATGCGCATTGAATTAAACGGGAGGGCTTACAATGTGGTGAAACCGTGTAGGTAACGCCTAATCCGCTGTTATTTCGTTTCGCCCAGAGTGTCGATAATGCCCGTTTAAATGATAATACTAGTAAGTAAAGTTTGAATAAACTTGTCACCTTTAGTGGTAAAATACGGTGCTTACCGATGTTTCCCCCGTAGTATCGGCTCGGAGCATAGATGGTTTCCATCAAGCATCCGTTGCATTTGCTCTGGCCCGGTATACAGGTGACGTACGCTTTCTTGGAGCAGTCGATGGCGGTTGTCTCGTAACCTTTTAGGCAGCCATACGGATGCTGATTGGCAGTGTTCTGTGTGATGCTAATGTCATAGTTGCAGCTGTAGCAATAAAATGGCTGCAAGAAAGCGTGTAGCGTCAGACAAAATAATCCTGACTTGTTGCAATCAGCCCGGCCTGCTGCGATGTTTGGCCAAGGCACGAACGTGATAAGTCAACGGCCCCATAAAGAAATTCCAGCAAGGTGATTTTTTAGCCGAAAAAGCTTGCATAAAAACTAATGGCAGGAAATATATTCATGTAATCACATAACACAATCACACCCGTGAAGGGCGGCTGACCTGTTCTCGTTATAATTATGCTGCTACAAAATTCGTGGACTTGTACGGAACATTCGCTTTTGCGCACTCGCAAATGCATTTCTGGGGTCGGCCAATTTCGCCTTTGCCGTCCCTTTGCGTTTGCTTTTTCAGTTTGCCTTTTTCAGCTTCACCTTTACATTTGCTTTGCCGACAAAAAAGCCGTTAGCGTACGTACTAATATACCGTTTCAATGCGCCGTCTCACAAAAGCCTTTGCCGTTTGAAAACGAATTACCCAAATGAAAAAATCTTCCCAGATATATGTTCTGCATTGAAATACGTTACATTATCATATCATTAAAGAATAAAAGAATTACATTATCATATTTAAAGAGAAAACAGTACCAAAAGTGTTCAGAAATGGCAATGTGTTAACGGTAATTCATTTTTCGAACGGCAAAGGCTTTTAGAGACGGTATTTTAAAACGGCTACAGTAAAACCTGCCTTTACAGATACATACACCTGGAAAACCAATACACCTGAAAAGTAGGTAAATACGTTAGAATCTTAACCGGCGAGTCCCGTAGACTATGGCATAGGGAGGTCCTGTACAGTGAATACACCTGCATAATAGGCTTAAATACACTTTCTTTCCTTAACCGAATGCGAAATACCCGTGCAAAAGAACCTGCTTCTTACGCACAATCTGGCAAAAACGAACAAAACACAACGAAACATTCGCGATCAAGGAGTTGTAAGTGGCAGAACTCGGCTATGTCAAGCAGAAAAAAGTTCAGTTGAGTTGTTGGCAGTCTTTGATTGAAACACCGTAAAAGAATTAACCCTCATGGACAAACGAAAGCGTAATAATGAAAAGAAAGCTTTGACACTGGATTTTAAGTTTGATTTTGTTTTTAATTACTGATGCGGTCGTTCACGATAAACCTAGTAATCGAAAAGTTTAACCTGTCTCGTGCCAGTGTTCAAACGATTTTGTTTAAAAAAACCACCCAAAAATTGAGCGGTAGCGGGAAAACAATTCGGGCTCGAATCGCAAGCGAGCCACGCGCAGCATTCCATTAAAAAAAGTTTATTCAAACAACGATTCAACATACTGCACATTATAATCCTGCTATATTTTCTGGGGGCAGTTCTGTAAAATCAATACACCTGAATAATAAATATGGAATCGTTTAACCGCCGGTGTATTTGGTTATCAGGTTTTACTGTTGTTAGCACGCTAACGGCTTTTCCAACGGCAAAGGCAAAGGTAAGTTGAAAAAGCCAAACTGAAACGGCAAAGGCAAAGTGGGCCGACCCCAGTCTGAGGGGTTTATGCCGTTCTTTGACCGGATCCAAAGGATTTGTATAAAACAGCAAGAATGTAGGTATGAAACCGTTTGAGTGTGCCGTCACAGCGCAGCATCCGCTTTGGGAAGCATGTTTGAAATAAACTTCTAAATGCTAAAGCGTGAACATACTTCTATGCATCATTTTGCTCATAAGTGCGCCTATGTATGAAGATAGATATATGAAGATAGATCTTCACACACTGAACCACGGACTAGCATTTTTTTAAAATTTTAAAACGAATTCCAGAAATCGTAAACTAATTTGAAAATCTGAAAACAATTCGGAAAATTTGTTTCGGTGTCAGAACGACCTTTCATACTTAAGCGCGTTAATGTGCAAAAGTAGAAAAAGATTCGGTCCATAATTAGAATTTAGGTACAACTGTCAGTGGTGACCTGTGCTGCTGTGCATACTGTATAATAATATCGCGCTGCAAAAAATTGTTTGGGAACGGGCAAAAGCGAAAGTTATCGGCGCATATCTGGCATCCTGTACTATTGTATCTGCTCATTTTTCTTAAAGAAATAACAAACTGCATAGCGAAATATTGATTAAAAAAATCGCTAGAGCAGCTCTGCCGAATACCCTGGCTGACTGTTGACACTGGCCAAGGGTAAGGATACAGGCAAGGGAAAGCAGTGGAGGCCGGATGTCCATGCACGCTGATAGGACCAACAGACCGAGGTGCTTATTCCGGAAAGAAAGAAATATTGCAGGCTCTGAACTGGGGCAGACGACTCACAATCAGTTAATGGAAATAAACGCCAGAATAGTAATTTTGTTATGATATCCGATATTCCGTTTCGATAGATTTGTCCAGTATCTCAGTATTGCCCCTTTATCTCAAGGCAAGGGTCCGGGGTCAGTGTATAGTACCATGAAGGCAAGCGTTTCAGTACAGTGTACGGTTACTGCATTTAAAAATTAGAATGAATAAAAATTGTCAAAGCATTACAGACTTTAACTAAATATTACAGCACTATCCTGTCTCCACACGATAAAGCTTCTTATTAAGTACAGCGCGTAATCCTGAACTCCTGATGATATATTTTTATGCTTATTTGTAGCAGATGCTGCATTACTGTGACTTTACGTATCAACATGACATTTTTATTGTACAGAACGACGGGCCATGGCAACAGCGTAGCGGGTGAAGAAACAGGCTGTCAGCATTAGTGCCATATTGTGCAGAAACGAGGGGGAAAATACACCTATCCCGTCGTTTCCGTGCACGATTAAAGTAAACGGCTTGAAAATATACTGCCTAATTGAGTACTTAAACGCCTTATACGTAGGCTCGCCTACGAGCTGTAAGGAGATTCATAGAACCGGCACTCGAGGCCCGAGGGTATCTCAGATACTCCAATCTGATGTTTTCACCGCTTTGACTTTTGAAGCCGTTTATGCACAATTAGTACTCGTAATTACAGTTTCTGCAGCATAACAAGCACGTACGAGCACGATGAGATCCTTCATATAGTTAAACGGAACGAGATATAAACCATTTTTCTAACTGAACAAAATACTCTCTGAATCTGTAGCTCTCGCTTCAGGGGGAGACATCAGTGACTGTCGCATTGGAAAATAACACCGAGCGGATGCCAGCGCAATTAGTATGTAAGCGCTCCCTTTCCTGGCTTGGCGAAGCGCTTTTCTGGCTTACGTCTCCGACGACGACTAACCGGTGCAGTTAGGATAAAACTCCAACGGTCCCTTATCATCATTTGTAAAAAGAAAGGTCACGGATTCCCACATAGGAATCGCTCCGACAATGGCCATGATATTTTTTTGCGGATCCTATAAACAGAATTAAGTTTAGCGAGGAATCTCGTCTGCTTCTGCAAGAACCCAGCATATCTAAATACATTGCAGTAAAATCGCGTTTTTTATATTTCGGCCTTCGCTTCGTTATCTTTTTTGCTGGTAGCATTATGAGACGACATTGTCTATGTACTGACCTCATTTACGAAGAGAAAATCGTTGGTCCGCTCGTCTTGATTGATTATAACGCGGTGCAGGTTTTTGGCACGCGTTCCATAGATCTGGATCTTTTCGATGAAGTAATTTTCCATGCCGGTCCAGTTATGGGTTATTTCAAGAACAACCACTTGCTATACAGAACATTAGATTTTTCTCGTAAATAACGACTTGTAAACTGCGGACAAGAGACACTAAAAATATATACCCAGAATCCATAGGGCAGTTTTGGATATAGTAGTGTATCTTCTCCTTTGTATCTCAGTTTTGCCGAGAAGTACTCTCCGTTTTCGTAGCTGTCTGCAGAAAAGAAAATTTGCGATCAGCATCAGCCAGTAAAGTAATACGGTCTCGGAGTGCGAGAAATTATTAATAAGTGACGTGTGGGAATAGGATCACACGCCGGAGTACGTACTGGATGCTGACTGTCCGCCTTCCACCTGCAACATAACGGATAATCTAGTCAATCTCTTCTGTGATTTGCTGTTCTCTTTTACTAGCGATGTATATGATGTCATAACGCGAAGTCTATATAAGTTCTGGTGATGCCTAATATCGGAATCAGTAGTCTGAGATTTACTTCTGAGACTGCTTCTAATTACGATTTCCTAGCGTTGTGAACTGTGATGTGAATTGGATAAAGAGACAGCAATACTTGTTCCTTCTGATGTACATGATCGTTCCCGGATTATTGCATAGAACACAGGTTTGCTCGTGACACAATCGTCCTAGCTCTTGCCGATCCTCACAGGACTTACGACCGGAAGTTGTGGTTAGCGTGTTCCTGAGGGATTCCTGATCTTTCGTGTTCCTGAATCGTTCGTCATATTTCCACCATAGTTTTTCTGTTACAGTTTGAGAGTACGAGTGCCTACCGATTGAGCATTACAGGCGTGGAAGAGTAAAGATTGTTCATGGAGCCTTAAACGGCGTGAACGCTTATACACGACATGGCGCCCACCGGTGTCTTTTAATTTTCCCGATGTAACAGAAAATTAATGGTGGAAAGTTTGATGGTAATTTATTGGTAAAAAGTGGTCCGTACAGAAAGGCGTCGAACCGCAAAGGTACGCCGAAGGAGGTCAGCGTTCCCGATCTGGCCTAGTTGATTTATTTTCAGCGAGCTTCCTCGCAATTGTGAGCTTCCTCACTGGTGAGCTTCCTCGCCAATTAAATTAACATAATTTAAATTGGACCGTAGGAATAAATAGTCGAAACCTTAAAGGTCGGCTGTGTAAGTAATCGGTGTCTGTGTGGGTAATTTCCGGGTTGTCTGCGCAAAGCAGTAACCGCGGCGAATAAAGCGTAATCTGCAGTGTCAGTGTACCTGGCCTGCAGATAGAGCAGATAGTAAGCACCGAGCCATTGTCAGTGGCCAGGTGAGATAACGATCTCCAGCAGACTGATAAAGGCAAGCCGCAAGCGGTAGCCAGAATCAGCAGCTAGAGAGAGTTGACCGTGAAAAAAGGTAAACACCGGCAAACGGTGATTGACCTGTGAATTTTAAGTTACAGCAGCACGCAAAGTGCAGCTGTGTAATTGTCGAAATTGTTACAGTCGAAACCGCAAAGGTCGACTGTGTTTAAAACTCACTTAACAATTCAAACCTAAAAGGAGGATTGGGAAGTGACGTAGTAGTAATTGCACAATTGCAATTTCGGAAGCAGTAGCACAATCGCTGCTGTAAATATTATTGTAAATAGCCGCAAAGGTTATTTAAAATAAAAAGCTGAAATGTCGGGCGGTTCGATTCCTAGAAATCGCCCACCACCGCGTAAAATCCCAGACAACAAAGTGATCATTGGGGCGTATGATGGGTCGAGAGCCCAGACAAGGTTCAAATTCAACGCAAAAGAAATTCCGTTGAATTTGATGTACCTTGCTCTTAACGTTGAACCACCAGAAGCACAAGATGCATTCTGTGGGAAGTCATGGATTGATTACCAGGAAATCAGGCGGTATTTAAATTCCAAAACCAGATTACCAGCACATTTTAAACCTTGGATTGAGTACGAGGGATGTATCCCTGAAGCTTACCTGGACATTACTGATGAGCAGTTTAAAGCTGCTTTGCAGGATGCAAACAGGTGGCTGCCAGAATATACGGAAGATTTGAATAGACGCAGAGAGGCGGCCCAAGCTGCACTAACAGCGTCAAAAGCAACCGGAAAAACTCCCAAAAAACAGGCAGCAAATGAGCGCGTCACGCGCGGTGCCAAGGAGAGAATTCCAGCTCAGGCATCCGGTGCGATACTGGATGAGCCCATATCGGAAACTCCAAGCGTGGCCGAGAGCCAGACAGAACCCCAGTCGTCCCAGTCGGACAATAATTTGATAGCGTTGGCGGCTGCGGATAAAGCAGACATATCCGAGGGATCAGAAACAAGAGCAAGCAAAAGCATTCGTGGTGGAACAATGACATTCCACCCGGCACAGCTAAAATTACATAGTTTTGTGTCAGAAAGAGATTTTGAGCAACCAGATGAGGACTTCCTTACTCAAGCTAGGGAAGTCGATGAGCAGTTAGCTGCGGCAGAAACTGACCAGGACGTGGGTTTGATAGTTCGGCAAACTATGCCCGTATTGATCCAAAGTCTCCGCACGCTCATCGCATCTACAAAATCAAAAGTTGATGAAATGGGTAATACTATGTCGTTAGACGCCCGCGTCGATGCAGAACGAAATGAAAAGCTGAAATTCCAAAACGATTTTAATGAAATGCGGATTAAATTCGATAATGAACAAACGGAAAATGATAGATTGGCTAACGAAATACGTATAGCAAACACTAATCTGCATGATTTAAGAGAAGCCAACAGAAATGCGGAGGCCGCGTTTAATGCAATGAAAGATGAGCGCGATACTTTAACAGACACGAATCGTAATTTTGAAAAACAGTTGGAAGATGCTCAGAGAGATCTTTCAAACGCGAAAGCTACGATTGATGGCCTCAGTGCTCATCCAACACCGGATACGGCAAAACAGATTGTGGATTTAGACCAAAAATTGAATAAAGCATTGAAAGATTTGAGTGCCGAAAAAGATGCGCACCAAGTCACAAATAAAAAACTAACTGATGCGCAGAATTTGTCCCAAAAACTTACCAAAGACTTGGAAGCCGAAAAGAAGCGAGCTAAAGACGCTGAAGAGTCCCTTCAACGGGATCTCACACAAGCGAGAGTGCAGCTGAATAACAAGTCTTCGGTCGGCCCGATGCATATTCCCAAGGAAAAGGATGATTCGTCCCAAAAGGAAATTGAGAGGCTACAGGGTATGTTGACTACAGAGCGAGAGAATGTTCAAAAGGCCCAAAAGGAATTAAAAGATTCGAAAAAGGATAAAAGATGTGATAATTATGAGAACGCGATTCAAGCGAAAAATACAGCACAAGCTGATGCATATGAAAAGTCTGAGAGGTGTAATCGACTGTATGAAGAAAATGCGCAATGCCGAAAGGAATGGCATGAAAAACAAGACCAACTTACCAAGATGGAAGTGGACCTAAAGCAAGCGTATGACGAACTTCGTCAGCTTCGAAATACAGATGCTGCTCTTGGCGGCGGTGAAGGATACTTTCAAAGGGAAGCGCCGGTAGCGACAGGGGACGTATTACGTCCTTCCGTGTTTACACCATTTAATCCCCAAAATTTCTCGTCATACGTGGATCAGCCTTTAGCCACTGGCAGTAATCCGGTTGGCATCTTGCGGAGACCTAGACAGGAATCGCGAGTCGAATTTTCGGAGGCTCACTCCATGCCACGCTCGTCTTCAGAGAGTCAGATTCCCAGAGAAACGGTGCCTCCTAAGCAAAAGAAAAATAAATCAACAGATTTACGCCAAGAGGTATTCAAAAGAATATCTGACGACGCTGGTCGCCAGATGCGAGGAACAGAAAATAGGGACAGTTCCGATACAGAAAATGAACTGATGGATGATGCCCTGATGGAGGATGAACACCGTCGCCCCAGTAGCACGGCCAGCAATGAGTCTATGTCCAGAAATCCTCAGCTGGAGGAATGGCTGAATAAACAGACTCATATTTCGGATAGAACGACGCTTACACAAGAAAGCGTTGTTGAACTTTCAG